GTGATGTTGAACATTTTTTCATATGCCTGTTGGCCATTTGCATTTCCGCTGGAGAAATTTCTTCTTAGCTCTTCTGCCCGCATTTTTTGACTGGATTATTTTCTTTGTTTATGTTGAGCCTCATCAGTTCTTTGTAGATTTTTGTGATCAGTCCTTTATCATTAGTGTTATGTTCAAAAATTTTCTCCCAGTCGGTGGGATTTCTCTTTGTTTTTGTTATTGTCTCTTTTGCTGTACAGAAGCTCTTTAATTTGATGTAGTCCCAGCTGTTTATCTTTGCCTTCACTATCACTGCTTTGGGTGATGTGTCTTTAAAGATGTTGCTGAGGAGTATGTCATGTAGTGTTTTGCCTTTATTTCCTCCTATATATTTTATGGTTACAGGTCTTTTGGCTAGTTCTTTAATCCATTTTGAGTTGGTTTTTATGCATGGTGTGAGGTAGTAGTCAAGCTTCATTCTTTTGCATGTAGCGACCCAGTTTTCCCAGCACCATTTATTGAGCAAACTTTCTTTGCTCCAGTACATATTCTTTCCTCCTTTGTCAGAGATTAGTTGACCATAAATCATAAATAAATAAATCTGTGGGTTTATTTCTGGATTTTCTATTCGGTTCCATTGGTCCGTGTGAGACCTTGAACTTTAGATGTTAGGGTTGATGCTGGCACAGGGTAAGATGCCAGGGCTGTTGGGATGGAATGGATGTATTTTGCATCTGAGAAAGTACAGAATTTTGAGGACTGGGGCAGAATTCTATGAATTGGATGTTTGAGTTCTCCCAGAATTCATGTGCTAAAGCCTTAGTCTCCAGTGTGACAGTATTAAGTGTGTGTGTGCAAGGGGGTGGGCATTTGGAGGGGAGAATTAGCATTAGTTGAGGTCAAGAGGGTGGAGCCCTTAAGAATAGCATTAGTGCCCTTAGAAGAGTTACAATACTGTAAATGGACTAAGATAGTTAAAAAAATTTCTTGGATTAAAAAAAAACACACATTAGAAATTGTTTCTTTGAACCTACAAGCGGAATACAGTGACATTAATCCTTATAGTTTCTCTCACCAATTATAATTTATCTGTAATCCTGAAAATTCAATTTAAGAAAATTATTATCCTTTTATTAATATTTTATGATAAACCTATAAACAAATGTAGGTTAATGTTCTGGAAAGACATACTTCACTTACTGTGTTCTAAATATTTTAGGACTCTACAAATAAGGGTAATTTATTGTGAGAAAAGATAGAACATTTTAGAAAAACAGATCAAGTCATTCAAGAATCAGCTTTTTTTTTCTGTAACTGTCCTTTGAAGAGAGATAACTATACAAATATCCTGTCTTATTCCTAGTTTACCTTGCGTGGTATTTGATGTTTAATTGTATCTTTTAAGCCTATGTCTCTAGAGATGTCCCATCTTAAAAAAATCATGAGTTATAATAGGATCCATGAAGCTAAGTCTATATTTTCCATTAATACTAAAATCAAAGTAAAATTTCTATATCAACTTTCATCTACATCTTCATTATAAACAATTTATAATCTTGAAAATTGCTCTTATTTCCTTTAATTTATTTAAATTTTAAAATACAATTTATTTATTAGCTCTATAACTAGCTTTCTGATCTAATAGGATTTGCCCTCAGTTGTTAGTTGGGAAATTGGCATTTAGTCTTAAATATTAGATTTTCCTTATTTAAGTACTCATAGGCCTGTTCCTATGAGAGTGTTCATTCAGAGCCTGTAGTCTTTTTTTTTTTTTTTAAGATCTTTAGAGAGCAAGAACTTTTTTTCTTTAAAGATGTATTTATTTATGCATACAAGAACCGGGGTACAGGCCAGAAATGCGGGGGGTGAGAGGATTCACAAGAGAGGGTGGGGAGAACAGGCAGATGTAATGAAATACACTGCTGAGGGGAGCAGCAGGCGAGACAGGACAGGTCTCCTGCGCCATGTGGGTTGCTCCCTGGCTGTCTGGGGAGCAAACTCGTGCTGCAGTGGCTGATGATAACTTGACAGCACTGTCTTTAACCTCTGTACCACCAGGGAGGCAGGGCCCATAGTCTTAATCTGCAGTGAGACCAGACCTGGATTTCAGTGACATTCCGAGGCTTTGCTACCCTGTGGGATTTTGCTGCAATGTACATTCTTATTAACAGTGACCACCAGTGCAATTCTATTCCAAACCCCGACCTAGACTAGTCAGGAAGTCTCTGATTTACAGCCATACATTATACCTAAGAGCTTATGGAGCAACTCAATGTTTTCACATTTCTCTCCACAAGAAGCACACCATTGAGAAGTATACTATAGAGATTAAGTGGAAGAAGATAATTTTGAACTGGATGCCTTCTCCAATCCAGCCCACAGAGTATATTTTAGATTTGTTCTAAACTACATTGTTTTCCTCTGTGTGATTTTCTTTAGGGCTCTCCTTCTGTGCTGCCATACTCAGAAGAAGAGTATGAGGAGCCAAGGAAAGTTCAGGGGAAACAAACACTTCTTCAATAAAATTGAGTTTGACTTTTGCTTTCAGTTATCCTGGAAGTTTCTGAGTGATCTCTGCATCTCTTATTCTTTGTTTTTCTACCCTTTTTCCAGTGCATTGTTGTTCATCACTAAATATTTTCTAAGACTATTCATCCATGTAAGTATTTCTGAGTAAAAGAGGTCAGAATTGATTTATACAATAGAGCAATCAAAACAGGGATATATATTTTGTTAATTTTGAGATGATTGTTTTCATATGATACCAGAGTGGAATAAATCTGGATTTTATTGATCAATAGCACAATATAATTAGGGATCACACTGACTGGTAATTAAGCCTGATTTCATATTTGGATAGAAAAGAGAACATGTCTAGTACATTTGTCATTCAATCAGGGGGTTTCAACATCCTCTGCTCTGGAAAAGTATCTTGTTTAGATTTCCCTGAGGTATTTTCACTTCAGTCTTCTTGTGACTTGCAATTTTGTTGTTTGCATGTTGGTCTCCCTGGATGTCATTTCTGTCTATTCCTTGGGAATGAGAATGTGCTTTGGACATTTTCGTGTCTCCCATAACACCTGAACTACTGAATATGTATGTGCTATATTTACTTGAAAAGGCCTAACAGCAATTGGCTTATCAATTTTTCAGATGATTAGGATGGATAAGGAATAGCTAAAAAGTGCAATGCCATAATCAGAATTTTGAAAGATCTTGACAGGCTGAAAAAAATATGAGAAGAAATATAAATAACAAAACCTGAATTCAAAATAGAAAAACAAAGTGGAGAAGAACAGGGTAGATATGTTTAACAGTGAGTGATAGACAGTTGAAGAAAGAATTAGCAAACTGGAAGATATTGCAGAAGAAATCATCCAAAATGAAGCACAGAGAACAAGAGAGTGGAAAGTACAGATGAGAGGCTGAGAGACAAGAGGGTATAATAGAGACGTCACACACACACATCCAGGTGGAACCACACAAGGCAAGGGCAAAGAGAATGAGGCAGAAACAATTATTTTTTATTTAAATTTTATTTTTATATTCTCCATACAATTACAACCCCCTTAAATAGATAATGGATGAGGATTTTGCAGCAACAAAAGAGATCAAAGCACAGATTCTAGAAGGGTAGCAAATGCTGAGCAGGATTTGCAAATAAAGCCTTACCTAGACACATTATAGCGAACCTGCACTCTAAACAAGACAAGGAGAAAAAATCTGAAAAGCAGCCTGAGAAAATAGATTATCATCAAAGAAGTAGAATATGTATTTTTATTTTTTTTTTTTTTTTTTTTTTTTTTTTAGAATATGTATTTTTAGATTAAGATGCTTATAGGATGATTCATTTTTATGATACCTTAACCAAATTGTCAGCTTTGGAGCCTGATTCTGCCCTGCCCGAGGGGTTTTCTTCTAAAACTGGAATGCAGGGTTTGAAAGCTTGAGCTGAAGCAAAAGAGGAAGATTCCATTTGTTCTCTTTGGCTCTAAGAGAGTGGACCAAATACCATTGTGTGGAAGATTCACAAAACATATCTCTACTTAATATATACCAGTTTGAGTTATTAAAACCTGGGCTTAGATAAGAAATGGGTTCTCTGACCTCAAAGGGTTTGGTTAGGAAGATACATCCATCCATTCATCTATCCAATATTTATCAAGCACCTACTATGAAGTGAGCATAGTTATGGATGCTGAGGATATATTGGGCAATATCAACGAGGACAAAAAAAACAGTGCCCTCCTCTGGGAGCTTCTAGCTTGGTATAAGGAAACAGACAAGCATGATAAATAAGTCAGTTGTGTACTGTACCAGGAGATAAGAAGTGTTAAGGGGAAAAAAATAGAACAGGCTAAAGGGGATCAGGAATACTGGGGGGAGGATTCCCATTTAAAATCCCAGGGGAGGATTGTTTGGCCAAAGGCCTCAGGAGAGAGAGAGTAAGCTCTGAGAGGCTAAGTAGTTAAAAGAACAGATTGGTGGGAATCACTTCCAACTCTATAATGCAGCCCTACTTCAAAGTAAGTGTGGGACTTTAGCAATTACAATTCGATTATTATGAAGTGATAGAAATCAGGATGACTTCCTACTTTGTGTTTATTAATTAAAGCTGCTCATCCTCACCATAACACCATAGAAACTCAGCATTTGAAAAACATTTCTTTTAAACCTTCAAGTTCCAGAAAGGGTGTTGTACCTTCTGTTGATGTCTCAGAATTTGGAAATTAGAGCAGATAATTAGTATAGACTTGTCAGAGAACTAGACTGTCATCCTGAGAAAGAAATGTAAAGAATCTTCACAGAGTGTTCAAAAGTAGAATTGTAGGTTTGCTCTTCAGAATCAGAGAAAAAAGAGAAGCCAACAAACACCCATCTGCTTTGATTTGAAAAAAATAACGTTTGTCTCTGATGTTGGGTTCCGCAGTGCCAGGCATTTGAAGTATAGAGGGCTTTGACATGTGCAGTATGAAAAGCCAAGAATATCTTCACTGTTAACTTGTAGTCTTGTGTTGCAGGCAAACAAAAAGTCACTTTGGACCGTTGAACCCAGTGAAGGCACGGTTCCCCCGGAAGCTGAAGTTCAAGTGACATTGACCGCCAACCTGAATGACATAGTGACATTCAAAGACACAGTAGTGCTGAACATCAAAAATAGCAACACCTACCAGATTCCTGTCCAGGCTTCTGGATTTGGCTCTACCATTGTTTCAGATAAGCCCTTTGCTCCAGAGCTGAATTTGGGAACACGTTTTAGGTAGGCAAAGTATCAGGGACCAATTTTTATAGCTGTCACATATGGTGCATAGCTGAGCATCTCCTCTTAATTTAGGAAATTATTTTTAAGTAAATAAAACCAGTCTCTTCACTCCTCCCCTTTCCCATTTCTTTTTCCCCTTCTAGAAGCGCCCATCAGGCATAAGACTAGTAACCAAGCTATGACTCTGTTTTCCAAGCTGTGTCCCTGTACTCTGGAAAAGAGAAGGTTCTTAAGAAGTGTGTTCTTCCAAACTTTGTGGAGGCTGCTCCTATGACAAATTGAGAATCTCAGCCATGATTTTTCCTCTTTGATTCCAATATGCTGCTAATTTCTTTACATGAATTTAGAAACTACAGATGCATGTTACTGGAGTGTAACAAGAAAGTAGAGTATAACTAGGAAGGTAGAAATTTATTACAAATGTGTCTTATCTGGTATTGCAAAGCCAGTAATTTTTTTTTCTTGTATGTCCTCTGCTTACCTCCCCACTGTAATGCCAGTTGATGTTGTTGCAATTGGCACCACTGATCACTCCAGAAAAACTAGAGAGTCTAAATATTTAAATAAAAGGTGGTACAGTATACACACCTCTGAGAAGATCCAATGTGGCTCGAAAGATGTATGGGGTTTGAATGCATGTGAGGGTTTATTTGTGTTTCCTCAGAAGAGTCACGTGACTGTCACTAGTTGAGTCATGGTGGGGGGCAGTTAAAGTTTACCTGCCTTTGCAATACAGTGAGCAGATCTCAAGGAGGGGGGGGGGCCTGCATTCTTGTCTACCTGGCCCTGAAACCAAGATGGGTACACTCTACTTGAATGCCTGGCAAGAAACCCTTAGGAGCTTCCCACACACCCATCCATGCCTCCTTTCCCCTGTTCCAATTCCAAAATGGGCACTTGATTGAAAGTACTGTAAACCAATAGGAATTAGGTAACAGGCATGTCAGATAGCTGAATTGCATGTGTTTTCAGACACACATCCAATTATGGTTTTGTGTCAAGTGAAAATTCCTTTCTGCCCATCTATTGGCATAGGCTAGGGCAATTTGTCATTGCATGCATACCATGCTTCTATTTCCAAACTCATTTGTTAAGTGCACTCAAATATAATTATAGAAAGCAGTGCACTACAACCAGACTCAATTACATGTTCTTAATCTACAAATAGCCTCAGAGGATATTCTGATGCTTGCTTGGAATTGGAAGGATAGCTATTAGTTTTCTATGAATAGAGAAGCCAACTGTACAACTGTAGTTTTTAGCTGTCTGTTTCCCCCTCTGCCTAAACTTTATCATTCTTTTTGACATGAAACCATGATGCTAGTGATCTCCAGAAGAAAAGGGTAGGCAAACTTCAGCCCACTGCCTGTTTCTGGAACACAGCTATGCCAGTTGACACACATTTTTCCATACCTTCTTTCACAGTACAGCACAGTTGAGTAGTTGTGACACAGACGATGTAGCCCCCAAGTCAAAATAGTTATTATTAATTATAAAATTAACTGTAAGAAAAAATTCACCATCTTTCTGGGCATGTGGGACTACTCATATGTTATCCCTTCTGATTGCATATTCTTTTGGTAACTCCCTGAAATTTTTAGAGCTTCTGTGTCTTCCTTTATAAAATGGGAGAGTAAATATATTTGTAGTGGATTGCTATGGTGATTGAAAGATCATCTTTTATTGTGAGTAAGTGACCAAGAGCTTGCCTATTTGTTATTTGTTATTACTGAAATCTACTGTTAGTCATGAAATCAAACTGCTGAGTAAGAAACCAATGAACATATCCCAGCAGTGACGCCTGACAACTGGCAAATACTCCTTATTTATCTGATGCTTCAACTTATCAGATCTGTCATTTCCTAAGGAGGAAGAGATGGCATGAAATCTCAAGGCCTAATAAAATTAAAGAAGTAAGAGTCCTCAGATGAGTTTTCCCCCTGAAAAAGTCTCTTAAAATAGGCTTGTAAATCAGTTTTTTAAAAATCTGAAAGACACATTTGAACCAACACTAAGATCTTAGAAACCTGAATATCTAGCAATACCCCAGACAATCAAGAGATCTTCACTAAATATTTGTAGAATAGGTGAGTGAATGAATGAATGAGAGAAACTGAAGCATCTTTAGAGCTCATTAGTTTGAGAAACATGGTCCATTGCCATCCCCTTGGTATTTGGCAAGGCTGAGAGGATGTATATTATTGTTCTTCTAAGTTCCCTTCAATATAAGTCCATCAGAAGACATTTGACTCAGTCAATAGAAATTAACTGAATATGATTGAAATATGCCTCTCTCCAAAAGGTTTTTCCCTTTCACTCACTAGTACAATTTCTCCCACGGAAGAGTGGTTTTCACTTGTTCTGTGGCCTGCTGGACCTGCTGGGGAAGATGGAGGGTGGCTGGGACCACTTTCCCACAGCTCCTCCCCTGGGCGTGGCAATGCAGGGACCAAACCCTGTCCCCAGCGCAGTCTGTTGGCCCCATGAGTAGACACTGACCTTGTCCACTGCTGTGGTCACTCCTGGTGGAGCCATAGCTTAGCCTGCCGGGTTTTGTTTTCACATCACGTCTCTTCCATTGCTCACCCTTTAGAAATCCCGGAGGAGTCAGTCCCAGGTATGTAGCAATGAACTTCCTGCACCTGAGCTCACTCAACACTTGTATCCTCTTTGCAGCCAGGACACCTTTTATTACCACTTCAAGTTGACCAATAAGGGACGTCGGGTCCAACAGTTGTTCTGGATGAATGAAGATTTCCAGCCCCAGGAAAAGCTAAGCAGGAAGAGTCTGGCTAAGAAGGGACTTAGTAAGAGCCGGTCCCAGCTCCAGGGGCCCAGGGCTTTCCAGAGCCCCGTATTTCAGCTCCACCCCATCAGGATGGAGCTGTACCCACAGCAGACCTTGGACGTGATCCTGGAAGGCTATTCTTCTATTTCCAGGGTAAGCGGACAGCACGTTTCATTTATTTCTCCTAAATAAATCTTTGCTTTGTTTCTTAGGAGAGTCCCTTGACATTTATCTGAGGAAACGATGTGGTTTCTCAAGGATTTCAGAGTGCACGGAGTTACCATGGCAGCAGCCATTGCTTTCAAGGTTCAGTTCTGCTCAGTTCTCTGTTTCTTTCACAGCTATCATGAACCCAATCTTCATATCCTCTTTCAAGCTGGTTATCGTCCCCCCAGGGTCCACAGTCACCAGCCAACAAGTCTCTGGCAGAGGATATCCAGTGTTCCCCAGAGCTAAGCCTCCCGTGAACACTCAGCAGGGTTCCTTTCATATTTTTCACACAAAGTGTATTGATAGCAACATTCAAGCAGCATCTCCTGTCCAGGTGTCAGGGCATCCCGATGGTTTCCCTCTCAACCTGACAAAGCAGCATCCCATTTATTTTTATAAAAAGATTTATTTATTTATGCATATAAGAACTGGGGTGTAGGCCAGAGGTATGTGTGGTGGGGTGGCGAGAAGATTCACCAGAGACAGAGTGGGGAGTAGAACAGGCAGACCTACTGAAATACACTGCTAAGGGGAGCAGCAGGCAAGACAGGAGAGGTCTGCAGTGCCATGTGAGTCAGCTCCCTGGCTGGGGAGTGGCTCTGATAGCTTCACAGTGCTGAGGCCCAAACCCCTACACCACCAGGGAGGCCCAGCAACTTCCCACTTAGAGTCAGCCTTTGGTACGTCAGTCAAAGAGCTGCTTTGACTTCAGCCTTCCAACCTTCTGCTCTTATTTTGTCATCATTCTCCTCAAAATGTGCAGCCGGACCCAGACCTTGTGTCTGTTTATTCCCCTTCCCTTTTGGAGACAGGAAACCACCAAACGAAGCTTCCAAAAATCTCTTAAGAACCTCTGCTACCTGACAGGCCAGGTTTGCAGATGCCATGGGAGGGTTGCTGAAGCTCCTGGTCGCTCACCAAATCAGAAGGTGATGCTGAACTTCTCCTCGTAGAACAGGGAACAATAAGAAACCTCCCTTCCAGCAGACAAGATAAGAAAACTGCCCCCTGGTAGCTCCACTTCTTTATGAAGTGTTTTCAGGTAGAAGACATTCTCAGGGCAAAAAAAAAAAAAAAAAAAGTGACTTCTCAATATGGAGCATATAATATACCCCTACTCTGTTTGTCAGGAGTCTGGCCTGCTGGTATCTGGCAGGCAGCTGGTGGCAGAGCACTGGTACCGACGAGAGCGGGACCCCACTCAGGCACTGAGCCTGCTGAAGATGTCCGTTTCATTTGCCTTGGTATTTTCAAACCTGGCCATGTATTTTTTTTGATTCATTAAGAATTAATTTTTTCATGAAGTCCCATTGTTTTACATCCTTGTTACTATGTTGACAGCATAGCCTAATTAAAAAAATATTTTGACAGTGTAGGATTTCTCGCCTCAGGCGTGGTCGCCAGAGTGCTCCTACACCCAGGCATCCACAGTCCTCCACCAGAGTCCATCTTGCTCCCCCCTCCCCTTCTCTCCTCCCCTTCCCCCTCTCCCCATGCATGCCTTAGATCTATGCTGACCACATTTTTAAAGGCATTAGATCTAAACTGTAGGGTTTTGAATTCACTTGAAGCTCTACTAAAAGCTTCCTTGAATCTTCACTCAAGTTATGCTGCATCATTAAGACTTGAATTTATTAACACCTGAAACCTTGACACTCTTCCATACAGGCTATTCATGATATAAATTTACTGTTGGTCCTTTCTATTTTTTGAAAATCTAGGCCTCTTAGGTCCAAAAACAAATAGTTTCTATGGCATAATTTTCAAATATTCAAGCTTGAAAAGCAAAGTTTTCCCAGCCACAGTTTCTGATTAGCTTGATGAGAAGTCATATAAGTACCATTGAATATAAAGGATTTTATCTGCCTTGTCCATCGTAGCACATCCAGTGCCTAGCTGACCAGGTGCATAAGAAATAATATATACATGCAAGGGGGCCTCCCTGGTGGTGCAAGGGGTTAATTCTCAGCATTATTAAGCTCTCAGCAGCCACTGCAGCATGAGTTCGATCCTCAGCCAGGGAGTTGACCCATGTGGTGCAGCAGACCTCTCCTGTCTCACCCACTGCTCCCCTCAGCGGTGTATTTCAGTAGATCCACCTGCTGTGCTCCCCACTCTGTCTCTGGTAAGTCCTTTCACCCCCTGTACCTCTGGCCTATACCCTCGTTCTTGTATGCATAAATAAATAAGTCTTTAAATACATATATGCAGTGGTTGAACTGAATGTGAATTGACCATTTCCTCAGGGCAGTCAGAAACACATACGGGATCTCTGCAGGACACGTTAAACCAATCAGAATTGAGTTGTGTGGCAAAGCACGAGTGCCGAAATATACTCTTCCAAAAAAATGTGTTCTTTCCTGGTGTCTGCAGGCAGGCAGTTAAGATCAGCTTATGCGATGTTGAGAATTAAGTTTTCTGAGCTATGGAGGTTCCAAATGCGCTGGTGTGTCTCCTCCGCAGATAGTTCAAGAAAAGCTGGTGTGCCACGCCATCATCGGAGCACAAAAGGGGAAGAGCTTTGTGATGACCGTGAACATCATCTGTGAGTTTGTGGAGCCGATCATCCAGCTGTCCACCAAGCAGCTCATATACCGGCTGGAGAAGGTCAGTGGGGCTGCCCTGGGGAGGGCCGGGTGCTCCCCTGGGGGTCAGCATGTCCACCTTTCACTTGGGGGAGTGAAGGGAGGTCGGTTACACCTACACCCAACAGATGTTTTTTTAAAGTTAAAACACATTCAACTAAAAAATTCTGAATCTAGCCTATGTACCTTTGAAATGTAAATGATTATGGAAATTCTACTTCCATCATTCCTGATGCCTGAGACTAAAGTGAAGTGCACTGAAAACGCATTTCAGTTGATCGTTTGACAAGGTAGGGGAGACAGTGTTGAAGGAGAGTTCTTGATAACTGCAGTCATCTGCACAAGTGGCCGCCACTTGGCTCACGTTCATTGCATGCGTCGCCCAGTTGTTCCCACAGCCATCTGCACAGCAGGGACGTCCCATGGCCATGCCATCAGCACACAAGAGGAGATGCAGATACAACCTGTCAGCAGAGAGATCACCTAACCCACTTGAGAATGACCCTTTTTGAGTCCCACGCATTAGCTGGTATGGCTGTCCATGCCCCTGAGTTTATGGGGCCCTGAGGACAGAGGCAGAGGACAGCGGGTGGGTGGCAAGGACTGCTCGGGACACGGGGTCAGGTGACAAGGAAGTGGTGGGAAGTCGCAGTGGGACTTGCCCTACTCCTCAGCAGTCATCTGGCACAGAATTATTTACTATCCCAATGGAAATATATGGAATGTCTCTCCTGAGCAGCAGACTGCGTTGGTGCTGAACATCTGGTGAACCCGCCAGTCAGAGCCAAAATTGAAAGACTGGTTGTTGGGTACAGGCTGTGAACAGATCGTCATAATTTAGTTGTTTGAACTGCAATCCTAAACAGTCCTGTGGACAAGTGTACAGTTCTGTGAGAACGTTTGTCAGGGGTATTTGTGCAGGTGGCCATCGATGGCTTCCCTGAGCGCCTGCCCAGGGTTGAGACTTGCAGGGAAATAGAAATCAGTCTGGAGAGGAGGTGGAGGGAGGAATGTGGGCAGAAGTAGCGGCACATCCATGGGCTGAGTTGGGAAGGCACTTGGGTGAGCATGTAGACCTGGGAGGCCACCTTCAGCAGAGACTGTACCAGGGATGCCAGGAGGACCCTCTAGAGAAGTGATGGGGACCAGATGTGGGTGGCATGACCTGGAGGCAAGCTCTGGACTTTGGGTTTTATTCTCTCATGGGAAGGTTTTAGGGAGGAGAGTGACACTATCAGATTTATTCATGGATACAGCCAGGCCAGCTGCTGAGTAGAATATTTATTAAGGCCTGCCATGTGCCAGGCACTGTCTAGGGATACAGCAGTGAGGGCAGACACTCCCTGGTGAACCTCGCCAAGCAGTAGGTGGGCCGCTGTCCCACTGTGTTCTATGCTGTCACCCCAAAGGCCTGGGCCCGGGTGGCCCATCAGCCAAAGGTCATCATCTGGAGACTCGTAGGCCAGGGCTCAGGACCATTTATTCTGGTGCTGTGTTCTAGCACTTTTGTTCATATCAAGTAAATCTCTACAGAGCATCCACCTGGGGCAGGCGCCCTTCTAGGACATGAAGGAGGGAACTTACAGCCCAGTAGGGGAACTAAGACATGTAGGCACCATCGAAATCCACAAATCCATTGTGAGCACCTGTAGTGGATTCAGTAGCAGAAACCCTGGCTCACCAGGTTTGTGGGGAGAATAGAAATCGAAGAACTGAAGGGTTTTGGTTTGGTTTCAGAATGCTAAACGAACCGTGGCAAGTTTTGTAAGACATATTAAAAGAAAATACTATAAGAATTCCTGCTACTGTTATTAAGCTCGTTGCTCTGATTTAAATTCTTCCATTTTTAAGTAACAGGAAAGATATTTATTGGTGACAGCTGCACCAAATTTGGTGGCATCATATTTTCTGTAAATGTAGCTATTCAGAGAAAACTCTGTGAATATTTATTGAAAAGCTATTCTGTGCAAGACATTCAATATATGTTAAATATGCAGCTTAGTTTCTTTAGTGGATGCTTTTATCCTAAGCCCATAAACACTCATAAAAATGTGTGGGTAGTGTTCTTTTTTTTTTTCTCTCTTTATATCTGTAAGCCTTGTTTTTCAAAAGTATATTCATTTTCAAATGTCTATTGTTTGAGCTTATCCCTAGAATATAATAGCAAATATTTTGAATATGGCAGTGACTTACTGGATTAAAAAAGGAATTGAGTTACAACCCTCTGCTTATTCACTTTTGTCCTTTCCCCACAGCACCCCACCCTCTGCCCCACCAACATCTCAAGTTTGAAAACTGTCCTATTACTCTATTTTTCATAGTTCATTTCTTGTGCATATTTAATCCTTATTGGGGCCAATGAAGAAGTAGAACCTCATTATTCAGTGTGTGCAAGAGACCTGTGAGGTCTCGGTATTGAGACTTAATTATGTAACACCCCGTTATCTGTTAGGTCTCCTTATTTTAACTTAAGGCGGTGTCCCTGACTTGGTAGATCACACTGTAGCGATACCAGCCCTGCCTGTGGGAAGGGTTTTGTGGTGACCATTTCCTCAGATTTGATCTACTTTACACCTGTCGTACCACTCACGCCGCGGAGATAAAACAGCATCTCTGTGGGATTGAAAAGGTCAATTGAAACGAGCAGTCAGTTTGCTTCATGAAGTCCAGCAGTAGATCCTGCCTCCTGTTAACTGGGGAGACAAACAACCCTGAGAGAAGGGGTCATTTTAAAATAGAACAGATTTTCTGCACATCGACTCCTTCCCATCCCTGACCTCTAAATGGCCTCTTGCCAAAACCAACCAAGTGAGACTTCTTCACTTCCAATCTGCCTGCAGTGGCGCAGCCACCTGGGGAAGGTTGCTGCGTGGACAGTTCTCCTAGCAAAGCCTGCATAAGGCCCCTAAGTGGTGCTTTGCCCCAGACTACAATGCCATCTGCAAGAAGTGAGTCCAGTACCCATATTACCATGTTGGGGGGCCAGGAGGGAATGGTTGGCATCTTGTGGTAAGTGCCAGACCAAACCCCTAAAAGAACTTAGGGGTGTGAAGACAGTGAGTGGAGTGCAACTGAGGGGGGAGGCTGGAGCCAACTATTATGAATGAATGGTTATGTACCCCCCCTCCCCACCAACCCAGATGACTATGTGGAAGCCCCAGTGTGATGGTATGTAGACATAGGGCCCCTGGAAAGTGATGTGCTCATGCAGGTGGAGCCCTCCCGAATGGGGTTAGTGACCTTGTAAGAAGAGACAAGAGAAACACCCCCCACTCTCAGCCATGGGAGGACACCTTGAGAAGGTGAAGCCAGGAAGAAGCCCTCACCAGACACTGGGCTTGCCGGCACCTTCACCCCAGACTTCTCAGCCTCTAAAGCTGTGAGACAAATCTGTTGTTTACACCACCCAATCTGTGATATTTGTGGAGGCAGCCGGAACAGTGGACACTGGGCCTAAGTTTGCTCAGAGCCCGGGCACCCAGAAACCACAACAGAAGAAAGTCTGTGCTGAACAAAGAAGCTGAGACAGCGGCAGACCAAAATGTGATATCAGGAGGATTTAACTGAAATTGGAACAAGAAGGAAAAGGCAATCCAAACAAAGGGGCCTGGGAACCACTGGCCGGAATGGTCAGGAAAGCCAGCGGGTAGAGGGAGGAGTTTCTCCTTGGGGGCCTCCGAGCAAAGGCTTCCCCTCACCTATTCCTAACAGCAATGGGCCCTCTTACCAGCTCAACATCCGCTTCTGATACTTTCTCCATTTGGAAAATTAATTTTGATGTGTCTGACATGTGAAAAGATGCTTCTAAATCAACTCTCCCAGTGTTCATTTTAGAGGGAATGGTTATGAGCATTTGTCAATACAATAAGTCTATTTGCAAATTGGGTATTTTAAGTATGGAAAAACTATCGCATAACAAAAAAAATGTTTAATATAATGATACCGTCCATGAGACATGCTAATTTATTAGACATTATTTTATGAGATTGTGGAAGCTTGTATTGCAATAGTTCTATCCAGAGACATGACAACCAAAGAGTGAGACATTGAATTTGAGTTTTCTCACTTCCATAGAGTCTCTTCTCAGTAGTCCACCATACAGTACATTAAAAATGATGGCTCTAAATCTCTATTAGGGAAAAAACATTATATACACATGTACATATATATGTAAATAGAGAGAGACTTAAAGAGACAGTTGGACGGTGGGAGCAACGCTAATTCTGCTGTTAGCAACGAATATGAGACTCTCCTGCTAAAGGCTTACCATATTTACTAACACTTGGTTTGCATCCTCTTTTTCCTTTTTTGCAGAAGCCCAACACTGTCCTGGAACCCAATTTCCAGCCCTTGGCCCTGAAGAATACCTCCACCCTGCCCGTGAATGTGCTGTTGTCCACGGGCGGCCCCTTCTTCATCTGCGAGACTGATAAATCTCTACTGCCCTTAACCCCTGAGGTAAGTGATCAGGGGGCTTTTCTGACCCTCCGGAGAGGCTGTGTGTGTGACAAAGGAGCAGAATCATGTCAGTGTGCTGCCTGATTCCAGTCCAGAAAAATGTAAAGAACCCAGGAAATGGAGGAAAGAATATAGGAAATTGAAAAGTCGTGCTTTAAAAAGAACTCAAGGATGAGATAAAAGTATTTAAAGAGGACTGAAACTACCAAATAGGGGAAACAAATGGAGGAGAAAATGAAAATTCAGCCACCAGCAGCTTTCTTAGTCTGCATAGTAGATTGGGCCCACTTGCTCCCTCCTGGAGTGGAGGGAGATGAGAGCAGAAGTGTTCAATAGGGAAGAAGCCCGGGACAAGAAAACAAAGCTGGGAGAGGATAGATGTAACCAGACACTGAGCATCTGAAACAAATTCTGGAAGGTAGAATGAAGATTAGGGTGAGTTGATAAATCACAAAAATCTGCAGCCTAGAAAATTCTCCAGTGAGGTTGTGGGTGCCATCCCCCCAAGCAGCCTGTGCTCAGAGGCGATTTGTATGAGAACTCTGAAGACAGAGGGATTCCGTGGGCTGTCCCACCTGACAACCCCTCTCCCCCACCCAAAACATGGGCAACTAGCTTTTATCTCAAAATACAAAAATAAGTGCGCTTCTCCAGGGAAACAGATCAAAATATTTGGGGAAATTTAATGTTTCTAGTGTCAGCATCAGCACCCTAGAATAATCACTGGCATCTGGGGTGTGTCCACCACTGGCCATTCCCTCTCTGCCCATGGAAACTGCCCTGTGGCCAGGCCTGCAAGAATTGAGAAACAGTGACCTCCAGGTTGTTGGGAAGCCAGGGGAGCTCAGGAGCTCCTGCTTTTGGGATGATAACTATTTTAGTACAGTATGGCCTTCTGTGTCACCTGCAAATGTACCTTTAATTAAAGCATACATATAATTCAAGTGCTTCTGCAAACTGATAAGAATACCAACAATCCAACAGAAAAATAGGCAAAAGGAAGTGAACAGTGAGAGCACCAAAAACAAACAAAAGAAAGTCTCTTAAATATAGGAAAATATGTTCAAATTGAATAATACTAGAATAAAATGCAAATCAATATGGCTATGAAGCCCTTTTTTTCTTTACTCTCAAATTGGCCAAGAGCAGAAAATAACTTGGATGTGGCTGCTAGGGAGGGTTGAGGAAGCAGCTGTGCCCCTGCAGTGTGAGGGAAGTGTGCATTGGAAAGCAATATGGCAAGACCTATCGAGATTTTAAATGTCCATACCCCTCTACTCCTAGGAATTTATCCCAAAGACATAGATCCAGCACACAAGGTGAATTATATGTAAGGATATTCGCCACAACATTGACTATAGGAGCGAGAGACCAAAAGCCAATATCCATCAACAGGAGAATAAACAATGGCAGAATTATATGGTGGAGTAAAAGGCTTTCAGCTATTAAGAAAAATGAAATCCTGCCATTTGCAACAACGTGGACGGACCTAGAGGGCATTTTGTTGAGTGGAGTAAGTCAGACAGACAAAGATGAAGCTGTCCGATCCCACTCCTACGTGGTACATAAACAAAACAGATGAAATCCAACAGAATAAATAAAACAAAAATGAACTAAATAAAACAAAAATAAACTTTTAGACTCGAAGACCAAATTAGGGCCACCAGAAGGGAAGGGAGGAAGGAGAGTTGGGGAGCATCAATCAGGTGGAAGGGCTCAGTCGTAGGATGAAAGATGGACCTGAGCTTTTAGGGGTGAACTTAGCCTATAGCTACAGATGTTGGATTATAGCGATGTACACTGATACCTACATAATGGTATCATGCAGTGCTACTTCAATTAAAAAGTATAAAGAAATACGATAAATTAAATGTTTTGGAAACTTAAGGAGTGAGACAGCCCCGTAAACACTAATAAGTGATCTCCCAGTGGGAAAGCAAAGTGCAGAGCAAGAGTGCCCGGGATGCTATCATTTGGGTTTAAAATTAATCCTCCTACAAAGGTCACTTTATAACCATACACTTGGGTAGGCAGGACACTTATAAACTTGAGTACTTCAGGGGAGGGAACCCCTTGGCTTGGGTGAGACATGGGGAGATGGGCATAAAGGTGACTTGCATTTCATTGTTCTAGCTAGTCTACATACAAAGGAATTTTTTTTTTTAATTTTTTTTTTAAAGACCATTCTTTGTCCTGGGACAAAATCATGTAGAATATTCTATAGTGAGTCATATCGTAGTGAAGTTTCTGGTCCTATTGATAATCAAAGAATTCCATTACATATAAGCCAAAAAATAAAAGGAAAAAATCTTCCCACTGAGGGAAGATTTTAGACCTACTTTGGCCTTCTACACAGTACTATTTAATGCCAGTCAACAACAGAGCAGTGGAGACAAAGTGTTGAGGGAAAACTCAAAGGTGACTCCCAAATTTTATAACCAGCCAAACTGCCCTTTAAACATAAAGGCTACAGACACCCTCAAAATGCAAGGAAGGAATGAAAACAGTGTTCACACAGCCCTGATGAAAAACCAGTTTGCTAGTGAAACACTGCAGTTCAGAAGAACGAAATAAGGCACATGGGAATGAAAAAAAAAAAAAAACAGTGGGTCCATTTAATTATAGAATTGAAATGAAACAACCTTGGTGATCCCAGAACACAATGTTTAAGCCTCATCCTTTTAAAATTAGTGCTATAGCCAGTAAAGAGTAGGGGACAGGAAGGACGAACATACAGATTCCATCCCCCTTAGTCCTGGGCGTCAGCAGATGCTGTCTGGAGTTGAAACTACTTAATCCTTACCCATCTTCCTCTTGTATGTAAAGGGATAAAGTAATAATTGGCATTTACACACCATGTGCCAGGCACTGCTTGGAACACATCCCCTACATACCAACTCATTTCCTGCAAAGAGGAAGGTACTATTAATACCCCTGTTTTACTGATGGAGAAACTGAGGGTTGGGGAGGCTAAATATCTGTGTCCAAGTTCATAGGACCCAACCTGGTCCTGTGCCAGGACATTTTGTTCAGGGGTTGTTTTTGTTTTTTGAGAAAAAAATTCAAGCATGATTTTTAAAATATAAGTACATGTAGCCTAGTTCCATTTTGTATTTATCCTTCCATGACGTCTGAAGTGCTACCAAATGTGAATGCTGAAAAATACCATTTAGAGCAAGTGTCTCATTTCTTCTCTGTGCTTTTTTATATATAATAATGTAAATGTTTGTGAATATGTATCATTGCTACAAAACAGCAGTCATTCTTCTGGGGGAAAAAACACATTCAAGTTGATCTTCAAAGATATTTTGAAACCCCTAGCATTTTGATAGCAAGTGCTGCCGTTGCCGTGGCCTACGAGAACAGGACCCAGCCTCCAAGTCATGGCCCGAGCTCTGATTCTTGAGTCAGGGGTCGGCTTGATCTACAGAAGTCATCCGAGTCTTGTTGCTGAAGGGCCCCATGAAACACCTAAACACTGAGACTCTGTGGAGAGGGATGAGCACCTCACACACCTTTGTTCTGTGCACTTCCTCGGTGCCTCGGGCACTCTGCAAAACCAGGAGGCGGCTTGCACAGAATAAATATGGGAATCGAGCAGGTCTTTATAAAGCCAACTCATCCTCTTGATCCATTCGCTTGGGGACATTTGGGTTGTTTCCATATCTTGGTTATTGTAAATAGTGCTGCGATAAACATAGGGGTGCAGATTGCCTTTCAGATTGGTGTTTTTGTGTCTTTAGGTAGAGTCCTGAGATGGAATCACTGGCTCATGTGGGTCATTTTTAGTCTTTTAAGGCCCCTCCATGCAGCTTTCCCAATGGTGGTAGGAGAAATTATGGACTACACACGAGGGGAGAAATCAAATTCTATCTAAAAATTAACATCGATGTAAGAAAATAAAGACATGTAGTTTAAAAATAAGTAAAAAATAAAGAGGAGGGGGAAAAAGCCAACGCAGAGCCAGGCTGTTGCCTGTTACTCTGGCCTTAGTATCCAGAAATACGTGCAGGTTTAACTCAAAAAGAAAAAAAAGAAACTGAACAAACTCTGTAAAACTCCGGAGTACCAATTTAAGTTGAATAGAAACAGCAGAAAGTAGCTGACACTGCGCTTAAAACTTAGAATTACAGACATCAGAAAAGCAATTAAATTACTTAATCCATCCCTTTCTGGGGCAACCTCTACAGAACCCCTCCCCCAGGGCTGTAGGAAGCCTCTTAAAAATTTCTTAAATAAAGACCTTTGCCCCTGTGTCTAGAGAGAACATTTTACAATCCCATGTATTTTCAGTTAAGGATATTTTATAATAGTCACAGGGGACTTTCCCTTTTTATAACTCCTCAATCCTTATAACCGCCTTACTCTTACCAAATCCCTTTCTTCAAAAATTTCTCTCCAACAAAGATGTAAAACAATGGTACTTCATTAATAAAAATACATACATAAAGAAAAAATCCTTTCCAGATTATCCTTGCTTTCATTGTCATCTAATACATGTGTGTGTGCCTATAGATAGATATATCTATATTGATATCTGTATCAATTTAGATGTAGATAATGCTCACTACTTGCATGTAGGAGTAAGTACATGATTTTGGATAAAGTGTGGCTGTATAGGTATTTAGACTAGACTGCGTGCATTCATGTGCTGTGTGTGTACAGAAGTTCCTATAAATAACTTTGGTTGTCCTGTCTCATGTATCAACTTAGACACCCATGGTACAAAGGTCGGTAACGCCCCATTTTCTTGCTTTGCAGCCTATTAAGCTAGAAATTGATGAAGAAAAGAACCTACTAGTCAAGTTTGACCCTTCCTACAGAAATGATTTGAACAACTGGGTGGCAGAAGAAACTCTCACCATCAAGTACGTGGAGCATCCTCAGGTGGACAGCTTGAGCCTACGTGGGGAGGTGCATTACCCCAACCTCAGCTTTGAGACCATGGAGCTGAACTTTGGCTGTATCCTGAACGATACGGAGGTGATCCGCTACATTAACATCAACAACTGCAGCCCCTTGCTCGTCAAGTTCCGCTGGTTCTTCCTGGTGGATGATGAGGAAAATCAGATAAGGTAGGAGCAATCTCACTGAGCTCTTCGCTGCTGTCCCGGTCTTCTCCTTCGGGCTTGCCCTGGGCTTCTGCATCCTGTGTCCTGGTGTTTCATGAACGTGTTCAATTCTGACAACTGGTTATTGACAAAAGGCACCCGGAGCCTAAAATCATGGTCCAGCTTACATTTCCAGGCAGGAAAGGCAGATAAGACATCTTTGAAAGCCCTCCCTGCCTCCACACTGCGTATCTAACATGTATACAGATATCACTATCGGTGTATCTGTCTATAGACACACACTTTTATTAACAGAAAATGAGAGCAAGGATAATCTGCTTTATTTATTTTTTATTTTTATTCATGAAATACCATTGCTTTACATCTTTGTTGGAGAAGAATTTTTGAAGCCTCTAGCTGGCTTTGATGTTGACTCTAGGGGTCAGTTCATCAGCAATTTGTGATCAAAAAATAAAAGCTTTGTAGAGCTTTCTTAATAAGCATTTGAAACCCAGAGGAGGAATTGAGCAGGACAGTTCTACCCTGAGCCCATACCCTGCAACTTGCAGTGTCTTCCCATCTGGCCCACAGATGTGCGTGTCCATGTACATGTGCACACACACAGCCACGTGTGCGCGGCGGGAGGCAGTGAGTCCTGGCAGGGAAAGTCTGCCTTCAACAACTCTGTGTTTAGAGGTGTTTCTTCTGCTCAATTAGATTTAAGGTCAATTAGAAACTAAATCCAAATTTAATTCGGACAAGTCTTTTCAGAATGTACACACAGGCTGTTTCCCGAGCCCACGGCAACATTCTCACCTGGGTTGGATGCCTGGCTGGCGGCCAGGACAGAAGGGCTTCTGCACACGCCCTGTTGGATGCGTTGACAGCTGAGTTTTCAGGCCCTGAGTGTTGAGTGGTCATTCTGAACGGAGAAGCCTGGGGTGCTTCCTGCACACAGTCCTCATGTTTATTCCAGCCCCCTTTTCCTCGCCGGCGCTGGTTACCATGGTGACGATGGCTTGCTGAGGATGTCTGTTAGCCAACTACCGGGGAGTACTGAAGCGGGCCTGGGCTGAGTGTTAGGGCCTGCTTGTGAGGTGCCGCCGCCTGTTCAGGTTGGAGATGAAATTCACAATGGAGATGCTGAACATTTAAAGTAATTATGGAGCGATCCGCCAGCCCGACCTAATAAGCTTTGAGTATCAGATCCTGTGACGCTGTTCTGATGTAACACAGCTAACTGAGTTCGTTCCATCTGGGAGCAAAGGACATGCTTTATTTATTTTTTTCAAGAGGTCATTTCCATAATTTCCATAATCAAACAGATAAGATTTTGAAAGTGTATTTGGGTATTACTGGAGATGACATATAAAATTTTTCATTGCTTGAAAAAATTCATTTAACCACTTTTCCTTTTTTAGTATCTTCCTATATCTTGATATTGAGCTTCTGCTTATAATTCAATTGTTCATTTATTTAGTCATTCAGAGGATCATTCAGAAAACATTTGATGAGATGAGTGACACTAGGGGACCGATTATGTGTAAGACCTCAGCTGCAAAATTGAATAAGCATGGCCTCTGGCCTGAGCTATTGGGGAGCAGATCTGTCAACCACCGCAGATTTGATGATGCTGGGCTCTGAGGGTAGATGGGGGGTAGGGAGGTAACAGCTCATGCTTGTTGGGGGAGGTTGCTCTGAGAAACAGGGTGGAATGTCCCCAATGGAGAAGCAGGGATGCTTTCTAAGGGACAGAAATAGCAAGCATGTATCAGGTAGGCGTGGTGGAGTCCACTTCTGTTGCGAGTAGCAGGAAACCTGACTGAACAAAAGTGGAAAGGAAAGGACATTCATTGGTCCCCACAACCTGAAGTCCAGGTTCATTCTGGCTTCTGGCCTGGCTTCACGCACGAACTTCAGCTGCGTCCCTGGAGCCAGTGTTCTCTGTCTCTTGGGTCTGCCAAGGAGTTGCTGCATTAGTCTCTGTCTCAGGTCAGCTTGTTCCCACAGTCACCAAATGGCCAGCATCCCTGCGGCCAGGTACGTGCAGCTCCAACCAATGGAAGGGAACTATTCTCTTCCATGAGATCCACGGGCGGACCAGCTTCAACACGCCTCTGTCCCCTCCCCCAGCCAGTGAAGCTCTGCTCCCCTTAGGCCTCGCCACACTCCCACACCCAGGCCTGCCATGGTGCCTCCGAACCACCTGGACAGATGGGGCTGTCCAGTGGTAAAGCCAATCTCCAGACAAAAACTGACCTATGAGAGAATGAATGCTGGAGAGAAGAATGACTTGCACCCCCAGTGTGAACAGAGGACACATCCATGGGGCTACAGCACAGAATGCAGGATGAGGGAGCAGACGGGAGCCAGGTCTGGTAGTGTGTGTGAGATGTCTGGTACTTGATAAGGAGTTAACCCTCCTCCTCCCTGCCTCTCTTCCAGACCTGTCCTGGTAAATGACCCAGTTGTCTGGGAGGCATCTGCTTCTTTCCTCTCGCTAACCCACCCTCCCCGTCAGTCCATCACCAGGTTCTGCCTCTTTCACTATCTGAAAAGGCCCATTCCCTTGTCCACTGCTGCCGCCCTAGTTAAAGTCACTGTCATGCCTTGCCTGGACATGGCAGCCCTGACGGGCTCTCTGCCTGCATGCCTGCACCACAATCTGTTCCCCACTCGATGATTCTGCTGGCTTCCAGGCCTTGGTGACCATCCATGACCCTGGGGAGGAAGCAGCAAGTGCTGCCTGTGTCCCACCAGCCTGAGTGGGTGCTGCTCCTGCATCTGCTCAGGCTTCTCCTCAGTCACTTCCCCTGGCCACTCTGACCTCTCTGGCTGCTTTCCTGTCCAGGGGTGGTCTTGCCCAGCTGCTCTCCACTCCTTACCTTCTAGCTCCTCAGTCAGGTCTCAGCCTAAACACCCTCCCCAGGGAAGACTTCTCTGAGATCCTTCCCTCTGCCAGAGCCCCTGTCGCAGGCAGGAGGCCTGTCCCTCTCATACTTTTGTCATCACAGCTCAGTCCAACTTCCCAGCTGGCTCCTTATTCCCCAAGAGACCAGTGAACCATCTGTCCTGTTGCCTTTGGGTCCCCAGAGCCCAGCACAGAGTAGGTCCTCAAAGGGCATTTTTTAATTAACTAGCTGATTCCCCCCAGATATTTGTCGTGAGAGGAGAACCCTTTCATAACTGGTTTAAGATTCTTTTCTGTCAGCTTCCTGTCGCCTGCCAAGCGGAAGGGTTCACAGCATAAATGTCACCTTGAATAGCAAAAAGGAAAAAAAAATGCCACTTGCCCATCACATAGGCACTCCCTGAGCAGACTGTCAGGAAAACATAAACCACTCCTTGGCTAAAGGTCACTTATCAGATTCATCAGCACTAACCTTTCTTTTCCAATTAGGATTCTTCTAAGCCTCACAGTTAGTAAAAGAAACAAAAGAATCAAAGGGGATTTTCTTTTTCTTTTATTAGGCAGACTATGAGGATGCCTTGATGCTCAACCTTCCTGCCTGTGCCTGCGTACAGACATCTGCTGTGTGTGTGCACTCGTGCATGTGGGGGTGAGTTGGGCATGCATGTAGGAACATGTGTGTGCAAGCATGTATGTGTGCACATGCGCAAGGGGTGTGTGCATGTGTGTGGGAGTGAATGCATGTGTGTGCAGTAGTGGGTTATGTGTGGGTTGTGCATATATGTGCATGCATGTGTACACATGGTAGTGAGTGTGTGTGTGTGTGTGTGTGTGTTGTTTTGTAGGCATTTCTGACTGACATTTAAAGCAGCTTTGAGCACACACTTCCAAGTTGGCCATTGTGACACATATTAGTAAAAACAAAGAACAACATAAACCGGACAGGCGTGCTAAATAAGCACTGTGGAAGAGGAAAAGCCAGCCGCTGCCTTAGAAGCTGCTGGTCTGAGTTCATGCCCGTGACAGGCTCCCAGCCGACCTTGGTGGGCCACAGTCTGTGCCCTCACGCACCACGTGAACTGGGAGGCTGGGCTGAGTCGGCGCCGGGTGCGCACGCTGGCCCGCCGGCGGAGTCTGCCTCTCCTGGGTCTGTCTCTTCTGCCTGACTGCTCAGTTAGGGGAGAGTGCAGTGCTCCAGGCATCTTTGTGGCAAGGAGCATGAGGAAGCTCAAGTGGCAACCAGCCTTTACTTCTAAGAGGCCAGAAAGGGCTGCCCCGACACTGGCTCGGCTAGCATCTCCGCCCGGTTCACAGCCTCCAAGCCGAGGCGATGCCAGAAGCTCCATGGCTGCCTCGCCTCCAGGGAAAGCTCTGGCTTTTCTTTTCCAAATCAGATTATAAATAAACGGAACACGAGAGTCCAGGGGAGCCCAGCTCTGCAACCAAAGAGCACGTGTTGTTCTCACATTGGTTCTCCTGTGACACGCATTAGCCGTCCAGTACTGTAATTGAAGGAGGATGGTCGAAAGGCTGGGGATGGACTAGGGGAGACCTCGTTTTCTAGATGCTTCCATGTTTCTCTTCATTACCCGTCAATTTTCACTGCCTCAGGAATGGAGCTTTTGTAAGATGAGTTACATCAGTGGTGGTCGTGGTCCTGGGCCATGGGGTAGGGTGTGGCTAATGAGAATCCAGGCTCTGTCCTCAGCCATGGGCCCTGTGCCCTGGGTTACCTGCCTGGAAAGTGGGGATAATGTCAAAACCTAAGAGAGTTGTTGTGAGGATTAAGTGGAAGAAAAGCTGAAGTCCGTGACTGTTTGCAGGGTGCCTCCATCCCCTTCACTCCTTTGTAACAAGCGCTATTAAAAGAGAGCTCCCCAGAATCTGACAGTGTGGGTGCTGGATCCACAGACACCAAAACCATGGGCCCAGACCCCTTTTTCTCCTGACAAAGGGTGGCAAATCCCAGAGGTGCCTTTCAGATATTTTCTCCTGAAATCAGACCAAAGCCGTTTTAAGGACACAGGAGCTCTCCGGGGTGCGAGGGCTTCGTGTGCTTCTCACTGGCCTCAGCTTTAGTCCCTTCCATAAATATCCTTCTAGCTTCCCTGCAGGCCTCACTCTCAGAACCCTTTTAAGCATCTGTGCTCCTGTATTTTTTCGTTCTACCTCCCAGAGAAGTTTGGATAAGAGACAAGCCAGCATGGCGCCCTGGGGCCAGGGGGGGAAGCTGCACTGATGAGGGAGCAAATGGGTCAGAAAGGAAACAGAAGCGGTGACCACCGCAGGCCTTGGGCAAAATGCCCCGTCCAGCTGTTCTGCCCTCCTACCCCCTTTCTTCCCTAGCGCTTGTGTCCAAGAATGATCTTTTCACAGCCCAAAGAATGAATCATGCCCCCACCCCTGTATGATTTTTTTTCTTGCTGCTATAAACAAATCACCATAAACTAGGTGCCTTAAAACACTGTACATTGATTTATTTCTGGTTCTGGAAGCCAGAAGCCTGGATCCATTTCACTGGGCCAAAAGCAAGACAGACAGGGCCACATTCCCTTCTGTTTCCTCTAGATGATCTGGGGGAAAGTCTAGGAAACTCCTTTTTCTTGCCTTTCCAACTTCTGGAGTCACATTCTTTGTATTCCTTGGGTCATGGCACCTTCTCTGTCTTCAGAGACCACAGCATAACATCTTCCAATATCTCTTTCTCTGCTGACAATCCCACTGTCTCTGGTCTGGAGTATTATCACCCTTTTACAGGGACACTAGGGATTATATCATTGGATGACCCAGATAATCTGGCACAGTCTCCTCCATCTCAGGATCTGCCACTTAATTACATTGGCAAGGTCCCTTAAAAGGTAACACATAAGTGCCATGTAAGGGAACAGTCATAAGTTACGGATACTCAAACATGGACATCTGGAGGATGTCCATTATTCAACTGTCCAGACCCCCCAACTCTGCCAGTGTCAAGTTCCCATAGTCTCTTCACTCTCTCCCAGTCCAAATTGGTTTTTAAAAAGGAATCCAGGGCCTCCCGGTGGCACAGTGGGTTGAGCACAGTGCTGTGAAACTGTCCGCAGCCTCTGCAGCACGTGTTCGATTCCCGGCCGGCCAGGGAGATTCCCACATGGCGCAGCAGACCTTTCCTGTCTTGCCCGCTACTCCCCTCAGCAATGCTGTCTGACTGTCTGCCTGTTCTGCTCCCTGCTCTGTCTGGTGAATCCTCTCACTCTCCTGTGCCTCTGGCCTGTACCCCAGCTCTTGTATAAATAAGAAATAAGTTAAAAAAAATCTAAAAATAAAATAAAAGAAACCTCCACTATTGATGACTTTATAATGACCTGTGAAATCTTTTTGTGAGTACTAGCAAACTTGACTCAAAGAAACTTTAAAAATATATTTTATTGGCTTATATAGAATGTCTAGGTATAGGCTTCAGACACAGTTTGATCCATGGCTCGGGCAGTGTCAGCTGCACCTTGTATCTCTCCCACCATCTTTTGGCTCTGCATTCTGTTGGGTTGGCTCCATTCTCAGCTAGGTTCTGCATCCTCCTTGGCCAGATGATTCAGCAGTTCCATCAATTCCAACAGCTCCAGCTAATTATGCCAGATTAATTTCCAGGGGGTGTGAATGGGAAGCTCATTTCTAAAATAGTCATTGGCAGATGTTTTGCTGCAATTCAGTGACTCTGATTGATTCCTGTGTCCATCCCTGAACTATGACTGGGGGAACCTAGTGCTACCCCTGAGCCAGACTGGAAATCAGACATAGGCTAGTTCCACAGGGAAATCAGAGGCACTGAGTGGAGAAGAAGATGATGGATGCTGGGGGCAAAAAGTAAGAAGCCTACCATAGTGACTGATAAGGCCCTTGTGTCTTCCTTCTTGGTCCCAAGCTAAAGAAATGGACGTCTCATTATAAAGTTAGGTTCCAGATGCTTGGGAGGGTTTTTGAAGAACAGATCACCTTACCAGGTCCCCAGAGACATGACAGGCTGGTAGACACTCAGACACTGGAAAACCGACATTTCCACCTGTCCTCAGCACAGCTGCCCATCACTGTGGAGCCCAGAGTACCTGCTTCAGAGATACCTTTGATTTTCTAGTTCTACAGTTTTTAATCTTTCATATGATAGGCAACATCCTTATCTTTGAAGGCTTAGAATAAGACCACCACCAGTATGGCCAAATTCATGTCTTGAGTAGGAGTTATTTCCTGTAGACAACTGTTAAATGCCAAATCTTCCCTAAAGAGGTAATAGTAGGAGCATGAGAGAAGATCCTATAATATTGGCCGATAGTAATAACTACAGTTGTGTTCTTATGTGCCAGGCATTGTTCTTCCCCTATTACTTACCTTGTTTATATATAGCATGTTATTTACATATCTCTGTCACATACAACAACCCTGAAAAGATTAATATCTCCTATAATATTATTAGCCCTGTAATATTAATATCTCCTCTTAAAACTGAGGCCCCAGGTACCTAATCCCTTAACAATGGATCCAGGACTGTGGGTCTACACTGACTGCAAAGCCCCCTACCTTAGCCACTGTCTTCTACTGACATTACATCAAAGCACATTTTTCTGTGTTATTACCATATTTCATTTAAATGAACTTTTTGTGAACATTCTACTCAATTTTGTGCTAAGTGCTATGGGGACTACAAAAATAAATGAGACCCATTCCTAGTCATGTGAATGGATAACACAACGATGGTGTTTGTGATGGTAGTTGGTAATAATGGTGATGGAGGTGGTGGTGGTTGTGGAGGTGGTGCTGGTAAAGGGGATGATGCTGGTGGTGAGGATGATGGTGATGGTGGTAGAGGTGATGATGGTAGAGGTGATGGTGGTAGAGTGATGTTGGAGGTGGTAGTTGTGGTAGGATGATGGTGATGGTGGTAGAGGTGATGATAGTAGAGGTGATGGTGGTAGAGTGATGTTGGAGGTGGTAGTCATGGTGGTGGTGATAATGGAGGTTTTCATGTGGTAGTTTTAGTATTTGTCCAGTTCATACTTGAGTGTTCTCATCCTCACTCCCCATCACTCACTCTGAACAAACCCATATGTGCAGAACGTAGGTGTGATGAGAAGTAGAGGGGCAGCTTGTGGGGTCCAGCCAGCTTCCTGCACTTCATAAGCAAGGACTCCACACATAGCTGGCCCTTCCTTCTGGTCCTTCCTAGTAGTAACAAGTGCTAACAAGAAAACTATTGCAAAACCCTTTGTTTTGAATTTTTTAATATTCAGAGAAAACCCTGTTGACCTCTTTTAAGAATCAAGTTGTCCTGAGCAACAAGTCACTGTCATACAACAAACTAGTTAGAATAGCTGTTGACCTTGCTTCAGGAGAAGGAGTGGAAAGCTGAAATGGACACTTAAGATCCACAAACTTAGCTACATACACAGATTCTGAGACCTCAAAGACCTTGGTAACTCATGAAAACAGTCATAGTTTCTAGCCAGATGGGAGATGCTTTAAAGGAGGAATGAACAGGGCTTGCTGCAAGTCTGGTTGGGGTTACAGGAAAGGGTACATCAAGGCTGGTGCCTGGACTTTTGATTCAGAGAAGTCAATAATTGACAGAGCTGATAGGTGAGGAAGGAAACACTCCGGGTTTGTTGGTAGAAGAAGAAAGGCCTGTTTCCAGATGAGATTATAATAAGGCTCCATGAGTATCTGACAGACACCCCCATGGAGAACGAATTAATGTAGAAAATTAATTGGGCTCCTTCAGCACAAGGCATGGTGAGTGGGAAGGTGTTGTATGGTGCCAGATTAACAATAGAAATAGTTTCCAGTACTTCAGGGATGCATTTACAAATCTTCTTACACAGATTTATAAATCTGTAGAATGTTAGCTCCTCAGGACATATTACAGCCCCGTGGCCCTTGGCGCCATCTGTTCATTGAAGAATATCTGAAGGCAACAGGAAATGGCAAAGATGAGGATGAAAACCTGAGTTCTTGCTCCAGGGAGGATAGGGATGAGCACTTTTGTCATCCCCAGGCTTTGTCCTTTTCACTGTGCTAGGAATGTGCTTTCTCTTGTTACCATTCTGTGATTCGAGGCCCAAATTGAGGCCTGCCTGGAGCCCTGCCTCTCTGTGATTGGAGGCTGCTGTCTGCCTTGTTAAAGCAAAGTAGAGGGGGATGGTCTTTTGGGAAGACCAAATCGTCTTCTCTGAAAAAGCCTCCTACATGGTTGGTTTGGGCTTGCTCAGAAATAAGAGGACAGGCACTGAGGAGGCCTTGCACGGCGGGATTTTCAGCTGAGGCTGAGAAGACGGCGGTTATCACTAGACAGTTCAGAGTGGGGTGTGGGTACCTCCAGAACACGTCACTATTAACCCAGGCTGGACTTCTTCAAAGTCATAGAATTGGATGCCTTAATAATAAAATATTTTTTTTAAAAAAGGAGAGAACCAAGAATGGAACTTTTATTTAAGGCAAGCTATTTTATTAAGGTAAAATTAGAGGACTGAGTAAAGATGGCTGAAAAAAAGACACAGTAAGAGAATCAGAAGTGGTCATAGAAACCAAAAATAAGGAATTTGAGAGAGAGAGAAAAAGAGAGAGAGAACACAGGAGGAGGGTTGGGGGAATAGTTCCACTTCCAGTAATGTAGTGGGCTAGAACATCAATTAACTTTTTTTTTTTTTAATTTAAGGTATCAATGAACTAATAGGAGTAATAGGAATTCCCACAGAAAAGGTCCACAGAGCCATGCAGTTTTGCATTAGTTTGCTAGAGCAGACTTGACAAAGTGCCTCAGCCTGGGAGGCTTAAATACAGAAATTAATTTTCTTACAGTTCCAGAAGCAAGAATCCTGAGCTCTAGTTACAGGCAGGGATGGTTCCTTTTGAGGCCATGAGGAGAGGATCTGTTGCAGCCCTCTCGCCCTGGCTGTGCTGGCAGCCTTCTTCTCCCCGGGTCTTCCCTCTTATGTGTTTCTTCCTCTGACAAGGACACCAGTCGTATTGGGTTGGCCCCTCAGGATCTCATTTTAACTGAACTACCTCTGAAAAGATCCCATCTCCAACTAGTATGGTCATTTTCTGTGGCACTGGGATGCTAGGACTTCTACTATATGTATTTTGAGGGAGACCAGTTTAGCCCACAGCAGTGTTGAATAAAAAATTTTAAGCAGTAAAATATATGAGGAAATATATGAAGAATAAAAAGGCCATGGTAGCAAAAGCCCACAATGAGCAGGGTGAACTTAGCAAAACTCACGGCAGGGTGGCTGGGGTGGGGGTGGGGTGCAGGAGAGGGAAGACAGAAAGAAAATCCAAAGAGTTGACTCTTGCTATAATGAAAACTACATACTGATTGTTATATGAAAGTTCTTCCAAGAATTCAAGGAACAAATAATTTCAAACTTACTCAACCTCTTTTCCAAGAGAAATAAAAGAGAAAATATTACCCAACTCATTTTAGGAAACTAATTTAATCTTCATACCCAAACTCATTAAGCCAGGTCAGACACATAAATATTTCAGACCCTTCTCACTCATTAATTCAAAAATAAAAATGCAAAATATTCATCCAAATGTTAGCAATCTGAATTCAACAAAGGATAAAAAGATAGGACGTTATGACCATTATTTCAAGGATGCAAAATTGGTTTCACATTAGAAAATCAAGTAATTTAATTTACCACATTATCGTACTAAAGCAGAAAAACCATACGGTCATCTTGATAGATTTAGGAAAAAAATATTTAAACTAAACAACTGTTCATGGAAAAATTCCTCTACCTGATAAGTTGAGAAAACTATAAAAATTCCAGAAACAGGACAAGTGTTACATTTCCATTCAACCATTTACTCAAGACTCTAGCCTATGCAAGAATATATGAAAATAAGTAAAAGGGACTAGATTTGGAAAGGAAGATGTAAAACTGCCATGTTCCCACACAGAAAGTTCAATATCACCTACAGGCAAGTTATTAACCAGAATTTAGTGATGATGATGAATGGGCATGTTATGAAAGTTGATTGCATTTTCATAGAGCAACAACAAATAGAAAATAAAATGCAATAAAAAATGTACTTATGACTAAAGTTAACAAAAATGCAAGGTATTTATGTATAAAATCATTTTATTAAAGTTGTTAAAGATGTAAGTAAATAGAAAGTAAGTAAATGGTGAAACATACAGTGTTCTTTGATTTAAAAGACTCAATCTGGTAAAGATGGCATCATGTCTCCCCAAAATGATCCCCAGCTTCAGGGCAATGCCAGCCAAAATCCCAACAGCTTGATCCTGAAATTTATGTAGAAGAGCAAAGGGAAGAGACTAGTTAAGCCCCTCTAAATGAGGAGGTCTTTCTCCACCAGATTTCACTTCACTATAAAAATATAATATTTAAAGTGCAATGTTGGCTCATAGATGGGGAAATAGATAGCATAACAGAAGCAGGCCTATCTATATATGGAAACAGTTGAAATCGTAGAACATAGGAGAGGGATGGCTTATTCAGTAAATGATCCAGGGACAATCCATCATCTATAAGGACAAAAAAAGACCAAAAATAGATTCTAAACCCATACTCAACAAAAAATGAAATCTGTGTGGATTAAAGATATAAATGTGGAAGTCAGTTTTTAGACTTGGAGTAAATGTAGGAGAATGTCTTGATCTCTGAATAAGGAAGACTTTCTCCAACAAGAAACAAAAACCACAAGACCATAATGACCATATTCATAATTTCTGCATGTAGTTTAAAAACTTTTCTTCATCAGAAGACACCATGAAAAGAATGAAAAGACAAGTCACAAGCCGAAAGGAGGTTTCAGCATACATACTACCTTCAGATTAATTAGGGCACAGAGTTTTTAAGTATGCCTTTGAAGGAAAAACCATAATTCAGTTAAGTAATGGGAGAAAATGAGTAGTTAGTTCCCAGAAGGGGAAAGACGAACAGTCCATAAAGATAAAAAGATGTTCCACCTCATTAGTAATCTTGAAAATGGCAATTTAAACAACTAGACACCAATTGCATACCCACCAGATTGAATAAAATTAAATGTGATGGTTTGAGTATGGCTGGGGTGGACACACACTCAAACCTGGCTGTTGGGGTGCAAACCGATACAATCACTTTGGAAAACCATTTGTCATTTGCTGGTAAAGTTGCTCAGGAACATTCCAAGGCCTCTGGTTTCATGTCATCTTGCTTCAGCTTCTCTCTCCAGTTTCACATTTCCTCCAGTTTTCCCTCAGAAGTGTTTTTTTCTTGGTGTGCCCTTCCTTTCAGCTCTGTGAGCTGTCTTCTCAGGCACACTGCCCTTCTGGATTCTACCATGCCCTGCCAGGTGGCTGGCTTCCCCCGGCCCACCCCTGTCATCACCTCATTCCCATCCCTCTGACATCTATTGCCAATCAAAGCCAAACTTTCTATCTGTGCAGATCTCTAGCAAAATTATTAAAAAGTAAGACTTAGATCTGAGATGCTTCTAAGGAGGGTACGGGGAATAAATCTCCAAGCACTCCATCTCTTTGCCCTCAGCTCAAGCCTTCCACATCATAGAAAGTCTTTCTCTTGATCCTCTTGGTGTTGTGAACGCCAACTCTGTAAAGCAGTGTAAGAAAACAGCACACTGGATGCCACATTTGCTTCCCGACCGAATTTAAGCTGCTGCTGGCCCCTCTCTGAGATCAGACTCCAGATGAAGCCCTTCCTCATTCCACATAAGCCTTTACACCTTTTCTCTTTTTGTGGTAAAATTGCGTCACATCTACAAAAATGTCTATAAAATAGATGACCATCCGTGACAACTGTAAATGCATTACTAGTAAATTCAAAGCCCCTTGTGCTGTGTGAGGCCAGTCTTCAACAGAACTGCTTTTGCTGAGTCCCCAAGGCCCCAAGAAGCCCCCCAGGGCCCCTGGAGCCCATCCACCTAGAGCCTCCTCTTCCACTAGGCTGGGCAAACTGGTTGACCCGAGGCGGGGGTGGGGGTGGGGTGGGGGTAGGGAAGGTGGTCAGATTCTCCTCCGGGACCGGTAGAGGGCAGTCTGGGAGACATCTCTCACATCTGACCTTCAGAAGCAAGTGCCTGACTCTGTGGTGGGCTTGCCTGCGACTCAAATCCAAGGCTTCATGGGAGAGAGACCTTGAAGAGGGCGGGCCTTCATCACCTTCCTCATCTTTCACCTGAAAGTGATCACTGCATTAGGGATCATGTAGTTTGTGGCTATTTGTAGTTTAGTCCAATTTCCTGAGACAGCTTATCTGATAACCCATAGAGAAATGAACTAGGCTATTTTCATTTTCATTTTGAGTGTTGTAAAACTTTTTGTCCTGCTTTTATGTTGCTTTGGAAGAACTCCCGTTACTTTATTATAGATCCATTCTTTCTGAGGCATTTTACCATCCTCTCTAGTATCAACCATCATTCTGGTTGATGTCCAGTGTAAGCAAGCTGGCTTATAAAGAAATGACTGGAAACTATCTGTGCACATCTGAACCTACTCAGGGTTATGTCTGCTGGGCTCATTTAGTGATCTGATTCTCAAACAGAGCTTACTTGATTTGTCTACGTGTTCATTTTAATTAAATCTCCCCAAAGCTAGCTACATCTACTGAAAACTAGACATTAAAAGTGACTGACTTAAAAACCCATCTGGTTTTGAAAGTAGAGCTTTGAAGCTGTTAAGAAGGGAGACTTCGCAGCCTACCTGTTCAGCGGCCTTTCTAAGAACATGTAGCAGTGGGGACACCTTCTGGAGCTTCTATGGAAATGGTCATTTCCCACAGAAATCCCTCTGGAAGTAGATTCTGGGCACCTTCCTTCACTGCTCACCTCACAGTGAACTCCTTGTGGGAAGTCACTTCACACCTAAGGAGAACCAGGTCTTGCTTTTTCTTACCTAGATACAATCAGGATGGTTTTGTCTTTTTCCAAAGAAATATTCTAGACAATACTTACATGTTCCTGAGGTTGTGGATTCCACCTACTTCTAAAATAAAACTTTTTAAGACTTTTTTTTGTGGGTGACTGCCATAGGCAAGGCATAGCTGTGTGACCAAGAAGAACAAGAAGTCCTCACTTGTTGTGCAGCAGAGTTGTGACCTTTAGAGGCTGGCTGACTTAGCTGGGCCACCCAATTCTGTCACCTGGAGGCCTGAGGATCATCCTAGTACCTACCTCATCTGGGTAGGAGTTAAAGAGATAATGCTTATTAAGTGCTTAATACAGTACCTGGTAGGAAGTACATGATGAATAAGGGCTGGTTGTAGTTACTTAACTAGGGCCTGTCTTCATCTGTTCAGACCTCTGTAACAAAATATCAGAGACTGGGTGGCCTATAAACAGCAACCTGACAAGTCCAAGAAGGTGGCACAGATTCAGTGTCCAGGGAACCTGCTTTCTGGCTCACAGAGAGCATGAGGTTTTCACTATGTGTCCACAGGTGGAAGGGAGTAGCTTTCTGGGGTCTCTTATGTAAAGACACAAATCACAATCCCCAGAGCTCAGCCTTTGTGACCTAATTACCTCCCAAAGGCCCCACTTCCTAATACCATCACTTTACGGATTAGGATTTCAACCTATGAAATTGGGGGGACTCATACATTCAAGCCAGAGCAGGGCTCTTGTTTTGCCAGCATTCTTGGTGACCTTCTTGCTGCCATCTTTAAGGCAATGGATCTCAGCCTTGAAGGCACATGAGAATCAAGTGAGATCAGAACCCTTGTGGGGGGACTGAGATCTCAGTTGTTCTTAAAGGTCTACAGGTGATTCCAATGGACAGTTGCAATCCCATTGGGAAACCTTTAAAAGATAGTTTTACCACCCCCTAATTCCTGAGCAACTTGAGTTTCAGCTACTCTATTATGCCCCCCCCCAGCCCCCACTGTCACACAGTGAGTGGCTAGTTGGAAGCATTCCGGGACCTTGGAGCACCAAGGTCCCCACAATGACTATGTCTGCAGTGCTTCCCCTCTTGGGGGGGGGGGGCCAGAGCTAGATATGCTGGTAGGGAAGGCACTGAGCCAGCTCCATCTGTTTCCGTCTGTCGTTTGCTTACCAATGTGGGAGGTCCAGCAAGTGTAAGACCACAAAGCCAGGCAATAAATATGGAAACGTGGCTAGGATTTTGCATTTGTGCCCAGAGAGGCTCAGGAATTTGCCCACTTGTGATATGATTTCAAACAATGATTATAATCTCCCATTACAAAGAGGAATTGGGGCCTATCTAATCTGGAGCAGGTGTGTGATGTGCACTTGGAAGGAGGGAGGGAGTGTAGGGAGTAAAAGCATTAGAGAAGCAGAAATGAGATCACTTGAAGGAAGAATAGGGATGTAAAAAACCACCTGACAGGATCTGACAAGCAAAGATGAGTGGTGTGCTTGGCATGGTACGCGTGATACATTAAGAGGAGTGGACTTAACAAGCGTAACAGCAGGAGAAAATATCTCCCCCAGTGAAACACGGTGTTGTGCAACCATCCCAGGTGGGCAGGTTGTTGATTCAGGCAAACGGAAAGAGAGTCTTGGAGCCTTCAAAAGATTTGTCAGGCATTTAGTGCTGAAGCAGGGGGCACAGGGAGACCAGCAGGCAGGGAGACCAGCAGGCAGGGCAGTGGGAGGGGGCTGGGAGGCAGACAGCAGCCAAGCCTCCCAGCCCCCATGATCTCACTCCCTCTCTTGCTTCTGTCTGGCCACTCTCTCTCCCAATCTCTATGTGTCTCTCCTCCCAGGAGTCCATGTTTATATATGCACATGCCCCCTGCTCTCTGGTTTCTCACCCTGGATATCTGTAATCATAAGTGCATGTGCCCTGTGCTCATGTTCCCAAGCACCTTTTTACTGCAATAACACAATATCACATGTGGGCAATGAAAGTTAGGAGGAAAACAAGGTCGCCGGTGGTAGCCATAGAGGCAGCATAGCATACACTACTGTGAACATTTTCTCTCCTCTCTTGAAATATTTGCATTCACGTGTTCATCCTATAGTTAGTTATTGAGGGTGTGTGTACAGAGTGCTGTGCTAAGGAGAAACAAAACCAATCTGTATCTGTTAACTTTTGCCACATAACAAAACATGTTATTGTTTAAACATCAAACATTTATTAGTTCTCACCAATCTGTCAACTGGCTGGGTGGTTTTCAAGTTGCCACTTGTAACACATCCTGTTACTCCCCATTGGCCAAAGAAGTGACTTGGAGAAACAGCCTCCACCTCTGGGTGGGAGAAGAGACAATGGCACAGTGCAAGGGGCTGTGCTTACAGAAACTTGGGGGCTATTTTTCAAGTGATTGGGTACAACATCTGATGCAAGATTCAGACAAAACCATACCTAGACATGTCAGTGTCTACCTTGTCTGAATTCCAGTAATCTTGCCCCTCATCTGCAATCCAAAAATGATGGCCCGCCTCCCTCCTACTAACCCAAGCACCCTGACAAGTCTGTGCATGCACTAAGCATCACCACGCTTGGACAGGGTGGCTTCTATTACTCATACAGTGCCCAGGCCACAGAGTATGTAAGTGGGGACTCCACCAGATAGCAAACCCAGATCTACAAACCCCCTACAGGTTTGCACTGAACCCCGTGTGTTCTTACTGTGGGGGTCCTCTGTCTCCAACACTTAACCACTGACCTTGGGGTCCCCTGTAGCAAGAATTGGTTTTTGCATCTTCAGAGTCATGCAGTACTTGAAGGGGATGCCCTGGAAAGAGAACCTGACATGGTGAACCTTGGACAAGCAAGCTGTTGAGGGAAAGCTTTATAAGAGGGTCCAGGAAGGAAGACAGGGCAGCTCCATGTTGCCCAGGCAATGCTCCTGAGAAAGGGGCATCTTCTAGTAAAGGGAGGTCTAGACAGCGCACCAACAGCCTCTGCTACAGGTGTTAAGTCAAACGAAATTCAACAGCTTGAGCCCAACAGAATCTTCTATCCACTCCCAGAATCCAGGTCCAGTGAATCAAGGAATTGGAAGGCGCTATGTCTATGCCACGGCCGTCCCTTGTTTACATGACCTGCCCGACGCACAGATGTCCAGCAGACACCATTCCAGCCCCAAATCATGTCCTAGCCACAACACATGATATTGACTGAGATCCAAGCCTGTCCTTTGGGTTTCCATTTTGATGCAACACTGCCTCCACTGACAGGGGAACAGGAAATCAGAGCAGGAAACTTTCTAAAATTTGCCTGATAAAAGATTGCACTGGTCCTGACTTCTCCCAGAGTCAAAAATAAAATATGAAGAAGGAAATTGCTGAGGCCGTACTGGTGCCCTCGACACTGTGTATGACAGGCACCCACTCCCACCACCACAGAAGGGAGGGCTTCCTTCTGGCTCCCCAGTGGCTCTGCTATGGAAAGCTCTGGAATTGGTGCAATATTGATTTTCCTTGCTTGCTACGCACTCTCTTTTAAAAATAACTGAATCTAATCCAGTTTGGGTCAGCATAACAGGAAAGTAATCATCTGTTCCTGAGGGTAGAATGAAATCTGATCCAAAAAGCTCTACCAGCATTCTATTTCCATTTTTTGAAGCAGGTTTCAATTTTGATGATACGCGGAAGCCTTCATTATGATAAAGGCTTCACTGTCTCCTGCGGCTCTGTTTGGTAGAAGCGAGGGCTGCTTCCCCAGCCTCCTTTGTTTGATTCCAAAGAGCCCTCTCACTTCCCAATTGTCCTGTTTATCATTGTTAACCGAGGTGTTGTTTTTCCTCAGGTCTGCAGACATTCCCCAGCACTGTATTTTTTCTTTACACATATTCCCATATGCTTCCTCCCAATCCAACATAGCACCACAGGGGGTGCAAATGTTGGATGAGAGAGAGCTATTATGTGGGGCAGCGATCTGACAGAGTCTCCCCAGGCATCTCTGGTGATCTGGGGTGATTTAATAAGAGCTCCGAATCATCCTCTACTGATTTTCACTGTCCCTGACTGGTAAAGCTGAGTGAGAGCCCCGTATTAATTATCAGTTCCAGTCCTCAGCTGTCATGTTTTCATTCCTACCCATGACTTGTCCTAAAACTGGCTGCATCTTAGAACCACCTGGGAAGACTGTTAAAAATCTCACTCCTGGTTATTCCCTGAGACCTGCTGAATCCAAATAACCCAAGAATGAGGTTCGAGAGTCTTTATCGTAAGGAGCTTTCCAGCACCCACCCCAGCATGGGTCCTCTGCCAAAGTGTGTCAGCCGGAGTCAGCTGGAGACATCTGGTCTGGATAAACCACATGGAAACTCATGCAAGAAGATGAGTTTTCCCACTCTTTTCCAAGGCCATTGCAGATGCGAATGAGGTGGCGACAGGCCCACGGAAGTTAACTGTCCTGCATGAGGCTCATCCATGAGGCTCATCCGTCCATCCGTCCGTCCGTCCGTCCATACATCCATCCATCCATCCATCCCTCCCTCCCTCCAATCAACCAACAATGTATTGAGCTCATGAACTGTATATAAGGCCCTGGGCTGCGATGGATGTAAAGAGATAACACCATGGATTTTGCCATCCAAGTGCTCACAGTTCTGTAGGGTGAGCCCAGCCAGGGCAGAAGCTTGTCCATGGCATTTCCAAAGGTGCTGTGAGGTGACCTGTCTTCTTAAAAAGAGCAAGCAGGGTTCAGCTCAGAGCCCTCACCAGACAACAAAATAATATCATTGATTTTTTTTTCTCCTTCAAATTGATTTTTCTAAATATGGCAGATTAAACTTTAGCTTTTTCATCTACAGAAATAATATAAATGTTGCTTTAAAATTAGCTTGTTCATGAGTACCACAATGTGCTGTCACCCACGCTCACCGAATGGTTGAAATGTAAAAGACTGAATATCAAGCGTGTGTGAGGATGCGGCCTCTCTGGGGCCCTCACACATCACGTAGAATAGTGCAAAGCCTCTCGGAGCCCTTTTGGCAGTTGCCTTAATGTGGAACATACATCGACCCCAACCCAGCAACGTCCTTCCTAGTACTGTGCCCAAGGAGAACGAAGCCATATGACTCCACACAAAGACGTGTACCGTGCTGTCCATAGCAACTTTGATCATAGCACACAAACCCCAAAAACAGCCTAGGTGTCCTTCCGCAGGAAGACAGAGAGCAAACACAGGATGCTGCTCAGGGCCAAAGGACAGGCCCTGCTCACTGGAATCACAGAGAGCAACCTCAGATACGTCATGCAGAACCAGCTGAAGTCAGACACAAGAGGATACATAGTTTTTATTCCATTGCTGTGATGCTGTACGCAAGTCTAATCTATAGTGATAAAAAGCAGGTGTGCGTTTGCCTGAAGTTGGGGTGGAGGGCTGGTCCAGTAGGTCAGCTTGTAGGGTGATAGAAATAGTTGGTGTGTGAATGTGGTAGTGGTAACACACAAGCATACATACTTGTAGAAACCCATCACGCTGTATGCCTATCATGAGCGCTTGTGTTTGTGAATTGTTCCTCAGTAAAATTGATCCATATTAGGTGACGCTCGCTGTGGCAGAAATCTGGACATTGGGTGTGGAATGCCGCAAGTTTAAAAATGGCACCCAGGGACACGGCAGAGTAGATGGTGTCCTAAAAGGAGTGCGGGTGAAACACGGGGAAACTCCAGCAGCAGGAGGGACGGCTCCTGATGGGCAGATGGGGCTGCTGTAGGGCTGCAGGAGTGTCACATAATCTATGACGTTGCTGCTGAGCCTCTGCAACCACGTAGAGGCCTAGCTGGAGTAGAGTGCAGGTGGAGTGAGAAGGAAGATAGAAGAGGGATGGGTTGAAATTAGTATCAAGAGTTTGAGATGGGTCAGGGAGGGAGGTCATAAAAATTCAAAAGCACCCTAAAGGCAACAGGAAGAATGGGGGTTACTCTACTGCTTTGGCCCTTGTGACGTCCAGAGCCCTTCTAGTGAGTGACAGCTGGACACATGGTCTGGGGCGGGTGCAGGCCCCAAGTTGCCCCCCCATCCTCTGGCCAGGGCCAGCTTGAGGCAGACAGAGAGAGGCAAGGCCGGGCTAGTCACTCCAGGACTCTGAGTGTGAGCTCCTCCCATGCCTGGCCCTGGTCCCAGCCCTACTTTCTGGGGACCAGGGAACAGGATCCCTATAATTCATTTGTTCATGACCACCCTCGTGCCCACTCCCACCAAGCACTATACAGACACCTTGCAGATTCAGGCCCTCAGGGACCTCACAATCCAATAGGGATGTGTGAGGGTACGCCCAGAGGGCAGTGGGAAGTCAGAGGAGAGACACCTGGCCCACATGGGAGGGGGCGGTCAGCAAACACTTTAGGAGAAAGTGAAAGTAAGATTTGAAAAAGGCGAGTCCCAGGGAAGGTGGAGGGCAGCCCCTGCTAGACCTGCCTGGTCTGGCATTTGGGGCTTACCCTGAGAAACCAAGCGCCCCCTGGGCAGTGCCTTGCAGCAACTGAGGTGTGTCTGTGTTCCTTCCCCAATGCCTTTGTAGGTTTGTGACGTGGCCAGGGAAGTCCAGCAGTGCCACCATGTCCCAGGTGGATTCTGTCGTGGTAACCTCAGCATCTGTCAGCTCACCAGCAATCCCAGTGATAGAGTCCCCTGAGATCGATTTAAGTGACTTTAGGTAAGTCCAAATGCAAAGGCAGAATTATTTTTTTTTAATATTTATTTATACAAGCACTGGGTATAGTCAGAAGCACGGGAGGGTGAGAGAATTCACCAGAGCCAGAGCAGGGAACAGAACAGGCAGACTGATGAAGTACACTGCTGAGGGGAGCAGCGTGTGCAGCAGGAGAGGTCTGCGCGCCATGTGGGACCCTCACCAGCGGCCGGGTATCGAACAGGCGCTGCAGAGGCTGCGAGCAGCTTCACAGCCCAGTGCTCAACTACTGCACCACCAGAGAGGCCCAGAATTAATTTTTTTAATAGCATCCGTTTGTCTGCACTAACTTCCACTCTCAAGTTCATCCCTCATTTATTCATTTAACCAGCCAACAGTTTAGCGAGTGTCTTTGTGGTAGACCCTGGTAGGCATCTCGGATGTGGAGTTGAAAGTCATCTCTGCTCTCAGGAGGTCGTAGCCTCCCAGGTCCTGGGGGACCTGAGCCCTTTCTGTCACACTGTCCTCTGTGTCTGCCAAGTCAGGCCAGCCAGAGTTCGGTCAGGGTTTGGTCAGAGAAGGATCTGACCATAGCCTAATAAGATAGCCTCACAATACAGTACTCTGCTAAATGATGACACTTAACATTGGACACCAAGGACACATCCAAATTGTCTGAAAAAACACTGGAACTTCCCAAAATGTTTTGTCAATCAGACACGGCCTTGATAGACTGGGGATGAAGGGTTGGAGCCTACAGGAAGTTGACCAATTTGAGGCCCCTAGGCTGCATATTTGGGAGCCAGAGAGTAACAGTGCTGACTGCTCAATAAGGGTGTCCTTTAGTGAGAACCCCCACTTATACTTGGGGGCACAGTGGAGGGAAAGAGGAGGATGGGGCTCTTCAGCTGCTGGATGAGTGACTCTTGTTTTGTTAACTCCCCAGGACCATCCTTGTGAGCGAAGAACTTATGTCTGAAGAGAGGGAACCCAATGTAGCCCCAGAGCTCCCAGTGAACACGTCAGATGTACGGTTGCTTTTCCCTGGGGCAGGCTGGCAAGTGGAGGGTCCTTCCTGTGGAACGAAGGCAAAGCCAGGGCCAGGGTGGCTGGGGTTTGGTGAGGATGAGGCTGCCAACTTTATCCAAGTCACTTCCCAACCAAAAACCCAGCCAACACCTCAGCAAGAGGGAGCCCTGGACCGCTCACCAAACAGATGTTCTTTCTGGAAAAGCCAGTTATCTCTAAACCCTGCAAAAGGAGAAATATTTGTATCAATAATTTCATAGTAAAAACACAGTCGGCGGCGGATGGGCTAGCCAGAGGGTTGAAAAATACATGTTTAAATTCTCCCAGAATGCTGGCCTAAGGAAATCATCAGAGATACGAAGATTTATGCCCAAACAATGTTTGTTACAACACTTTAGAAATAGCAAAAATCTGGAAAAGCAAATTACTGTCTGTCCGTAATGATAATAGTCTTTTAAAATAGTGTTTGTCTTCAGTGGAGGCAGAATAGGGTAAGCGAGCATTCATGCTTGGTAGGTAAGACTGAATTATTATAGCCTCTGTGTCATACAGTACTGGCAAGGGTCTCAGAACTTCGTTCCACAGTTCTTCTGCTAAGACAGTATTGTCGAGAACCACCTTTATATTTGCATTGACATGTGACTGCTCTTGTACACAGCAGCTTTGTTTGCAGAAAACTCGAGATGCATTGGAAACAACTGGTAGGAGGTTGGCTAAATAAGTCACATCTGTACAAGGCAATACTCTGAGCAAAATGAGAAAGTTCTCTAATGCTGATTTGGAGCATTCTCTATAATTAAGTAAAAGAACTGCGTGCATAGTGGTGCAGAGTATGCTCCCACTTATATAAAGATGAAAGTATATGAAAAACACATTGCATACGTGTAGGTTTTACACCATTTTAAGTTTTTTGTTTGTTTGGTTTTTAAACATTAATTCTTTCAAGTCTCCCAACAACCCTGTGAGGTGGGTGCTATTTTCTTTCCCCACTTTACCAGTGAGGGGACACATCCACCAAGCTGTGGGCCTGTCTACCTCCTAATAAGTCCTCAATAAATAAAATAACTAAATGGAACATAGAAAAAACACAGGCCATGGTTCCCTGGGAGAAGGAATCCTGAGGGCTGGGAAATAAAGATGGGGTTTCATTACCACATTTAATTATTATTGTATCATGTTGTAACATCTATTTTTTGAAGCATTTTAAGTGATGCTAGTAAAGAATAGTCATGTGGGAGGGTGGCACTCATAATGTCAACTGAAAAATGAGGATACAGCTATGTATACACCACACGCACACACACAGAGCAGTATAACCCAATGATTGATAAATATTTTTGTCTTTGGAGTTTTTTGTATTTTCCAGTGTTTTTAGAATATGTGCATATTAAACTATTATTGTCCCATAGTTAATTTTTCCCCTCTTTTCAATGATGTTGATTGTAGTATACTCAAGGCTTCAGAAAAATGAAAGCAAAAATGTTTAAAACCCCAGCATTCCTAGAAAAGTGCTATTAAGCTTTAGCAGACAACCTCTCAGCTATCTGTTTGCATGTGCAGGTCTCTGACTGGATTACACATGCCCACACTTCAGGAGTGCCCCACAGGCATATGTAATTTGATGTGAGCAGAACAGCTTTTTCACTCACTCATGTCCCTAAATAGTCTCTGCATCATCTACTTTACATCACACATCATGTGTAGTGACCTCCTATTGAAAGGCCTTTAGTTTGCTTCCAGAGTTTTGCTTTTACAAATAACACTGAGGTAAATATTCTTATAACTTACATTTTGGACACTTGTCCAATTATCTCCATAGGGGAAAAATGCGCTATCTTTAATGTACTACATGCTTCATTTTTCGGTTAGTGATGGGGAGGAACCCATTGGTGACTTATCGCGAACACATGCTAGTTTTCTTCATCCTTCTAATGTCTGGGAATTACAGATAAACTCTACTGAAACAGAAGGATCAGTCTCAAGCCAGAGTCAGGAGTTTCAGGAATCCATACAGCAATATGAACAGGAAGACATGCTTACCATTGGGATAGAGGAAGTAAGTAGCACCTCATGGGCCCTAAAGGTGTTCTGACTGAGCACCTGCTCCAAGTTAGAAACTTAAATCATGCCAGAGCACTGTTATTGCCATCCCCCCCCCATCATATATTTTTAGGGTGCTGGGCTAGTCGCCTTTCATGGAGTCAAAGGAGTCAAAGTCAGGAATTCATCTGTAAACTGACTTAACTTGAACTTACCCTTTGCAGACCCTTCATCCCAGTGGATGCTCTCATGGCCGGTGACTTTCTCTGCAGGTGTTTGATATTCTGCCCCTCTATGGAGTGCTGCCCCCACACAGTAGCCACCAGATCTCTTTCACCTTCTACGGGCACTGTGACATCGTTGCACAGGCGAAAGCTCTGTGCGAAGTGGAAGGAGGGCCCACCTATGAGATCACACTGAAGGGAGAGGCGTCCTTGGTCAGCTATTCCTTTGACACCACAGACATTAACTATGGATTGCAGGTATTGCCAGCCATGGGGCGGAAGTTTGCCTTAGACATCCATCCTAGTCCTTGTGCACTCATCTCCACTGGCGCCCCAACCATCATTGTCTCACTATTATCCCATCTTTGATCCTTAATCTGCCTCCCTAAACCTGAACATCCTCCCACCACCAACGATTAGCCAGATATTTTCACTTGCTGTTCTCACTGTCTCTCTGGAACTCAGCATGTCACTGCCATTTGCGCCTTTGCTCTTAATCCTGAAGTCCGTTCCAACTCTGCTGTTTCTTTCAAATAGCTCTACTACCCTCTCCAGCCCCGAGTTTGCCATCTCCAAGGCATTTTCCACTGCACTCAGTCCTTCACCTCCCCACGTCTCTAGCACCCAGGGGTTGCTAATCCCAATGAGTGTCTTTTCCCTTCTCATTGTCACTGTGGTTACCACACTCGAGTCTCACCAAATCAAGCTGAAACGATCACAGCAATTCTTCTTAAAGTTGTTGTGCATACGAGTCACCCAGGAATCTTGTTTAAGTGCAGGTTCTGATTCAGTGGGGCTAGGAGTTGAGCCTAAGCATTTGCATTTCTGGCAAGCTCCCAAGCAATGCTGATGCTGCTGGCCTACAGACCACATGCAAGCAAGGGATCACAACACATATATAGCTTCTCCCAAGAACCCAGCCAAACATTATTGTCAAATTTTCCCATTATTGCATTTTCATGCCATCAATCCTAGACTCATTAACTCCAGCAGCATGTGGGAACAAAACACAGTATTGAGAAAAGAGTATGGTTTTTTAGTCAGAGCTAAGATATTAGTCTCATCTTACTTTCTACTGACTGTAGCCTTGGGCATATTGCATATCTAGAAAACAGGGATTGGGTAGCCACACCTATGTCACCAGATACCAAGTGTCTGATAAACTATGTTTCTCAGAATTCCCCATTATAGCCCATTCATTATTTGTGGCCAAGCTAGTTTACCCCCTTCCCTAATAACTCCCTCCCTTCCTGTCTCCATGATTCCTCTTATATTATCCCTCTCATCTTCCACCCTGCCAGCCCCAAACCCTCTTGTGCTCTAAGACCCAACTCAGTTTCACCTCTTGGTTATCTCTCTCTTCTTACTTTACATATTATGGCACTCAAGTATATTTGCCATAATATACTGTACTTTCTAATTTTCACTTTGGAATAATTGTCAGTTAATTCTCTGCCTCTACAGCTTCTCTTCCCAATCAGATTTTGTGTTTCGTACTCAGAGACCTTATGCTTACTAAATTTAATGTCATAGACCTCTATTGTGTACATGTGGCATCTGCACATGTAATTACTATGTGTGTGGCTTGTCTGTTTTTATAGATTAAAGATTGTGCCTGAAATCAAATTCACCCAACATTTTTTGAGACCTCATCCATTGCATTGACTAATAAAATGCTCTATCATTCCTTACCTCCTCAGCAGTTGGTCCTCTCAGCAGTTGGTTCTGTCTGAGCTTAGAGTGTTTGAAGTGGCCAGTTCTTACCCTAGCTTGGCCTAAGAATCCCTGAAGTGGCCTCAGTTTCTTGTTATTGGACCTGCTGAACCAGCATTATCTAGGCAAAATCTAAAAGAAAAGGACATGTCTGACTTATTATTGTCATATCTCCATATAAATAGAAAATTTTATTCTAGAACATTCTGAACTCTAATCTGACCCTCTTTCCCTCCCAAAACTCACATTTTCTTAGTGGAGAAAAGCTTACTTTGTGGTGAAACAACAGGTCCATGGAGATTAGATGCCTACCCCACAGTCATAAATCAATGACTAAACTAAATCAGTTGTTAGAAGATCTAAGATTGGAGCCCATTTTCCAGGGTCTAGTGCTTCTCCTGCCTCAGTAGTCACCTTTACTAAAATGTGAGTCTGCCTGCATCTACACCTTAAAAATACTAATCCATGTCTGTGAGGCGTGTCTATCTACCCGCCTTTGTCAGGGTGATAGCAGCACCCCAAAGCATGGATGGCAGAGGGGTCGCTCTCCCCCTTTTTCTTCTCAAGCTATTTGACCGTGTCACGGAGAATGAAATCACACTGAAGAACACCGGCAAAGTTGGTTTTGAGTTCAAGGTTCTGAGTGACCATCAGTCTTTGCCAGACAACCTTCTGCCTGGAGTGCCGCTCATCCTGCCTCGCTCAGTGAGTAGCCTTCCCGTTCACGAGGACCTCGGGAGACTGGTGTGCAGGGCCCAAATCCAGATCTGGGAGTCCTAGCCCACAGGGGCCAGCTGAGTGCAAACCTCCAATCCAAGCAGGTCTTTCTGAGAAGAGCCATTCAGGTCTGCTGAGTTCGTCCTTTCTACACTGCCCTCTTCTTTGCAGTTGACCCTTGCTTTTATGCATCTAAATGGAATTTTTTTTACCCTGCGTGTTTTTCTGTTTTTTTACCAACTATCCTATAATGAGGCCAAATTCTCATTATGAAAACAACTGTTTAGAGAATCCCATAGTATACACGGATATTGAACACAGGACAATATAAGGAAAATTCCCCGCTCCAAATTCCATGAAAGAACTGTGTTTGTTAGAAAAATACACTAAGTACTCAACATAAAAGCTAAGACTCATGCCCCTCCCCATGCCCAGGACATCGAGTGCAGGGAGAACCTCTCTGTGGGAAGCACGGGAAGGTGGTGGATTGCTCCACTCAGGAGTGAGAGAAATAGAGAATGAGGGTGTGAGGGCAAATCCTGGAAGACTACAAAATATTGCACCCTCTGAAATTTGCCCCCAACTTGTGACCCTTCTACACACACACACACACACACACACACACACACACGCACACACACACATTAAAATATGCAAAATTTCATAAAATGTATTCAAAATTATAAGGGGGCCCATTCAAAAAATGACTTTTAAAATAATTCTATCCAGACATTAGTTTCCCCTGTTGTGCCTTTTACAGACATGTATAGCCTTGTGATTTTTTTTCTCACTTTTATTTTCTGACTACTAATCTGGAGGTTATATTTTGTGACTTTATTGATAATTTTTTTTAAGTTTTATGTGATATTTGAGGTATGTAAAAGAAATTGACGGAGCATATTTGACTTATAAAGCACAATAATAAAACTAAATCCCCTGAAACTAACAGCCATCCTGGTTTAAAGCCATCCTATTGAATGGGATTAGGCTTTATCTTGAACTTTATAAAAATAGGGTCAGAAATATAATCCTGTGCAATTTGCTTTTTTTTTATTTTATTTTTTTTTTTTATAGAGGCATGTTTTATTTATTTATTTTGGTTGTTTGTTTGTTTTGTTTATACATGCACTGGGTACAGTCAGAAGCGCGGGAGGGTGAGAGAATTCACCAGAGCCAGAGCGGGGAGCAGAGCAGGCAGAAGGACCGAAGTACACTGCTGAGGGGAGCAGCGGGCGGCAGGAGAGGTCTGCGCGCCATGTGGGATCCTCCGCCGGTGGCCGGGAAGCAGCCGGGGATCGAACCGGCGCCGCAGAGGCCGCGGGCAGCTTCGCAACCCAGCGCTCAACCGCTGCGCCACCGGGGAGGCCCTGCAATTTGCTTTTTTAACCCGATATTGTGTTTGTAAGACCAGTTAGTTGTTGCATGTAGCTATCATTCATTTATTTTCACCACTGAATAATATTCCTTTTATGTTGAAAATACTTTCCATTTTCCTTTTAAAGCATATTTGGGTGTTCTCCCCCAAATTTTGCCATTAGAAACAATCTTGCTACAAATATTCTTGTATAGGTCTCCTGGTCCTCAGGTGAAAACTTTCTAGAAAAATTTCCCTCAGAGAGATTTCTGGGTCATGACCTATGTACATGTCTAATTTACAAGGTGTTGCTAAAGTGTGTTTTTCACAGTGACTGTTCCCCTTGCTCCCACCAGATTTGTCTGAGTTGCTTTTTTTTTTTTTTGGAGATTCATTTATTTTTATACAAGAGCTGGGGTACAGGCCAGTGGTGTGGGAGGGTGATTCACCAGATACAGAGCAGGGAGCAGAGCAGGGAGACGACAGAAGTACACTGCTGAGGGGAGCAGCGGGCACAACAGGAGAGGTCTGCTGCACCATGTGAGATTCTTGCCGGCCAGCTGGGATTGAACCTGCACTGCAGAGGCTGCGGACAGCTTCACAGCACGGCGCTCAACCCGCTGCGCCACCAGGGAGGCCCTGAGTTGCTTTTGATGTACATTCTCACCAAAATTTGGTAAAGTTTGCCAGTCTTGTGGAGTGAAAAGAAAATGTATTATGATCTTAGTTTGCATTTCCCTGGTTCCTTATGAGAACGAGCATCTGTTACTGTATTTATTTGCCATTTGTGTTTCCTCTTTTATGAAATGCCTGGTCACATATGCTGCCTGTCTCTGTATGTTGGCTTGCCTTTCCTTGTAGCTTCGGGAGAGTGAATCCTGTGGGGTGAGTGTGAGAGGTGAATGAGCAGCACAATACCCTTGAGGATTGTCTAGAGGGCCTAGTGCCAGAAGCAACATCCACTGTAGATTTTAAAGTTGTCTCTGGTCTTTCTGCCACATAGGGGTTTATCAGCTCACATAGAGACCAGGTGTTGAAGGTTTACTACTTACCTGGAGTCCCTGAGGTCTTTCAAAGGAGTTTCCAGATACAGATCGCCCACCTGGACCCAGAAAGCATCACTCTCAGTGGAGAGGGAATCTTTCCCCGAATCTGTCTCGATCTCCCCAGGAACCTCAAAGGTACTGTGACCTACTGTAGTATTTCCCCACTGGGGAACAAAAGATGCATTTTAGGTTGATGGATACTTGTGGTATTTGCTTGACAGCCCTCTCTAGTTGCCTTCTGTGTTAGTCTTCCATTGCAAAATCAAGTTGAGAGTCGAAATTGTTTGGGAGTCCAAAATTAAGACCCCTAGCCAATTCTGCCGTCACTGAATTACTATGGAGGATTCAGGAAATTACACCTCCAAAGGCCTTTTCCTCTAGCTAAATCTCTCCCTGCCTCTTCCTTCCCAGGAGCACCCTTACCCATGGCCATTGAGAAGGCAATACCATTAGGAGTAATGTTCTCAAAACACAACTCTCCAGAAAGGCGGCCACAGACTTCTGGCCCCTATTTTCCATTCAAGGGGGTGTGTGCCCACATGCCTGTCTAAGGCTTTCCCTGTCACCTCTGGCCCCAGGAGCCAGTTCTCGGTACCACAACTTCATTGATCCCAAAGCTCAGTGGAGCAGCTCTCAGTCATATGCTTTCTCTGGCTCTGTCCTCCAGGCTGGGAGTGCAGGCTGACGGGCCATGAGATGCTCCCCACTCTTCTTCCAGAATCCTTCCTCCAGCTCCACATTCCATTACCCACCCCAGACTAAGCCTGCACACCTCAGCCTTTCCCCCACCCGTACCCCAAAGTCACTTATTCACCTCTTGAAGGTCACCCATCAAATCCTAATTGTGCCCCCAAAATATGAACACAAACATTGGTGAGTCTTAGGGCACACTAATTACACTCCAGCCTGGAGAGTTCCAGCCAAACATGTCAGTCCGACCCCACATGTAACTGCCAGGGAGGAGAAGCTTTGCCATGTGGCTGAAAACTGGGTACCCAGTGACCCCATTAAGGCAGGAAACACGGTTTGGCCAGTGCAGGGCTTTAAAATCCTTCAACTTGCAAAGTATTTGGATTCTCCCTTCAGGCCTAGTCCCCATAGTCCTCGCACCACCATAAAACCCGTGACCCATCACCACAGTCCCTTGTGCTCTTCCCTCCCCTGGCTTGACCTCCTCCACCCCCTCCCCTGCTACGTGCCTCAGATTTACAGGGAGAAATCAAATACTGTACAAAAATTAACAACTGTGTAAGGAAATAAATGTAATAAAAAATAATTTGAAATAAAACCAAGGAACTGGGAATCTTGAAATTCTATGACGGTATAGCTCTATAATCTCTAATTGAGTGAATAAATTGGTAAAACAAAAAAAAAATTAAATCCTTCAATGTGACTGCCACCAGCTGGGTATTCTGTGCTCCAGCCCCCGCTTCCCCTCGCTTTACAGTGGACATGTGAATTGCTTTGCCTCCTCGCCCCTCCAGCATTTGAATTTGCACTGACTTGATGGTGAACTTGGGTGGCAGAAATCTCTCCTCTGATTGCCTCCCCTCCCTGATTTGGGGGATTGTAGCTTAGTCAATGTAATTAAAGCAACTTGACCCTAATATGTTCTTTGTGTCCAATGAGATTTAATGTGCATGAAGTCTAAATGAAGGCGTCCAGCACGGAGGGGGTCCCACATGCCATCTTCAGTGCTAGAATGGGGGAAGGACCTAATGAGCCAGTGGGTCACTCTGCAAGTGACTTTGGACGTCGCTGCCATGTCCTTGAGAGCCGCAAAAGCATACTCTCCTAAAACTCAGTGAGGTCTCTGGCAAATTCAGCTCCGTTACAAATGACCTCTCCCTCTGAAATAAAGAAAACATGGCCGGTGGAGTATCAAATAGTTCATTTCCCTGCTCACTGCACTTACCCAGAGCTGAGGGTCAATGTTTTAGGCAAAGTCCATATTTTCCTGGGCCTCTCTGGTGGCGCAGGTGGTTGAACGCAGCACTGTGATGCTGTTTGCAGCCTCTGCAGGGCTGATTCGATCCCCGCCGGCCTCAGAGCAACCTACATGGCGAGCAGAGCTCTCCTGTCTCGCCCGCTGTTCCCCTCAGCAGTGTATTTCGTCAGTCTGCCTGTTCTGTTCCCCGCTTTGTCTCTGCTGAATCCTCTCACCCTCCCGTGTATCTGGACTGTACTCCAGCTCTAGTATAAATAAAATAAATCTTTAAAAAAAAATCCGTATTTTCCTAACCATCCTGATTTACTTCTCCTTCCAACTTCCACAGGAAATGAAAAGTATGAAACCTTTTTGAACCAGGCCAAGAAAAACCTAGAAAAAGAGTACAACAAATATGAAATATTTGATCAGTTTGAGATGGCCGAGGAAATGCCTGAGGACGAATCTTCCGAGGTAAGATTGGCCTCATTGTGCACAGAATGTGTGTGGCAGTGGTGCAGGACATGCACATGGTAATCTGTAAAACAGAAAGAAAAAACAAACTTCATAAAGCAAAAAGGAAGGGAAGCAAAGAAACTGAGGAGAACTGGAAGACATAAGCAGCCTCCTTGTGAACCTGTAAGGGTTTTGAACTTTATCCTCAGGATGACGGGAGGTCATTGACGTGTTTCAACAAGGTCTCTGGGTACTCAGATTTGCATTTTATAAACATGTATACAGGCCTTCCCGGTGGCACAGCAGGTTGAGCGCAGCACCGTGAAGCTGTCTGCAGCCATTGCAGTGCAGGTTCAATCCTGGAGGCCAGGGAGGTACCCACATGGCGTGGCAGACCTCTCCTGTCTCGCCCGCTGCTCCCCTCAGCAGTGTATTTCGATCAGTCTACCTGTTCTGTTCCCTACCCTCTCTGGGGAATCTCTCACCCCGCCACACATCTGGCCTGTACCCTGGTTCTTGTATATATAAATAAATAAATCTTTAAAAAAAATAAATAAAAATGCATATTTTCACACCATGCCCACCACTTGTGCCCCAATAATCCTCCGCCGTGTCCCAGCATACCCCACCCCTTCCCACACCCTCCTCACCATCTTCCCCCTCTGGCTGCCCCAGTTCTGCAGTCAGATGTTTCAGGTTGTTTTTTTAATGTAAGCTGATGGAGTAAATCTAGATGAGAGATAGTAGAAGTGTGAATGAAAGCAATGACCTCAGGAGTAGGGAGAATTGGGCAGGTTCCAGAAATGTTCTGGAGGCAGAATAATCTGATATATGTATGTATTGCAAATGGTCACCACAGTAAGTCTAGTTGACATTTGTCACCATACATACTGACAAACTTTTTTTCTTGCGATACAGACTTTTAAGATCTTCTCTTAACAACTTTCAGATACGACTACGTTCTTAATAATTATCTCATCATGCTCTGCATTATATACCCATGACTTCTTTATTTGGTAACGGGAAGTTTGTGTTTTTTATCCCTCCTCCCATTTTGCCCACTCCATGCTCAACTCCCTGCCTCTGGTAACCACTCATCTATTCGCTATATCCATGAGCTTGGTTTTGTTTGTTTTTTTGTTTTTGTTTTTTGGATTTAATATATATGCGAGGCCATAGAACATTTTGTCTTTCTCTGCTGACTTATTTCACTTAGGATAATTCCCTCAAGGGTCTCTCCATATTGTCACAAATGGCAAGATTTCCTTCTTTTTTATGACTGATTAATATTCCATTGTGTATATACATACATATGTGTGTATACATATATATCTACATATATATACACACCATACATACATATGTGTGTATACATATATACACACACCACATTTTCTTTATCCATTTACCCATCCATGGATGCTTAAGTAGTTTCCGTATCTTGGCTAATATACATAATACTGCAATAGAACATACAAGTGTATGTATCACTTTGAGGTTTTTTGGTTTTTTTTTTTTTTGATAAATACCCAGATGTGAAATTTGGAGAAAATGTGGTAGTTCTATTTGTAATTTTTTGAGGACTCTCCATATAGTGGCTGCACCAGTTCATTCCTTTGATTGCTGAGGCTGCTCATAATATAGATGCCCTTGTTTGTTTACCCTGCCTCACCCTCCCAGGAAATGTTAAAATATGCTAGGGGTTTAGTGTGGATCCATGTGTGTACCACAGCCCTTCGGAGAGCCACAAACCATTATAATATCTAAGGTTTTTGTCCACCTTTATGAACCAATTTTTGCCCCTTTGGGGGTGGTATTTCCACCATTGAGGATGGATTTTCTGCAAGAATTTGCTCACTTGCTCTTTTCTCTTGCTCCAGTTAAGTGCCCATCTCCAGATGGAAGTGGAGCGACTTATAGTCCAAGACTATGCTACGGACCCCACAGAGGACTCTAGCCATTGGAGCCGCCGCAAACTGGCCAAGTGAGTGGCCTCGTGCTGTGCTTGTTCCAAAGTACTGCAGAGTAAGCAGTGCTGCCCACTACAGTGCTCCCAGGATGGCAGGATGAAATCCGCCTGCCTCACATATCTGCCCTCCCCTAGCTCAGTCACGCCCATTGGGTCTCTCCCCTCCAAGTCAGAAACCTCCGACTTTATCCAGCAGACAGGCCCGGCCTTGGATCCATCAGGGCAGATGCTAGCTGGGCTTTGCAGTAATGCCTGAGATGGCAGTGCAGACTTCTGGAGCAAGTGTCTCCGTCTCCATGCTGAGGTTCATCAGTTGTTCTCAACTCCGCAGAATGGAGCTGTGCATGGAGAGAGATCTCCAAACTTCGTGCCTTTGAGAACAGCAGCCTTCAGGTTTGAAAGCAATTGGTAAGGAGGGCTTGTTTGCCATTTCAGAGTCCAGCTGCCAGAATACATCTTGGACTTTGGCTACATCATCCTCGGTAACATCCAAACCCACATCATCAAGATCACCAACACCAGTCACTTCCCAGTGTCCTTCCATGCCGAGAAGCGCGTCCTTCATGACACAGGTAACAGGCTGGGGAGGCCTTCCCACTGCCCTTTTCCTTTCCCAGCAAGGTGTCTCCTGCACTATCCTCCTGGGGAAGACTTTCTGTGGCCCTGGGAGCAACTGAAACACTTGTGGGGCCACTGGGGACACTCTGTGTGTCCATCCTTCCCCCCGGGTCTCCATCTGGAGCAGCTCTGCTTTGCTAATCCTCTTCCCCACCAAGGAATTTTGTTGATCTTGGTCCAGGCTTCAGTACCGAGCTAGATCGTGTCAAGAATCTGCCTTACTGTGAAACAGAGATATTTGAAGTGAGATTTGACCCACAAGGGGCGGGTCTTTCTGTTGGAAACAAAGAAGTCAGTCTGCCCATCAAGGTGAGATGCAGCCCTGGGCCTGGCTGACCCTCCCCAGCTTCCAGCGCTGCCTGCTGGTCACCCAGTAACAGCAGCGTTGTACCCGGTGTAGGTGGTCGGAGGGCCCACCGTTCACATCTGTCTCCGAGCCAAGGTGACCATCCCCACCATGACCCTGTCCTGTGGAAAAGTGGATTTTGCCACCGTTCAGTGTGGGCAGTGCCTCGTGGAGACGATTCAGCTCTCCAACCACCTCCAAGTCCCTTGTGAATGGTTTGTCCACAGCCACAAGCCTGAAAATAAGGTGAGTTGTGGCCTGTTGGTCCCCTGTGGCCCTTTCCTTCTCAGTGGGATTTGTGACTCTAGGCCTTCACTCTTATCATTCTGCACTCCTGCTCCCAGACTTTCACTGGCAGACATTGAGCCTGTGGAAGATCTAGGCCCTTAGCCCAGCACTCAAGGACCTGTCTGACAATGCTCCCATCCCACATCTTGATTGTCTCTGTAGCCCTGTATCTGTGTGCTCCCCAACACCCAGGACATACTCAGTTAATGTAGGTTGAGTACACAGAGAATGAAATAAGTCCATTTTCAATAGGTGATGATCTAATTGTCTGATACTTTATTAACCAGCTGGAGAAACACATGCCAAAGTACTTAAAGCGGAAACTACATGCTGAATTAAAGCCAAAGTCCCAGATCTTTGAGATCCAGCCCACTTCTGGAATCTTGGATCCTGGTGAGAGAGCCAATGTGCAAGTGAAATTCATGCCCAAAGAGGAGGTAAGTTTTAAAGAAATGTGGTTTTGTTCAGACTCCTGGATGGCTTTGAGCTCCAAGGAAGCTTCGAGGAAATTGGGTCTTGCTATCCAATTATGACATCTCCAGCACCTCTGGTAAAGATGGGAACTGTGAGGCCTGGTGGTTAAGTGCCCCAACTCTGGAATCAGCAGATCCATCAAACATACTGATTCTTAGCAGCATAGCTTAGTGGCCTCTGCCTCCAGGTCCTTCCAGGCCAGGTGACTCTGAGCAGATTACTCAGCCTCACCATAGATGAAACAAAAATAAGAGGATCACATGTCAAAGATCTCTTGTTGCAGTTCTAAAATCCAATAAGCCCCCAACCTAGAAAGAAAATGTCATAGGTATTACACCTATACTCTGATAGAAAATCCTCATCTGATCTGACATAAGGCTATTTAACCTTCTTTTTATCCCACTTGGTTTGCACAGACAAACAGTGCAACTGCAGAATTATCACTGTGTTTGACTACAGGGGACCTGCCCCAGGCCATGCTGGGGGTATTGGGCAACATAGGGTATACACATGGTGCTCACCTTTTTAAAAATGTGAATTTGGATGCATTCACCCCTAAAATTTCAGGCCAGACATTATCAACCTGCAAGGCTACCTCCTAGGGTGATTTGGAAGTTTAAATGAGTTAATGTGAACAAAGTGCACAGCCTGCTGCTCTGAATGTAGTGCTGTAACTGTCACTGTGGTACTTGCATGATGATAAGAAGAAGTGCATCCTGTAGACAGCCTCCCTGCGTCCCACAAATGTGTCTTTTGTGAACACCATCAGCACAAAGAACACAATAAAAATAATAAAATCCTAGAACCATAGGGAATCTCAAGAGGTTACATTATACAGAATTTTGCTCACAGCCTAAGGCATCTGGAAGATGATCTTCTCTATTCTTTTTTAAAAAAGATTTATTTTTTATTTATACAATAGCTGGGGCACAGGCCAGAGGCGTGGGATGGTGAGAGGATTCACCAGAGACAGAGCAGGGAACAGAACAGGCAGAAGGACCAAAAGCACTGCTGAGGGGAGCAGCGGGCACGACAGGGGAGGTCTGCTGTGCCTTGTGGGAATCTTCCTGGCCTGCCAGGAATCGAACCCACACTGCAGAGGCTGCGGACAGCTTCACAGTGCTGTGCTTAACCTGCTATGCTACCGGGGAGGCCCCCTCTATTCTTTTAAATAAAAAAAAAATCTACATTCATTTTACAGAATAGCTGTGGTTAACATCCATATTCTTGGGGATGGCTTTGAGGAAATGCTTAAAAATCTGCAGTGAGAAATAAGAAAGTGAGTGATTTCATATCCCTATTTCCATCATTATCAAAATCTCCCCCACCCTTTTTAAAAGAAAGAAAATTAATGGTTGGCAGTCTTTAAGAATCTTAAGACTGTGAAGAGGCTTAATCAAGATTTCAGATGTTTAACTGAATGAGGGATATACCAAGAGTCAAAAATAGATTTGTTTAAGAAGTTCCATAAATGTTGAGTTGGAATTGGTCAGAGTTAATGTTTTCCCCAATCAGGAGTGGAACTTCTGGGCTGTATACAAGGATTTGGCATTAGCCCATTCAGTCTACATCTGTATTCCATCAATATCAGCCACACATGATCACTTCTTTGATGTTACAGCATATGTTAAGAATACTGTGTTAGAGAACAAGGAAAAGTGTTAAATGTTTTAGAAAGATTTATATTTTAAAAAGCAGTTAAAATACAGACATGTGGGCCATAAGGTGCTAAACCCATAACTGTCATAGAAAAGTTAATAACATGTTCTCTTACTGTTTCCAACAGATATTTTTCAGAATGTGTCCGTATATCCCCATGTGCATTCCACCCATCAGATTTTTCACCCTGGAAGTAACATAGCTTGGAGTGCTTCAAATCATGGAGCTCCTCAATGTTCTGAACCCAGTTCCTGAACCCACCTGTATCAGCGCAGCCTGGGTATCTGGTTAAAAGCGTAGGCACCCCAACCTTCCCCTGAGCCCACCATATCAGTACCTCCAGGGGCAGGGCCTGTGCATCTGCATTTACTTGGTATCCAGCGACACTAGGTTAGGATTGTTGGTGTCACTATCAACTGGCATTTAGATTTTAATTGTATCAGATAAAATCAGTGCCCTATCTTCTCATCCCCACTTGCTCCTTACCTACATCTCAAATAATGAAAATACATCAGATTCTTCAAGAAACAGATCTGGAGACAAGGATTTAAGTGCAAGCAGATTAACCGGTAGGGAGCACCGGTAGAGAGGCAAGCGGTGACAAGGGAGGAAAAAGGCAACTGATAAAAGATGTACAAGTGAGCCAGCCACCTTGGAGGCTGGAGCTTGATCACACTTGAAAGTTGAGGAAATACACAAAATTCACATTTCAGATTATCCCTCCCAGGAGCAAGAGAGCAGGATCTTTATACAGTAACTCTTGAGTCATTGGTTCAAGACAGATCCAGAGGTTATAACTTTCTTTTCACATCTGCCCCTCATGCTCTGCCCAGTCTGTGCAGAGCAGAGCCTGGGAAATCAGGACCCAGAGGTACAGATAGTGGCGGGGCAATGTTCAAGCACATTCAGGGACCGGAGAGCCTCTTCCTTGTGCCAAAGTATGTGGGGTGCCCAGCATCATGATACCCAGCATTAATACAGTCATAGAAAGTGCTCTTGTGTGATCTCATTAGAAAAGCTCTCTTTTGGGTCTCCCTGGTGGCGCAAGGGGTTAAGTCTCAGCACTATCAAGCTATTAGCAGCCACTCTAGCAAGAATTCGATCCCCAGCCAGGGAGGTGACCCAATGGCACAGCAGACCTTGCCTATCTCACCCACTGCTCCCCTCAGCAGTGTATTTCTGTCGATCTGCCTGTTCTGCTCCCCACTCTGTCTCTGGTGAATCCTCTCACCGCTTGCACCTCTGGCCTACATCCCAGCTCTTGTATGCATAAATAAAGTAAATCTTAAAAAAAAAGAGTCTTCTCTCTCAACCTAAATAGGATCAGTTTTGTTCATCAGTGTTTTTCAGTTCTGCATGGAATGTAACAGAAAAAAAATCAAATGTTTATTTTGGTTTTACCTTTTCCAGAAATCATACAGTCAAATGCTGGTGTTCCAGGTTGCTCAGAGTGCTCAGAAGCTCACGCTGCTGGTGCAGGGGCAAGGCCTGGAGGCACACTTGGAATTCAGCCCTTCCATTCTAGAGCTGGGGCCCCTGCTGCCGTATGCACCTGGAGATGAGGGCGAGGTGGTGGTGAAGAACCCCTGCAACTTCCCCATTGAGTTTTACTCCTTGGAGTTTGACCAGCAATATATCATAGAAGAGAAGGTGGGCAGAGACCCCAGCCGACCTCATTTCCCTACCCCTGCCAGGCACTGTCATGCTCTTCTCTCTGCGGGGACAGCGTCCTCCTGCCTTTGGCCCCTTCTTCCCCTTGATCTTCCTCATCAATTTGAAGATGATGTCTCTGTAGCCTTTCCTGACCTACTTCCCTTGAGAATTCATCGCTTCTTTGTGATCTCATTATACGTTTTAAATAACTAATTGAAAACCTAAAGCATGCCCCCGTTACATCTCTAACAGTAAGGCAACTCTATGTGGCAATCAGAGTTGAAGTGGTTTCTTATAGACAGAACACATTTGGTCTTCTCTATTATATTCTTTCTGTGTCTTTGATCAGTGTATTTAGGCCATTTTACACTTAATGTAATGATGTTAGGGCTTAAATTTGCCTTCTTTTTTTTCTGTTTATTCTGGACTGCTTATTTTTTCTGTTTATTCTGGACTGCTCCTCCATGTCCTTTTTTCCCCATTTACTTTATTTTTTAGAACAGTTTTAAGTCCACATCAAAATCAAGGGGAAGATACAGAGATTTCCCATGTAACTCCAATCCCCACATGCCCACTTATACACAGCCTCCTTTACCAAGCCATTTAAGGGGTATTTGTTGGCAATTGAGGGGCAATAGTTTGGCCTTTTCCAGAATGGCATTATAGTTGCAATCATACAGTATAGCCTTCCACTTAAGAAACATTTAAGGTGCCTCCGTGTCTTTTCATGACCTGATAGATCATTTTCTTGAACATTCTTTTCCTCTGGATCCTCTGTGTATGAGACCACCACGTAGATAGGGTGATATTGCTAACCACAGCAGATTTTTTAGGAATGTGCCGACTGCTTAATGGAGTTCAATATTTTGATCAATAGACAAAAAAATAACAAGAAAAAACAACAACAACAACAAAACCCCAATCTATGTTATTTTTAAAACAAGGAGAAACCACTCCTTCATGGGTGATATACCAAGGCTCAAATGGAACCAAATGAAGATCCCCTGTCTCCTTGGATCCAGGGCTCAGTCTTATTTTTAAGCCACCCCAGAAGATCATGCATGTTGAAATCTAGAAAGTATTTGTACCCACGCCGGTCTCAGAGTCAGAAGCGTGGCTTTTTTTTTTTTAAGATTTATTTATTTATGCATACAAGAGCTGGGGTACAGGCCAGAGGTGTGGGGGGGTGTGAGAGGATTCACCAGAGACAGAGTGGGGGGCAGAACAGGCAGATTGACCGAAGTACACTGCTGAGGGGAGCAGTGGGCAAGTCAGGAGAGGTCTGCTGTGCCATGTGGGCAGCTCCCTGGCCCAGGGATTGAACTCGTGCTACAGTGGCTGCGGGCAGCTGCATAGCTTGCGTCTTAACCCCTTGCACCACCAGGGAAGCATGGCTTTTATGAGATGAAGAAGCACCCCCCGGGCTGTGGGGAGAAGCTGCCCGGGGGACCACCTGCAGCCCCCTCCTTTCTCCCTGAGCAGATCCTGCGAATGCTCAAGGGTTACGACTCCTACAACACCTTGCTGCTGCCTCCCCGCCAGCCGGGGGAGAAGCTGCCCCCAGAGCTGTACGAGCACTTCAAGGAGATGAAGCGCTGCAAAGAGGAGCAGATGAAGGCCAAGTATCTAGAGAGCCTGGAAAATGGTAAGAACTCAGCGCTGGCACTGAGTGACCCCTGCTGGGAAACCAGCCAGTTACTGGACACCAACCATGCCCCATACTGTCTTTCCAAACCTGAGACGATGATCCTGTTACCTCCACCGTGTGGCTGCAAAGGCTGTGTGGTTCACACTCCCCCCTCACCAGAGTCTAGTGGGGCGTTAAGATGTAAAAGCTGCTCATGCAAGTAAGTACCAGCAGCTGCGCGTTGGAAACCTGCCCTGTGCAGAGGCTTTCCACATACAGTTGAGAAACTCAGGCATTGAGCGCCAGACCCATCACCCGTTTAAGTGGCAGAATCAGGACTCATGCTCAGGTCTCTCTGACCTGGAGCCCCCAGGGTAACTGCTGTTCCCCACTTCGTCTGTGCGTTTGCCAAGGCAATGCTGAGGAACCCAGCACACGCTAAGAGAAGGCAGTGGGAGCACTCATGAGGAAGACGCTGGCCCTCCATGGTCCTCAAGGCCATACTCCAACCAGAAAGCTGGACTATGTCCTCATGGTCTTGTCCTTTTGACCAAGCACCCCCGAGTGACCCCATCATCTGCTCAGGGGCCCCTTTGGGTTCATTCGAGCACAAAGGTTCCAGACAACCTACAGGTTGTGTGGTTCATGCTTCCCCACACCCCCCACCCCCTGGCTGTGTGTCTTCCCCGTTGTGTGCTCTCTTCTGCATGATGGTCATCACACATGTCATTATTTCCTTCATACCCATGTCCCCACTAACAAAAAGTCCCATGAAAGTAGTGATCACATATTCCCGCTGAAAACCCAGGGCTTGGAACAGCACCTCGTGTGTCATAGTAGCCAGTAAATTCATGCTATGGAAGTGAATGAATGAATGAGTGGAATGGAGTCTCTGCCTCCTGCCCTTGGCCAATCTTGCTGTCTCCCAAGGAAATACAAGTGAGCCTGAAAATACTAGTTTCCCCTAAAAAAAACATGTAAGAAAAAGAAGTTGCCTCTCCACACCATCTCCTGGCCGTAGTTATTGAGCACCATTTCTCTGCCAGAACTGCCTTCACAAATGGATAAGGCTTGGGCACTTAACCAATAGCACTTTATTTTCTCATGGCTCCTGAGGCTAGACATTCAAGATCAAGGTGTCGACAGGGTTGTTTTCTGTGGACCCTCGCTCCTTGGCTTGTCAGTGGGCATCTTGCCCCATGTGTATCTGTGTCTCAATCTAGTCTTTTAAGAACGCCAGGCATGCCAGTTTATGGAGGCACTAGGTCACCCTTACGACTTCATTTAGGCTTAATTACCTCTTTAAAGGCCCTGTCTTCAAAACCAGTCACATTCTGAGATACAGGGTGTGAGGATAGCACTTCAACATCAGAATTTTAGGGGGACCAATTAAGCCCATAACAAACACCCACTGTGTTCTAAGCATTGAGTTTATGTGCTAGAAAGAAGATCAAACAAGCCATCTGCTTGCTCACGGTCTGGAAGGTGGGTCATAGGCGTTTAAACTTAGGGGTACTTGGTGGTCCAAGAGCTGTGGGGGTGGGGAGGATGTGAGGCCACATACAGAGGACTTTGTGAGGGAGGAGATGGGCCCTCTTGTTCTTGTCCCCACGTTATTGTCCTGTCCTCAAACACCTCAGTATGGGGCCAGGTTGGGAGGGGTGGCAGTCCTCTTGTTCAGTGACAGTCCAGCCTGCCCACTGAAACTGTGGGGTGGAGACAACAAGGAGGGCAGGTGTGCTGAGCAACAGCATGAAGAGACATTCCTGAAAAACTCGGGGCAAAGCTGGCTGCAAGTCAGTATCTACAGTATAATCTCAAGTCCGGTTTTTAAAAATGAGAAATCAGAGAGGTTGCCACTCTCTCGCCTCTGTTGGCTTCATAAATTCAGCTGCAATTCCTCTGTCACCATTTGTTACCAATGTGTCTCTTTTTATAGATGAATTTTATAAATTTTTGCTCTTCTGAATTTTCTGAGCTTTCTAAGACAAATATGTAACCTTGGGTTTTTGTTTGTTTTTTTCTTTTTTTCGTAGAAGATCTGGGGTGTAGGCCAGAGGTGCAGGGGTGGGGGTATTTAGAGAATTCACCAGAGACAGAGTGGCGAACAGAATAGGCAGATCGATTCAAACACTGCTGAGGGGAGCAGCAGGTGAGTCAGGAGAGGTCTGCTGCACCATGTGGGTTGCTCCCTGGCCAGGGATTGAACTCAGAGCAAGGAGGTCATAGCACTGAGTCTTAACCCCTGGCCACCAGGGATGCCTTTGGTGTGTTTTGCTGTTCTTTTTTTTTTTTTTTTTTTTTTTAATTCAAATGGAGGAGCACTTTGTGATGAGAAACTTCTTAAGCCGCCAACAGCAGCTCTTCTTTATTTGGGTTGGCCAGTCCCAGTAGATCACCAGCCATTCAGTGATTCTCCCCCCTTTCTCTCCTTTTCTGCCCCCAACTTCCTCATCCCCCAACTTCTCTCCATGTATTTCCATCCCTTGCTCCCTAACAGAAGAAGAAGAATCGCCCTTGTCAGAGCAGGGGACCTCCATGAGCACGAAGAGGACGTCTATCAGCCGAGGTGTTTCTGTCACGTCCAACCTGGAAGAGCGACATGTCCCAAATGTCGATTACAAAACCTACCCCGATGATGAGGAGGACGAGGAGAGCTTGGAAAAAATAATGTTTCAAAGTAAGCAAACTTTTTCATATGCGGGCGCCAGTTCCCTAGAAGCAGGAGTGGACTGTTCAATGCCCTTTCACCCTTCCCCATAAGGGGCCTCCTCTGAGCCTTCGGGCGCTGCTGTGTATTAATTCTACAGGGAGAGGCAACCATTTTCTTAGCCATTTCCCTCAATGATGCAAATCCTGCAGGTTCCCAATATTATTGTTCAGCAGGAGAGATTCCCAGAAATGGAATCAAGAGTCAGAGAATATCTGTCTTTTAAGATCTCTTAGCTGAACATTAGCCAGAAGGGGCACCTTTGAACACAACAGGGGCCAGCAAGAACTGCAGCAACATTTAAGGCAGATGATGTTTGTCGTTTAAAAATAATGCTTGAAAAGAAAGTCTTTCCTGTTCCCTTCCGAACCATGTGAATCCTGGGTGTGTCCACACACATGCACGTGAGTGTGCACACACAAACTTTTTTTTTTTTTGTAATTTGCAGCTGACAAGTTACAGAGCATTGAAAGCCAGTCAGTAGAGGAGGTTGGAGAAGTAGAGAATAACCCTGTGAACAGGGCCATTGCTCGCTACCTGGGCATTGACATTTCTTCAGAAGGCCAATTGGCCAAGAACCGGAAAGGCATTGCCGTTATCATCCACGGGACCCCCTTGTCAGGTAGGCCAAACTCCCAGGGGCTGGCTTTTTGGGATTGGTGAAATTGAGATGTGTAATTTTTGAGGCAATAAAAAGAAATTTGCATACCAAAAGATTGCCCCCAAACTATTAAATTGCCAACCTCATAGGTACAGGGTTAGAGAAAGAGCAGTGACTGCTCATTTTTCAAATGATTGTGTCTCTAACTTGTTTGCATTTCTATTTTTTCAATAACTTTAAAACTTTAGAAAAAGTCTAAGACATTACATTATATAAAAAAAATGTAAAAGTACATGCAAACACTTTGGCTATATTCTAAAACTTTATGTCAAGTTAGGAAAATAATTAATGATGTGGACAAAATTTAACCACTGGACATATACTGCAGCATTGTTTACCTTAACAAAAATGCAGGGAGCTATTGAGGCATTTAATATGTGAAAATGGTAAATGAAACCACAGTCTGTTCATTATATTACATTGCCATTAAAGTCAGTGCTTTGTACTCCATGTTCGCAGCAGTGTTGCAATAGCCAAAAGGTAGAAACAACTCACTGTTGATGGATGAACTGCTGAACAAAATGTGTTACAGTGGAATATTATACAGCCTTAAAAAGGAAGGAAAGTCTTATACATGCCACAACATGGATGAGCCTTGAAGATACTATGTTTGGTGATACAAAATAAAGACAAAAAGACAATTACTGCATGATTCCATTGATACGGGGTACCTGGAGTAGTCAAATTCTTGGAGACAGAAAGTAGAGTGGTCATTTCCAGGGTCTTGTGGGGGAGGGCAGAATTGAGGGGTTACTGTTTAATATGAGTCCAGAGTTTCTGGAAGATGAAAAGGCACTGGAGATGGATGGTGGTGATGCCTGCACAATGATGTGAGCATACATTTGCAGCTTGAAAATGAGTAAAATGATAAAATTTGTATGCATATTGCCACAATTTTAAAAAATGGCCATGGAAGTGTATTGAATAAAGAGAAAGATGATCACAATGTATCTTTTTACTTAAAAAAAAAACCATACTTATGACTTTTATCTGTATTACTTCCCTATTGCTAACTGTAACAGATAGCCACAAACTTAGTGACTTAACATAATGCAGATTTACTTTCTCTTTTTAATTTCATTTTAATTTTTTAAAATTTACCACTAGTTTTCATAACAAAAGTTTGCCTTTTTGTTGTTGAGTTTTATGAGCTCTTTTTAAATTTTTTTTATTTTATATTTTTTTTACATCATTTTTCATTTTTGCACAATGTATCCATTTTCATCTTGGTTATAGTCCCCATACAATTCCCACCACCCCTGTTTTGATCCTACTCCCTTCTCTCCCCCACCCCCCAAGTATGTCTCTGGTCTTACAGGTCTAGATGTCAAGAGTTAGATGTCAACGGGCTGCTGCGCTCCTCTGAAGGCTGTTGGGGAGGATCCATCCCTTGTCTTTTTTACTGCAAGAAGTATTGCCTGCTCCTGCTCCTTCCTCCATCTTCAAAGCCAGCATCGTGGCATCTCCAGTTTCTGTTTCTTTTAGCTTTCGTCATCACACTCTGGGTTCTGACTCTATCCCCACTGCTTCTCTTTCATAGAAGGACCTTTATGATTAAACCATGTCACCCACATAATCCAGGATGATCTCCCACATTAACACCCTTACCTTAGTCACATCTGCAAAGCCCCTTTACCAAGTGCAGTGACATCTTCACAGATTCCAGGGATTAGAATGTGTTCATGTTATATAGCCCATTTCTTTTCTATAAGGAATAGAGAACAAATAGCATACTCAGGAGCAGTACACTTAGCAACCATATGCTAATTGTCATCTCTCTGGATGAGTAAATTATAGATTTTTTTCCTTTTTTCTGTTACTTCTGAGTTTTATTATTGAGCAGCTATCTTGAAATGAGATAAAAAGTCAACACAAGTTATTCTTTTAACCAAAATAGTCCTACCATTAGAGACAGTGAGACCTACAAGATTTTTAAAGATCACACCATAGAAATCACTTTTTCAACTGAGGGGGATATCCAAAGAGGAGGTAGGTTGCCATAGCTTATGGTACATAGGTAGCAGGATTAGGGCCAGAACCCAAAGTCCAGACTCTTGACTCAGCTCTTCCCTCTCTTTCCTGCTGCCACCAATGCCACAGAGGTCTATTTACTGGGCTCAGCCTGGAACACCGAGCAAGTGTGTCACATGATCCAACCCCCTTGCTATTTCATAGGAAAGTCAGCCACTGCCGTCAGCACAGCCAAGTACTACAATGCAGCCTGCTTGAACATAGACTCCATCATGCTGGAAGCCATCTCCGACAGTAACAGCATTCCAGGGATCCGAGCCCGGGAGCTCTGCATCAGGGCTGCCATCGAGCAATCCATGAAGGAAGGAGATGAATCTAGTAAGCACCCTGACTCCATGGGGTTCAGTGATGGGCACCACCAGCGGTAACACCGAACTCCTTTGCTGCCCCACTGAGCTTTTCTCCCCGAGCCCAGTTGAAAGCTGACTTTGGCTGCCAACGTAGGAGCCTGGAGGAGGGTTCTCTTCCCAAGCACAGACAGCTGTCCCAGGAAGGCACACACTTAGCAGTGCAAGGAATAAAACAATTAACAAGACCTCCCCACACCTTTGGGGGTGACACCTGGAAGGGGGCAAACATGTTCATTCAGCACAGAGGAAACTAATATTGTGACAGAAGTACCAACTTCTGAGCAAATTTGGGGGTACTAAGCATGTTTGGGGGAAATTTTAATAGAAATGGGCTTTGAAGGAGCAGAGAAATGTTGATTGGCAAAGATGGGGACCAGGACATCCTAGACCAAGAAAGCAGGAAAGCTGACAGTAAATCAGAAGTAGGAAGGCAGGTTGAAGCCAGTTGTAGTAGACCTTGATGACAAGATTAGTAATTTGGATTTTATTTGGAAGGAGAAGAGCAGCAGGGAGGTTTTGACCCTATGGGAGAAATGGTCTAAAAATCACGGAAGGAAGTAGCTCTTCTAATGTCTTGGAAAGGAAGCAGTGGTGAAGCTGACTGTGAATGGTACTGGGCAGACTGACCTGGGTGCCTGCCGAGGGCCAGGGAATTGAAGGAGTGGAAGATGTTCAAGATGGCCACGCTACTGTGTCTCATCACTTAGAGCTGGAGAGACTGACGCCGTTACCCAGGGAACAGGGAGGAGGAGAGTTTGCTGCAAAGGAAAATTAATTTTTTTGAGCCCCATGGAAGTGAGACCTGATGTGGCCTACCTACCAAAGGTAGAGAATCCCTCCCTCCCCCACTGAGGACCCTGTAGGTCACCCAAGGGCTTACAAGACAAACGGAGGACTGGTCAATACATTGGAAATAGGCTGCGTGTAAATCAGAGTGTGTGCTCAGAGCTGAATCACTTTTCTATAAACAGCCCTGACAGCACGGCACCATCCCCAACAGGGTGCCACTTCTGCTGCTGGTAAACTGCCTGGGGCTTTCAGGGGCGTGTCCTCCTCTCAGCGCCTCTATGTGAACGCATAGGGAAATGGGAAAGCCGAGAAATAGCTATCCTAACATCTCAGGCCACCGTCTGTGTCTGCTATACCCTCACGTTTCTCCTTTGGGGGCCCCTGATCCATCCTCGCAGAATAGGAACCTTACATTGAGCAAGCCCATGAGACAGAGCTTGCCTTTGTGGTTGTGGGTGAGAAAACGCAACAGCTCATTGTGAAGGCCAAAGACACCCCAGTGAGGGCTTTTATGACCAACTGTCTTGGAAACCCTTTTAAATAACTGCGTCAACCTGAAAAGGAACTTGTCGGGATCAAGTACGTTTCTCCATTTGGCAGTGGCAATCTGACTGGAAGGGTGGGTGGAGGTAAGGACGAGAAATTAATTCTGAAGCCCACATTTGCCAACAGGCCAGCTGTTATTACTCAGCCTGCTGTTTACCGGGGCAGTGTGGCACGGAGCAGAGGATGCTCTGTGCATGTTCCTCGCAACGGGGCCACTGCCCTGAGCCACCAACGTCAGGTGTCGGGCTTCCAGGGCAGGTTACCATGTATAGCAGTCTCAGAAATGATCACCCCCAGGCTGGAAGAGATTGTGGGGAGCTGACTGTGAAGTGCCCTGGGCTCCCATCTCTCCACTGACTCTCATCATCGAGCCTCTGGGGGTGGTAGGTGTCACCCCCTGACCAGCTGCAAAGGGACATGGCTCTGTATTCCTGAAGAGAATCTTGTAAGTCTCAGCCTGCCGTCCCAGCTATGCCTTATGACCCTGAGGTTCCTTTTGATATAAATCCTCTCTTTCCATGTAGCCCAGGAGGCAGGTTCTGGCCAAACTGCTGTGGGACAGACAGGACTGAGTGGCGAGACCCTGGGCAAGTTAACCTCGGAGACCACTCTCGTGCTCCCTGAAGTTAAACCTGCAAAGACTCTGCGTGGGAGCATGGTGGTCCCCAAAGCCAAGACGGAGATCCACACCTCTGGCTCTCAGAAGCACCACTCACACTCGTCCGACACCCCACAGGTACATCCTAGGGCCCCCCAGATGGAGGCTGGGGTGCTTCTTCCTCCTCAGCCTCCTGCCGGCAGGTGAAGGTGATTCCTGGGTGCTTTCTCCAACGGCCCGAGCACCATCGCTGCCCTGCTCCTATGGAAGGATCTCGTCCAGCAGGTGTGGAGCAAGCGCCTTATGTGACAGGCACTAGGTTGGGGACTGGACGAGTGACAGCACATAAAGCAAAATCCCTGCATTAGAACTTCGTTAAGTCTCATACAGGAGAGAACCACACCTTCAATTATTGCCGTAAAATGAGATTGGTGACAAAAGAAGTGTGGACACAGAATTAGATTGAGCCATGTAAAATGGCCAGTGTTCAGCCACTGCAGACTCCATAACCATCTGCTGTGGCTTGCCCTAACACTACGGGAACACTAAGGATGTAATCAGCAGGACAGGTACCCGAGGGCTGCAGAGGAGTCTTAGGAAGTCACAAGAAAGTCATTCGAAGGTCTGGACCACACGGGCAGCAAGCAGGATAGCCAGCCTTGTTTGTTGTTGTATACCTGGTGCCTAGTAGGTGCTCAAGAAATACCTGCTGAGTGAATAAGGTAATGTGTGTGGTTTAGTACGTAGGCAGTTCTTGAATGAAGATGGGGGCCTTCCACTTCACATGGTAGCCCCTATGTTGCAGGAGAAATGAGGCCCAGAGAAATTACATGATTTTCCCAAGGTCACGGGGCTGCTAAGTACAGAAGTCCCTCAGGCCCTAAGCTGGATTCTAACCCCTGACCCTTCCCCTCTTGACAGATATCCAGTAGCCCTCTTCCCTTTGGGCCCATGCAGCGCCGACTCAGCGTCAGCGCCAGTATCGGCGGTGAGACTGGACTTATGAGCTGTGTGCTCCCCGAGGAGCTGTTCACACAGATCCTGGCTGAACGCATACAGGTACTTTCACTGGGGCCCAGAGGTCTCCAGAGCCAGCTGTGGTGCCAGTATAAGCACCAAGGAAAGAACGAGCAATTTTGCATGGGGAGGAGGAGGATCCTGGGGCTGGCTTCACTGTCTTTGCTCTCTCTGTTTCAGCTGAGCGACTGCTTCCGGGGAGTGGTGTTTGATGGCCTGGAAACGCTCTTTGCTCGGAACACCACCTCCACCCTCCTCTGCCTGCTGAAGGCCATTGGCAACAGGGAGTACATCTACGTTCTCAACATGGCCCAGGACTACACAGCCATGAAGGCCCAGGAGAAAGCCAAGAAGGAGCAGGAAGGTAAGGCCCTTTCTCCCAGGTCTTTCCTGCATCGGAGCTTTTGGCGTGGATAATGTTTGCCTGTCAAGATCACACACTGGGCTTCTAGAAAACTCTTACCTTTGCTGTTGACACCGCACTCTGTTCTGTCAGGTGGCAGTTCTTGCTTCTGCTTTGCCCAGTGGGGGACTGAGACACCTGCGGAGAGGTTGTGGAGTGAAGGATGAGCCCGAACGTTGCTTCTTCCCCCACCTCGCAGCTGTCCCTTCACCTGCTCCATGATCATGACCCACCGCAAGGGAGCACATCACTCACCCCACCTGACTCAGGCGACCCACACACCTACTGTGCATTTCCTATGAAACGGGAGGTGCTAGTAGCCTTTTTAGCAGGACCACCATGGCTGTGAGTGCACTTGGGCTTCAGAAGAGGCCCCCAAGTGTCTTCCACAGAGGCAAAAAGAAGGCCCAGTTGGACCCACGTGAGACACATGAAATCACTAAAGCCACCACCCACCAGCAGAAGCTGATAAAGGTTGGCCTGTCATCCAGACACCTGTGACTGTGCAGTCTCAGGCCCAAGGCTGGAAAAATGCCTTGGCCCGCCCTAAGGGAAGGCATATGGGCCTAGGTAAGTGGAAGGGCACCACCAGTGCTTGAATGCCCAGAAGGGTACCTGGACGAGAAGGAGGAGAACTCTGCGCCGGCTACCTAGAAGGTCCCATGAATCTCAGAAGGCTGACACCATCACAGCCTGAACTGGGAAGTGAGGAGGAACATATTGTGAAGCAAGTGGATGCTCAGGTACACACCCACAAACTGAAGGCAGTGGGGCTGTGGTCTGAAACTGAGGAAGCCTGTGAAATGGTGAGAAGCGGCGCCCGGCCACGAAGGAGAGCATCACGAGTCTGTCCAGGGAGGACACCAAGAAATAAAGCTCTTCCCCTCTCTTGTCTGTTCATAGCGGCCATGACAATTACATTCATCGATCATTCCATGAAACAAGACTTTATCTGCCTTAAAAAAAAAAATAACACAAGAGGTATTGATAAACTTTACAAAACAACTTTTACATCTCAGCTTACTGTGTGCCAGGCACCGCAGCAATTTTGTACATGCTAAATGTGTTCAAATGCTAATCTGAGTCGACTGATCCTTGTGTGTCCCTGTGAAGATCATTGTCCCCAGTTTACAAATGGGGAAAATGAGACTCAGATACCAGAGGTCTTGTGTAAGATCACATAGCAAATTAGTGAGACCTGCATAACTAAAACCCGTACTTTCTCTGTCAGTCCTTCTGTGGCCTGGAAAAGCATGTATTGAAAGATTTGATTGAAAAATAGACAGTCATGCGGAGTAATTTTAGGTTAAATTCCCAATTTGGTCAGGAGACCTTGCAGAGCTTGGCCCCCGCAGGAGGAGGTGACTCTGTCCCTGGAAGGCAGAGCCTATGCTGCCTCAGATCTGGCCACCAACCTGCCCTCGTTCACTTGGGCATTTTGCTTGCTTCTGGAATAGTCTACACAAATCATGCTTTTCCACAGAAGGAAACATTTCTAAACCCTGGGCTCCCTTAGTTCTTAAACAGAGCTCAAAGACTCTGTCCTGAATTCTGATCCAGAGGAAATTCTGGAATAAAAACCAGGTCTCCCCAAGAATATTTTAACCTACAGCTTCCCAGTTTTCCAGAAAACTCATTTCCCCCATAATCACCAACTTAAAGAAAATATCACAGTTTTTTTTTTTTCAATTGCGGGTTGAGGTGCCTCCGGGTGGCTCTGCGGGCTCTTCCCCTCAGCCATCCTCCTTGGGACAGGCCCTCGGGTGCACTGCAGTGACATTATTACATCAAAGGCTAGTGTTTACTGGACACTTAGGAATGGGCCAGGTCCCCGGAACAACCCTGTGCAGGAGGAATTATTCTTACCTGTCACAAGCCCTTAGTTATTGTCTGGGAAAGAACAGATGTAGGTGTCAAGCACGAACTGACGAGAATGTCAAGTGAGAATGCTGGGCTAGTGAGGTGTGAAGAAGCAGCCAGTGCCTGTGCCAAGTGTGAACCACACTTCAAGCCAAACCAAAGTCTGTAGGGTGTGGATGATGATGCCCTTGGTCTGCAAAGGCTGTGTGACCCGGAGTGCTTGGTGGCATGTGCGCGTGATGGGTCCAGTCAGCGGGTGGTATTTTGGGTTGTCAGAAAAGTCATGACGTATTTTTCCTATGTTTTCTATGCAAAAATGTGTCGTGACTTTTCTGATAACCCACTATTATTCTCTAACGTCCTATAACCTATTGCCACAATCTCGGTGACTTTAAACAACACAGCCTTATTATCTTTCAGCTCCGGAGGTCAGAAGTCCTACAATTCAGGTGTTTGACAGGCCGTATTCTCTTGGAGGTTCTAGGGGGAAATCGTCTTCTCGCTTCTTCAGAATCTAGAGGCACCTGCGTTTCTTGTCTCTTGGTCTTGTCCACGCAGCCCTCTGGCCGCTGCTTCACCATCACATCGCCTTCTCTGACTCTTAACCTCCTGCCTTCCTCTTACAAGGACACTTGTGTTATGTTGCACCCACTTGGGTCATCCAGGATAATCTCCCCAGCTCAAGGCCCCTCACTTAATCATATCCACATAAGGTGACATCCCGTTTTGTGAGGATAAGGGCATGGCCATCTTTGGGGCCGCCATTTGGCTCCACACATGGAGCCTGAACTTGGAACTGGTGAATGAAGGGAATCAGCAGGCACTAGCAGCAACAGCCTCACAGACTCCCGCCGCCTGTTTAGAAAAAGCTGGTGACTTTTCCTTACCTTCCTCTCTGTCCCCCCCAACAGAGCACCAACACAGGGAAGCACTTGAGAAAGAGAAGGAACGTCTCCAAAATATGGATGAGGAAGAATATGATGCCCTGACAGAGGAAGAGAAAATCATTTTCAATCGGGAGGTTCAGCGGGTCCTCCAGGAGAGGAAGAGGAGGTGGGCATTGAGGGCCGGCCAGAGCAGAAGTGGTTCCCCCTGGGAAATGGGCCATCCCCCAAGGGGGCAAGAATGATCTTAGGAGAGCCTGGCAGATGACCTCAGGAAGAGCGCAGTTAACATGTCTTGCTCATCAGGGCACTTCAGGTTCCCTGCAGAACTTCCTGGCAGAACTTGTCCCACTCTTCTTTTTCCTTCTCTAGGGAGCATTTGGGACTAGAAGGAGGCCAACCTGAGGAAAGAGTTTCTGGCTCCCAGACTGTAGGGGGTAGTCCCTGTGGGATGCCCTGACAATTGCCCCTCAATGTGGCTCATCTGCTTTTGTGCTTATAGCTCAAGTGTCCGCAAGCTGGTGACCCAGGGGCCACTCCACATGCATGTGGTGGTTACTCCCCAGAATGCAGCCAGCTCTGCACCTTCTCTGGCCACCATCTTGCACTTTTGAGATGCTGCCCATACCCTGAGAATGGTTGCCTCTCCCACTGGGTCCTCCATCAGGGCAGGCTCCTAAGCCAGTGCTTTCAGGCGCCTCCGGGCCTCTCACAGGCAGCACATGGGAGTGACTGGGCCACCTCCATAGCACCTTGGGCCCATACCCATGCAGATAAATGTGGGCAGCGCAATGTAGTGCTTTCTGCCTTCAGTTCTTCAAACATGGGGAGTTGGCGGTGGGGGGGGGTCCTGTTGCTTACCCCTCCCTAGGATTCCAAACATGGGAGGGAAAAGAGCCAAGACACTGGCCCATAATTTGACCCCCTTCTCTCCTCTCCCTCCATCTCCAGGCTCTCCCCCACTGAACGCCAAAGAACTTTCATGTCCTCGCTGCCCCTGTATTACGTCCTCATCCCTTCTCCTGGAGGGTCTGTGGTGAAAACACCCAGCCCTCCAGAGGGATGAAAAGCCCAATTTCAGGATTCTAAAGGGATCACTCTGCTTTCTGCCCAGCAGGTTGCTCTCGGGCACTGATTTCATTCATGGTAGGTTTAGAAAATGCAAATCTGATCCTCAAGCTCAGTGACGACTAGTTTATCTCACACACACACACACACACACACACACACTCTCACACACACACACACTCACACACACACACTCACACAGTAATGAATTAATAATGAGCTGACTGCAGAGTGTGGAGAACCAAGAACAACTTGGAATGCATCGTGTATTTTCAGAAATGCTACTCCCACTGCAATTATTTATACTTGGCGCCCTCTGCCACTAGCTGCAGAATCCATAGCAGAAAGGAAATGAGAGGAGCAGAATGTGACTTTCAGATCCTGTGCCAGGACTGCAAGCTGGCCACACTAGGGACTGCCAATAAAAACACTAGTTCTTGTCATCTGAATGTCAAAGGTGACAGTGTGGGGAGATGGGCCTCATTGTATGGTAGCCCCCCCCATCTGTGTGTTAGTTACATGTGATCTGGCAATAGTGTGTGCTGTAAGATATTTTGAGAGACCATATTCATAAAGTTTTAGTGTGGCATATTGCTCTAACTGTTCTCTTTTATTCGTAGTTATTGCTGTTAATCTCTTATACACTGCCTGATTAGTCAATTAAGCTTTATTATAGATATGTTTGTATAGAAAATAACAGAACATCTAGGGTTCAGTACTAGCCACCATTTCCATTATTACAGAGGGTCTTGGAATGTGTCCCCTGCAGGTAAGGGGGACTCATGTTTTATCAGAACAATCTTTGAAAGTTACTTTGAAAGAACATCAAGCTTATTACCTGCCCTTGTTTTGTTCTCCTGTGAAAGGAGATTGGACTCGAAATATAGATGAGCAGAGAATTCCTCTTGGTTGAGTTTTAGCTCATCAGTTCTTGCTGAATTAGCTGTCCAGATGCAGATGTCAGCCGTCCTCGCTAGACAGCTTCATTCCCTCCCTCCCTTTGTCTTTCCTTCCTTTCTCCCTCCCTCCCTTCCTTTCTCCCTTCCTCCCTCCCACCTTCCCTCCTTCCCTTTTGCTCTTTCTTTTCATACCCAAGAAAGCTCTGCCCCACCAAGCATTCCCAGGTTTCCTGACTTGTTTCTTCTGGCTGGTTTGATGAAGGGAGCTGGAGAGACTGGCCAAGGAGATGCATGAGAAGAAGCTGCAGCAGGAACTTGAGCGGCAAAAGGAAGAAGATGAGCAAAAGCGGAAGATCAAAAAGCCAAAGCCAGGACCAGTAAAGGAAGAGCTGCCCGTGAAGAAAACTCAAGGAGCAAGCCGTCAGGTAGCGTCCCCCTCGTTTCTTCCCAAGAAGCAGACATAAGCGGAGGGATCAGCCATTGTGGCCAGCTGGTCAAGCTGGCACACCTTCCCTCCAAAACACTGACCCAGTACAGTTAGGATTTTGTGGTGGAGTGGAAGACAGGAGGAAAGGGACTGACGTTCACTGAGCAGTTTGCTAGGTGCTATGCTTGTGCCTCGTGTCATTCTGTCACTTCGCCGTCCCACCCACCATGTGAGGTTCAGAGACACAACCCTCATCTGAAGATGAGAGAGATGGAGTTGCAGTTCGAGGACATCACCCAATTATGTTTGCCACAGACTTTGCTCTTTCCACTGTCCCCTGTGCTCCCCAGATAGTGCTAAATAGGCTAGTGCTAGAGGTTAATTGACAATGGTAAATTGTGCCTCCGGTAAATTGACAAAGCCCCGGTATGCATCGGAGAGTCTGTCCTTACCCACGGTCAAGGAAGATGCTTGGCTTCAGTCTGTCCTTGCAGGCGAGCACACCGAGTGCCCACCAAGCTTAGCGTTTGTATCTCTACCACCGTGATACCAGAAGGACAGCTCCCCAGGTGGCAAGGTAGCCAAGGGGTGTAGCTCACTGGTGTGGGCAGCAGCTTTATAGCACCATCAGTTCTGAGGATAGAACTAAAGCCAGACTCCCAGACAAGGTACAGACTGGTCCCAGGAGGCAAGCTAGAGACTGAGACCACATCTGGGTAAATGTCAGAGCAGAATTGTCCAATGAGGGACTGAAGAAGCAGGATGGGAGCACACCCAGGTTTGGGAGCCAAAACAGGTATAAGAAACAAGCAAGACTCGAATTCAGACTGGAACCTGGGAACAGGAGGCAGGTACCCTAACCAGATGACCCCCGGTTGTGGATGTGCAGAGGTCAGGCTCATAGCATTCTGAATGCTGTGTTGACCCTGTATCATCTTATATTTCTCCAAAGAGTCTGGACATCATCCGAGAATGACCCAAAAGCTACAGAATCTCTGGGGTCTTTTACCCAGGAAAGGAGAAACTCTGAATCCACAAAGCTAGTTTAAAAGGACAGTGAGCAAGAACCTTATTAGGTTCCTTCCTCTATGCCAAGTTCATCCAATAAATACATATTTTTTTTTAAAATTTGGAGCGCAGCCAGATTAAAAACTCCCATTTATTCCCAACAACACCCACTATACATGCACCCTGCGCAGTTTCAATAACGCGACACTACCAGGTCCTTTACTCTGTGGCTGATGCTACTGTAAGCGTTTTGCATGTGTGCACACATGTGATCGCCAGTAGTCCTCTGGGGGGAGTTATTAACTCCCCCTTTATAAAGATGGGAGCAGAGATGTGGAGCCCCCACTACCCCCTGCCAGCACACAGTTCAACAGGATGGACTACCACAATGGGGACTCTACAAGCCCTAGGAAAGTAGGTACAGAGATCAAAGGCATTCTGCCCCGTTTCCGGTGTGCCCAGTGCCAGACCCCACCTAGCTCTATAACAAGAAGGACCACAGAAATAATATTTGGGAGGAAACCCAGAGTGATTCTTGGGGACCACCCTAAGAGTCGGCAGGAACCCTTGGAGGCCTTCACAAAGAATAAAATGTCCTCTCTTCTTTATGTGATTTGCTGTCCCCTAAAGGGCTGTTTTAAGCATATTTTATGTTTTTTTGCCTCCTAGATTCTTACTTTTTCCAAACTGGATGCCAAGACAGACACAGTAGACAGGAAAATATCTGTTAGGGATCAAGCAATGACTGACAAGGAAGATCTAACCAAGAAAAGGAAGACCCTACCGACAGAGAGCAACACGCTTGGGTTTCCTGTTGGCCAGGAACGAGAGGAAAGTGAAGGGGACCTCATGAAGGACAGTGAGAAGCATCTGGCCCAGAGGTTTAAGGCCTATGAGATGGCTTTGAAGGATGTCCAGAGCATCCTTATGTACTGGGACCGGAAGCAAGGGATGCTGCTGCCCCACGCCGGGGCCGAGGACATGGCCCATGAGCAGGAGGACCAGCGCCAGGTCCCCTCAGGTGGACGTAGAGGCCGCAAGGACCGGGAGAGGGAGCGTGCCGAGAAGGAACGTGCCGAGAAGGAGCGCCTGGAGCGGGAGAAGGCAGAGAAGGAGCGCCTGGAGAAGCTCCGCCAGGAGGACCGGAGCGATGGTGGAGAGGCCAACGGGGAGGAAGACCATGAAGGGAAGAGGGATGTGGGCGTGCCCTTCATCAATGTCCAGACGCCGGACTTCGAGGGCTCGAGCTGGAAGCAGCTGTTGGAGAATGACAGGCTTCCCAAAAAGGACCAGGTACAGACTCTGCTCCAGGATGCAGATGTAGCCACTCAGGTAGCAGGTGCTGTACTGACAGTCACAAAAATGTTGTTTTTCTCCTCACATGAACACCACATCCCCTTAATGCCAGTCATCTCTGGTGCCCCCATTGTAGATTACACAGTGATGGCTGCAGTGCCCTTTCCTACTTGATGCAAGTCCCTGGAAAGTTCCACGGATCTAAATAATTCCACCTAACCCGATTTAAAAAGCCACCTGGCGGTTGATTTTTAATATTGACTATTTTTGGTGCTACTCTCTGTCAAGGCTGGTCTCCTTTGGGGTGAAGCTAGAGGTTCAGCTACTCTAAAATCTTTTCCCAACAAGTTCCCCACAGTGACAGAAAGGAGACTGCCTGATAGTTTTTTTGTCTCTAGAGACCAAAGTGTTGCCTAAAATCACCTGTGCCACCCATCCCCCGCCCCCGCCCCTTTCTCTCCCTATGGGCTGCATGTTACAGCCTTTTGCCCAGAGTCAGAAGTTTTCTGTAAAACACCAGAGAGTGCATCTTTTTGACTGCATGCGATACTGTCTTTGTGGCAACCACTCAGCAACTGGAAGACGAAAAGACATGTCACCTCATTTACACAGATGGTGAGCCAGATTTGACCAGGGGCCACAGCTTGTTGATCCCTGATGTAGTTTACCAGAAATCAGATGCAACGTAAAGAGTAGAGAGCAGAGCCTGAGAGAGGTATCTGGGTGGTCGGGGTTGATTCCGCAGAGGATAGATTTCGATGGGCTGTAGCCTCACTGTGAGTCTTGCAAAGTACTTGAGGGGGACAGGGGGCAGACCACACAGCACCACTGCTTCCAATCCTGCCTCAGGTTCACCTCTGAGGAAAGCAGTCTTTTATATTTTTTTTCCCAGAAATTCAGTTTTTTAAAAAGAACATCTCCTCATCTTATTTATGTCCTAATCCAGTAGCCAACATCTCTTTTGCTTTATTTTATACTCTCCTCATTCCAAGCCATGGGTTAGACAGTGGCTTAAAGAACCACCGGGATCTATTAATTTGCACCAGTTGGTACAGAGTATTCATCTCTTTCCTCACAGACATTCTGAATCCTGGCCACACATTAGTCAGCACATGTCTTTGGCTGCCTGACCCACAGGATTATACACACAGGACTACATGTGGAGAGTTAGCTGCTGGGCCCAGTGGCCCATGGGGTCCACAGAGGGGCAACTCAGGTGGCCCGGGCCACTCACTGTTGCCATGACAGCAGTTAACCTCAGGATAGCTTCCTTTTTCTGAGTGTTTTGCATGCGGAGAAGGAAGTTGCTGCTAAGTTTTCAAGCCCTCTGCTTCGGAGAGTGCATATCATCTATCAGAGTAGAAGGGACAAGGCCGTAAGAATACATCTTCTCTCTCTTGATTTTCTGTGTGACTTCTCTGCTCATTCTCATCTTTTTCCCGCTCCCAGAACCTTTGCTTGTTTGTTTTTTTTTCCTTTGCTGTATTTGACTGGCTTCCAAGCTATCTTTCATTTACCTTTGGAAGGAAAGAACACTTAAAGATAAAAGAAAAATTCGCTTGGGGTCTGAAACAGATGGAACGACTCTTATCATACTGACATCAGAATCTCAAGAGCTGGACTCTGTAAATTAAGCAGAGATTTCTTGAGTGCTACTGTGAGCTAGGTCTGTCCTAATGGAGTTTACAGTCCAGCTGCAGAGACAGACACTTAAACAGGCACAATAAAGTGACAGGTCTGTGATAAGGGGGTGCAGGGAGTGTAGAACACACAGCCAGAGGCTCATCATGCCCGTACTGCAGTGGCATCTCCCAGGAATGTTGGGAGAAAAGGTGGAATGCTGACCCTCCTGGGCTCAGTTCAGGTTGGCTGGCCCTCTGCGCAGGAAATTAACAATGGACTTTTCCTTTAGATCCTAGACATCCTTGGTCTGGGTTCGTCCGGACCCCCCATCCCGCCTCCTACTTTATTCTCAATCGTCTCCTACCCCACGAAGCGGCTGCCTTTGGCCATGACGGAAGTCCTAAAGCATTTTGTGTTTATAATTCCACCATCCGACGAGCTGTCCCTGCTGGAGGAGAAGAGAGATGTGGATACAGAAATGGAGATTTCAAACCTCGTGGGCTCTGTAAAGGTAAAGAGCAATCAACCTGTCCCCCTGATCTTTGGGACGTCAGGGGAAGTTTTCCACATGGCCAGATGTTGAGCATCATGCTGGCTGTGGTATTTTCCCTCATTCTCAGGGAGTCCTACTTGAGGACCTGCGTGAGCCTGGATGTCACCTTCCCTGGAGCCCACTTTACCTAACTTCCCAAGAGGGAACTGAAAAGGACCAATTTTTCCCTTCCAGTCCCTGGTGGGGGGGGAGGGGGTTTGGGAACTGGTGGAATTACACTGACACTCATCTGCAAGAAAAAATCAGCAAAACTTGCTCTTTATAAAAGATAGGAGAATGTATTGTGAAGCTAAGGTAATTCACACAGTACATAAGAAAACAAGAAAGGGTACACAAATATCTTTAGAGGAAAGACCGATTTTTTTTTAAGATTTTATTTTTTTTATTTATGCGTACAAGAACTGGGGTGTAGAGGTGCGGGAGGGAACACAACAGGCGGATCTACTGAAATACACTGCTGAGGGGAGCAGCGGGCGAGAGACAGAAGTCTGATGCATCATGTGGGTCAGCTCCTGGCCAGGGATCGAACTCATGCCACCGTGACTGGTGATAGCTTGATAGCACTGAGACTTTAACCCCTATGCCACCAGGGAGGCCCCAGGAAAGACCAATTTTAAAGAAACTTTGATAAGGAAGATTGGATACTTTGGGTAAAAGCACCTTTTATCTCTTCTACTGATTCAGTACAGTTAAATTAACTCCCAGCTGGATTAAAGATAGAAGTAATCAAAATGAAAAATCATATAAGATACACACACACAAAATAATAGAATAAATCACGAAGAAAAATAAACCTGCAGTAATATGCAGAAGGTATGTCTACTGAAAATTACAGCAGAGCTTTTTATTCCCAGAGAAATATAGTGACCCAAAATTTGACTCCACACAATAGCCTACCAATCATGCATATCAGCAAAGAATAAATAAAACTGGCAACAAATAAATCACCTGGGGCCTTGTAGGTGACAGTGACTTCCCCAAATTTCAGTTTACAAGCAGAAAATCAACATCTGCGGTGAGTGGCACTTGTGGGTGAGCAGAGTCCAAGTTAAAAAAAGATAAAGGGGGAAAACTGCCTCCATCAGAGCTGACTACTCCACCAACCTCTTGTTCTCAACATTGGCCATTCAAAGGAAAGAGCTAAGCATTCTTATCGCTTTAGGAGGAACTCTAGTTTGTCCCTCATTCACAAAGGAAAGGTTCTCATTCTAAAAGAACGGCAGCTAACATTATAGCAGGAACGTGGAATTAGGTAAGCCCTAACCCATGCTCCCCAGTGAAGTGATGGTTTAAGGTTTAGGACACGCACAAAGGGCAGTCGGTGGAAGGCGGTGAAACTCTGAGCCCAAGAATAGAACGTGGTCCTGGAGGTGGCCAGCCAGCTGCAGGGGGCGTGTCTGCTTGCTCACGGCCAGATGTGGTGGTCTGCACCGCACCACGCTCACTCTCACACTCTGCATCTGTCACCGTGGTCAGCCTGATGTTATTTGCCCCATACTGCGACAAAGCAAGATGTGCATAGCATCCCCTCTGAGGCTGGTCAAACCTACGACCTTGTTTTCTTTTACAGGGATTAAATGAGTAAGTTACTTGACCCCAAAAGAATAGTCAGAAATGTACAAACTGAGGGATGTTCTGTAAGAACACCAATCTGGTGTCTCCCCAAAAGTCAGTGTGAACGGGAGGGGGTGAGGGGCCTTGATGGAGAGAGAGAGACAATGAAAACGTAACACAGGCACACACTCCCTGCCAGCCTGCAGTCTCCTCTAAGATTCCTGTCTCATCCTCGGGGAACTGGGTGCCAAAGAAAACATGAGGGTGTTCACCCACGTGCCAGGCTGGGCTCTGCTCTGCTCTCAGCCACTGCCAGCATCCTGAACCTGGGCGCCGTCCCCACCAGGCTGCAGCGGCATCAGGCGTCTGTGTGCCTTCTGTCCGTGTGTGTAAGGGGAGTATTTTAAGAACTCATGCTCATTTTCAATTAAGGTTCAGGAGGAGCAGACTTCCTCGGCAAAAGGAGTCAAACAGAAAGTGAAGGAAAAAACTGATCAGACCCGTGAGCCAAAGGACAAGCGCCGCCTCCCCTACAGGAAGGGCCTTCCTGTGGGATCTCCTGGAAACATCACCCCCCTGTCGGACATAGAGCAGAACATCACAGGGCAGTACTCCCAGGAGAAGTTCATCAGGTGGGCCACCAAGTAACCCAGTGCAGGGACCGGGGGAGCCCCAGCTGGAAGGTACAGCCGTCACAGCAGCAGCACGGAGCAGGACTGTCCTGCCCGCGGGGTCCAGTATGCCTCACCCCGGCTGGATAGGGCTTCCCCCGGGCCGTGGTCTGTCTTCTCTGGGCCAGAAGGAAGCCGTCTCACCTCAGCAGCCTGTGTGGTCTTTGCAGACTGAATCATTTCCGGTGGACCGTGCCTGCCAACAGCGAGGTGACTTTGCGGATACACTTCAGTTCTGATGATCTTGGAAATTTCGACCAGACGTTTAACTTTGAGATCCTTGGAACTCACCGCCAGTACCAGCTTTATTGCCGCGGCGTCTGCAGTTACCCGCACATTTGCCAAGACCCAAAGTGAGTGTACTTTACTTTAGTGGTGGGTGGAGACAGTTCCGCTTTCCCCCGTGGCACTTTGAACAGGCTGTCACCGATACCGGTGTGGAGCTGGGCCAGCACCCCGACCCTCTTGCCGTGTTGGGCTTCAGAAGTCTTGGACACTGACTAAGGAATGACGTGGTTCTGTGAGACTGAGGTAAAGGTTAATAGGTGTTGAGGGAGGAAGGTGATTTTCCTCTGGCAACTGAGTTTATACTTTTTTAACTGCCAAGCCATGGAAACATGTTATATTTTCTGTCGGACATTTTATTCCATAATATGAAATGTGTGCATTTATTTCCATGGGAGCGCTTTTTCCTGAGCAACCGCACACCCCCGTGTCCCTGAGGCATGGTATGAATGCACAAGACTGGTGAATAAGCAGGCCACTGGGGTGATGTTTATAGTTTGTCCACCAGAGGAGCCTTTTTGCGGTTCTCTCCAAGGGGCCACATTGGGCAAGAATCTCAGAAGTTAGCTAATACCCACCAGAACTAGTTTCCCATAAGGATTCTCAGGAACGTTCCTAGCTGGGCACAAAGAACAAGAAATCCAACTCAACCCTGTCATCAGTGCCTCACCTTTCCCTGAAGTTCCAACTGGACTTGTCATCTCTCCGAGAAGGGTGGGGGCCAGGGGAGTGAAGACTCAGTAAAGGTCGCCCAGTGAAGAATCGCTCTGTCTCCAGACACCTGGGCCCCTTGCAGAACAGGGGGCGTGGGCGCCTGGAGACTTGGGCAGGATGACACCGCATTCAGCGCCTCCCTCTCCCTTCCCTCCTGGCACAGAGTGGTGTTCCCACAGCGGCAGCAGGACCTGAAGAAGAACGAGATCATCTTTAAGAAGTATGTTAAGAGCACGGGAAAGTTTTACTTCGGGCCGCTGCTTTGTGGGAAATCAAGAGATAAGTAAGTATTCCACTGTTGCCAAGCAGAGTTCAGACTCCTGGGTTGGACTCATGAAAAGGCCTCTGTAGATGGAGCCTCCACGTGTCCTGAACCTCAAATCAGGAGAATAGGGTTCTCAGGTTTCTGCTAAGCACCCAGATGAATGAGGGCACCATTTTCTTAGACAGGAAGCCTGAAAGAGGACCAGGCTTTGCTAGGGAAAAGAGTTCACTTGCGATGTGCTAAGTTTGAGGTGCTTGGAGGATATCGCTAGTAGCCACATAAAACAGGGACTGGAGTTTACAGTTTGGGTTCTCCAGGGAGAGGTCCGTGTTCAAGTCAACAAAAGCCTTGGAGGTGGATGAGATGGCCTCGGAAGAGAAGGCACTGCAAGGAGAGAAGGCCTGAGGAGGGAGCCCTGAAGAACTTCACCACTCACCAGAGAAGGCAGCAAAGGAGATGAGAAAGAGGGTCAGTGCTGTTGCTGCAAACAGGATGTGACAGGGCCGTGAGGACAGCAGCGGCCAGTTGCGTCAAGTGCAGCGGAGAGGGCCGAGGATGAGGACACTGCCACCTGCGGGGTTCAGCACATGGTGGTCAGCACAGAGGGCTTAACAATCCCCTACTTTGTGGGAATTTTTGAGGGTGAAGCCCAGGTAAAGTGAGTTGAGAAATCGGTGGGAGTTGAGAGAGTGGAGACAGGCTGTGAATGTAGATCTTTGGGAAAGCTTGAGTGTGATTTCCATCCCATGGAGGATGTCCCGGACGGGGATGGAGGGACAGAGGGAGTCCAGGACGGGGATAGAGGGACAGAAGGAGTCCAGGACGGGGATAGAGGGACAGAAGGAGTCCAGGATGGGGATAGAGGGACAGAGGGAGTCCAGGACAGGGATGGGGAGACAGAGGGAGTCCAGGATGGGGATGGAGGGACAGATGCATATTTCTCAAAATTCTTAGTAATAATAATGATAATAGTAACAACTGCCATTTATTGGGCATTTGATATCTGTAGCTGTCCTGAGAGCATTAGGTGCATGATTTCACTTAATGCAGAAATCCTAAGAGATGTTACCATCCCAGCTTAAAAGATGAAGAGCCCAAGATTTGGAGAAGGGGTTCAGGTCCTCACAACTACAGGCTATGTTTTTCCCCTCCGGTAACCCCAGTATCCTCTGGAAGGGGATACCGCACGACCCTCCCTTTCCACGTGAATGCGCGGTCAGTCCTCAGAACTCCCCTCATTTTTGTTCATTTCCAGGTACAAGTCATCGCTGTTCCCAGGCAACATGGAAACACTAACAATCCTGAACAACTCCCCGCTGCTCGTGGAGGTGTTCTTCTGTTTCCAGAATGATGTCAAAGCAAACACTTACTTCCTGGAGCCCGTCAATATGACTCTGAAGCCCAACGAGAAGCAGGTACGGTCCCATGGAAGCAAGTCCTCCAGGGCCCGGTGTCCTTAGGAGATTCAAGACCTTGGCATCCTTGGGGTAACTGTTCTTTGTTATTGCCACTTCCATCAGTTACTGAGCGTGTGGGCCTACCCCACTGCTGTGGGCGTCTTCGAAGACAGCATTGTCTGCTGCATCAAGGAGAACCCAGAGCCGACTGTCTTCAAACTAAGTTGCCAGGGGATCCGCCCAGAACTGGAACTGGAGCCCCGGCAGTTACACTTTGACCGGCTCCTGCTACACAGGTTAGGCTTCTGAGGGATACCAGCTCTGAAATGGAATCTTCTTCCAGGGTACCCAACTCATCCTGGTTTTCTCAGAACATTCCAGGTTGTAGCACTGGAAATCCTGCACCCTGAGCAAGCCAGAGCAATTACTAACCCTGTGGAATTCACAGCTTGTTCACTTAGGTCCGGCAGCTGGACTTTATCAGGATCAAGGCCAGGCCCTCACACCCCTAGATCATCTGCCATATTGTATTCAGATTTGCGCTTTTCTCAAGAGAAGGACTAGCTTTTCCCAGATACTCAAAGTACTCCCGTTATCCTCAAAGGTTAAGAATCTTTGTTCTAGAAATTAGAGAACAGAGAGCAGGACACCAAAACTGGAATTTACATATTCATTTACCGAGGTTGTATTATTTTAAGAAAAGAACGTTTTTTTCTGGGGCTAGTGGGAGAGAATATTGTGATGATATTGACGTGTGTCCTGCACTCCTTGATGATCACCACCAGACCCCATTCAGCTTAGAAAAATGCAGATCAGAGAACTAAGCGATAATTGAAATAACCACAATGCTTTTTCTGACCTGTGATAATAAACGAAAATCATAGGAAACTAATAAAATGTATTTTGGTCCCTACAGAAAGGAATCCAAGGCGATTCTTCTCCGCAACATCACACCCCTCCCCGTGGCCTGGCGGATCACCAGCCTGGAGCATCTGGGCGATGACTTCACTGTGTCCACGATGCAGGGGATCATCTTCCCCAAGGCCGAGTACTGCCTGCAGGTCCACTTCCAGCCCTCCAAGCCTGTCGTCATCAAGAAGGCGATTCGGGTGGAGGTAAGGTTTCCCACATCTTCAGACTTGGTCATTAAAATGTGTATATTTTAATGTGTGTACACACACATGCACACCCTACCCCCAGGTCTCCCTGTTACATGCTCCCATCTGATCCCATTTTGTTAGAGGATTTGGGGTGAGGGGAGGGTATTGCTCCTTGCCACTCATAAGCCAAAATTCAGGAGACAGGAGTTGGTAGAAGGAAATCCAATTTAATCAGGTGCAGGCAAACCTGAGGACATGGTGGGCTCAAAGGTCTCATGTTGGGCTCATGTTGTCTCAAAGGTCACCTCCCTGAACTGGGGAGAAGCGGGCATTTATTTGCAGGACAGTGGGACAAGGAGAGGCTAAAGGGTCTTTGTCAGCAGGATCAGAACAATAGGCAGGGTTTTCTAGGAACTGCATTCATGCCCTTTTTCTTCCAAATTTAGTCTTGGCCTGATCTCCTCTGAGTCTCCTCCTTTTCTGTATCTTATAAGGACACTTGTCATTAGCTTTAGGTCCTCCCAGATAATAATCAAGGATGAATTTATCTTGAGATCTTTAACTTTAATTACATCTGAAAATAAAGCCACATTTACAGGTACCAGGGATGAAGGCATGGACTTACCTTTTTGGGGATCACAATTTAAGCCTCTGCCCTCACCCTATCCCCAGAGTCTAGAACAGGCCTGGATGTAGAAGGTACTCAGTGAGATCTGCGGTGAATGAGGGAATGTATGTCACTGACTGATGCTTGAATCAGTTAGCTCTAAGGAGTCATCCAGATTTTTCTGAATACCTCCAGGGCCAGGAGATGCACCACCATTCCTAGCAGCAGACCTTCCTTTGATCAGATTTGACAGTTAATTCTCCCTTGGGTTGAGCTCAGAGTGCTTCCTGTAACTTCCACACATTAACCCTGTTTCTACCTTTTAGAGTCAGTCGATAGATCTAATCTCTCCTCTTACCCTTTCACATAGCTGAAAACAGACAGTCATAAAGTCACTCAGTCCACAAATGTGTATGAGGCCCAGAGGTGATAGTTGCCATTTCTAACACCAGTCTCTATGCAGACATGACCTCTGCACGGTGAACCCGGGCCATGGGCCTGCTGTGGGGTCCCAGCTGTGCCAGCTTCATCCTTGAGTTGCTAGATCAAGGTGGTGTCCAGTGGTTACCATGGTGAGGAGGTCAGGGGAAGACTAGCAGGAGGAGGAAACCGGAGAGGTCAGCAGATAGCTGTTTACCCACTTGGAAACATTCCTGCAACTTAACAACTGACATGGCACCCCAGTGTGTTCCAGCCAAAGTGGACACAATAGGTGCAAAGAAAATAGAATGTTCAAGGTACTTGCTACCTCTCAGTAGAAAAGCACTGTATGAATCTGGAGCTGATAGTCCCTAGTTCCTTGACCTGTTTTGCCCTTGACTGTCACCCCTTCTCCTTCTGACCTCTTAAGCAGCAAAAGAAAGAGGATGAAACTCATTTGGATCCAATGAAACAGTGGGGAGATTTTAATGAAAGAAAAGATGGAGAGACTGAATTATAGTTTGAGTTTAGTGATGGGCGGCAGATTCCCCCTTGGCACCCAGAGTGGAAGTCATGGCGAGTCGGTGGCTGATTCTTTCACCTTGAAGGTTCAGCACAGAGGCAGGTGGTCCCCAGGCAGAAAATGTACCCCCTGCTCATTGCCTCCTCCCCTTGACAAACACACCCTCTATTGCTACACCCCCCACCTCCCCAACAGTCTCCAGAGTCAACATTGAGTCCAGCTGACAGAAGACACTAGTTCACATGTGCCCCAGGATTAATGGCACATAAGCACTATGGATGACGAGGGAGGCAACAGCAGGCCGCCTGGAGGCTGAGGGTCTTGCTTTCTTTTTTTTTAAGATTTATTTATTTATGCATACAAGAGCTGGGGGACAGGCCAGAGGTGTGGGGGGTGAGAGGATTCACCAGAGACAGAGTGAGAAACAGAACAGGTAGGCTGACCAGAGTACACTGCTGAGGAGAGCAGCCAGTGAGACAGGAGAGGTCTGCTGCGCCACGTGGGCTGCTTCCTAGCCGGCCGGGAGATTGAACTCATGCTGCAGAGGCTGCGGACAGCTTCACGGGCTGTGTCTTAACCCCTTGCCACCAGGGAGGACCAGGGTCTTATCTTTCCCTACATGTCCAACTTCTCCAGCAGGTTGGCGCCTGAATAAAACATTTGAAATTTCCAAAAGACACACATTAGACACTCATTGATAGGTAAACCCTAGCGCTCTTCCACAGGTTGGGTCAGATACAAAGAAGAAAGCAGTTCAGATTTTTAAAATTATCAGAGCAAGGATAATTTCAAATCTGAAAATTTCCATCTCAGCTGTCAGGAAAAAATGCTCTTCACATTGATTTGACTTAAAAGTCCCAGAGAACACTTTCCCACGTTGTATACTTGTGGCCCAAACTTCGGGAACATAACTTCAACTGCACAAGGAGTTTAGACCCAGTAAGAGGACAAGGTGACAGTGGAACCCCCTTTTCCTCATTTGTCTAATGAGCGTTACCCCAGCTTTCCCCAAAGGGTATGTTGAGGAACAGTGATCCTGCTGAACGCTCAGTGAAGATGAAAGCTGAGTTTCAGAAGCACCCCACACCATCTCCCCTTCTTCACGGACTCCCTCTGTTCAAGCCCAGGGCCTCAGGGGTCTCGCTTACCCTGAAGAATTTCTCTTGCCCAACAGGTCTTGGATGCCGACAACCTTGTTGGTGTCGTTCAGATTGAAAACATCATGGTGTTTGCAGAGTCCTACGATGTTGCCCTGGACATCACCTTCCCCAAAGGTCTGTGGGTGAAGTCATGTGTTTAATGTCATCTATGTCCTGTGCAGAGGAAGACTAGTAGGGTCTGGGAGGAGGGCAGGGTTTCAGCGAATAGGAACGCCAGCCCCACCGCACTGCGGGCCACACGTGCACGAGTCTTAGCTTCTCCCTCAGGAGAAACAGTGGACACGCTGACGCTGTCTGCAGTGCTCTCTTCTGCAGTCACCTGAGAGTGAGTAGGTCTCCCTGCCTGTATGAGTTTTCCATCGTGCCTAACAAATGACCAGGCTCAAAACAATACAAATATACTGCCTTGCAGTTCTGAAATCAGAAATCCAAAATGGATCTCACTGGGCTAAAATCAAGGGCAGTGTTCCTTTCTGGAAACTCTGGGAGTGGGTGGATTCATTTCCACGCCTTTTCCATCTTCTCGAAGCCACCCACACATGTTCTTTGGCCCCTTTCCTTTGTCTTCAAAGCCCACCATGCTGGGTCAAGTCCTCTGACATGGCCATCTCCCTGGTTCTCCCACTTCTGTCTGTCTCTTCTGCTTGTGAGGGCCCCTAGGATTATCTGGGCCCACCCAGATAATCCAGGATGATCTCCCTGCTTTAAAGTCAGGCGAAAGGCAGTCTTAACTTCCTCTGATACCTTACTTCCCCTTTGCCGTGTAAAGTAGCGAACCCACAGTTCCAGAGATCAGGACAGCCTCTTTGGAGGATGAGGAGGTCACCACAATGCCCGAACACCCAGGTTAGGTCCTCGCTGTTGCATTCAGCTCTCCACTAACCCTCTTTTCCCTGGCAGGCCTGCTTCTCAACCAGAATCATAAAATGTTGGAGCACATGCTTACCTAGATGTCATGAATCCTGTGACAAAGATATTTACTGCAGCATTGTTTATAATAATGGAATTTTGCCAATAACCTAAATGCCTATCAGTAATGGAATATTATTATTGTAGGAAGAGTATTGCAAATGATGAAACCGCCTTATCATGGTATATTATGCTCCCCTTAGCCTCACATTTATGAGGCATTTTAAATTATGTGGGGAACTACTTGTGAGATGACACTACGTAAAACAGTCCAGACTGACATGGGCTGTCCCAACCCTGATGGTGCACACGTGATTCAAAATGTTTTTAAATACTGGCTGTTTAGTGAAGAGGAGACATGGAAGGAAGAACAGTGCTCCCAGGCTAGAAGCCCGAGGAGGCCGCCCTGTGGAACTGGGTGCAGGAGCAGAGTTTGTTGTTTGCTCAGACTCCGCGACAAAAGGGTTTTCTAGCCCCAGAGTTTTCAGAAAAGAAATTCTCCAAACTTGTCACCAAGGGTTTTCCACGTGAGCTTCAATGGGATGTCACCCCGCTTCTGGCTCCCATGCCCACTCACCCCTTCCCACCCCGCCCCGCCTCTGCAGGAGCTGAAGGAGGCCTCGATTTTGGGATTGTCAAGGTCATGGAGGAGGTGAAGCAGCCCCTGCAGCTGAAGAACCGTGGGAAATATGAGATTGTGTTCAGGTAACCCAGCGCCCACCAGGCCCATGGCCGTCCACTTCCTCTCCTGGGGAGAAGCGTATTATCTGGGACAAAAGCAAAATCAGTCAAGGAAATCATCAGAACATCTATTGCTTTTAGCCTCTCTTGACTTCAAATGGATGGAATTCCATTTGCTAAGAAAGCAGGTTTTCACTCTGTTCTCAGGAGTGTCACTTTGCAGGCAGCCTGAGGGGCCTTGCGGGTACAAGAATCTGGAGGTGCCGGCAGAGACTCAGGGATCGAGAGATGCTGGGGCTAGGCACGTGGCCTCCACCTTCACCTCCTGTCTGTTTCATAAGTTGGCTTTTCACATTAAGATTTCCTGGTGAAGAAAGGATTTTCCAATTTTCCTTCTTAATTTTGAGAGCCACTGCTTTATAGAATCCAGATGGCAGCCTGGACTAGAGCTCCAACTTGTGTTCATTCCAGGAAATGAAACGCTAAATAGAAGAGGTTCCTCTCAGGAGAAAGGGTAGCTTTGGGCGGAGGAAGAAGGAGGTCACCTCACTCAGGCAGGGTCACACAGCCCTCGCTCGCAGTCTTTTTATGAAAGATCATCCTTCTAGAAGAACTGGGGGGATAAATGGACATCTCCCCGGTGGACTTCTATTCATGATCATTTCATTTCAGCTAAAAGAATGCAGGAATGAAATCAGTCCCACCTCAAAGTCACCATTAGGTAGAACTGGAAATGAAAATAAATGTAAATTAAAGCTAAACACATCTAGAAGAAAGCCAGTATCACTTTGGAATCAGTGCTGAATGGAAACTCCCATTTGTGAGTTTTGTGTCCGATGGTGATGGACTGTTAGCTCTGCTCCTCTGGGTATAGGACACAGTTGGGTTGGACCAGATGACCAGGGGTTGTTGACAGAATGGCAGGGAGGTGAAGAAGCCAGGCTGCCTGCATGCTGCAGAGGAGCGGCCAGGTCTCCCCAAGCAAGGGGTGACAGTGGGTCCCCATACCGTCTCCAGGTGTCCTTCCTCACCTTGAATTGCTTGCTCCTGCCCCCTCCCCCCGCACCTGTTGCTGTTCTCATGGGGCAGCTGCTCTCTGGGGCCCCTCACCTCTCCCCCATCGGGCCACCGCTTCCCTCTCTGAATGCCTCTGCTCCCTGGCTTCTGCCCCCAGCTTCCTGCCTTCTACAGCACTGCTCACTCTCTGTTGTGACATTCAGTCACTGAGTGGGAAGAGGAGGTGGGGTGGGAAGATGACAGACAGAGGAAAGGTGGAGAGATGACTTCATTTAGTTCGTCCTTTAGCATCAAGTGTCCCTGTTGGGACACCCCTTCAAGGGGACTCCGTGATCATGGGGTCACAGAAGACAAAGTGCTGCTAGGATTAAGCAGGTCAGAGACATGCTGGCGTTTGATAGGAAAGAGTCTCATCTCTCATATCTGGTATCTTGAGTTCCCTGGAGAATGACTTTAAACAGACTTTTTACTCTTGTCTTTCAGCTTTTCTGTGGACTGTGTAGGGCTTTCAAATACCAACTTAAATTCCATGATCACAGTGCAACCCAAAAAGGGCTCACTGGTATCAGCAGACAAGCCCTCAAATATCCAAGTATTCTTCCGTGCAAAGAAAGAAGTGAAGATCGAGCACCAGCCAGTTCTGCGCTGTCAGGTAGGAGAACGCAAAGGGAGGGACTGGCTTATCAGCCAAACTGTGGGTCTCTTATGGAAAAGAAGAGTCTGTGGTCTAACCCCTGCCCCAAGGGGAGAAAAAGGGGACTAGCCTGAGGCAATCAGTTAGGATAAACCAGGGTTTGGTCCCCAACTAGCAGGCATGGGTAGGTCAGGTGGGAAGTGTGCAGAGTCATTAGAAATTAGGGACACCAGAGAAGAACATGGCCCTGGTCCTTGGGAACCGTCAGAGGCAAGGAAGCTGAGTTCAGTGGTCAAGCGCAGCAGAGGTCTGGGCAAGTGAAAATAGGAAGGAGGCAAAGACAGGTTCATGGTTAGTATTTCTTAGTGTTGATGCAGTAATATTAAGAGAATGAAATAAAGCACTTGGCTTCATGTCAGTTATAAAAATAGGCACTGAAGTAGACGGTCATGGGGATTCTGGAGTCCTGCCAGTGGCCGACACTTCCCAGTCCTTCCTTCCTTTCTAGATTATTGAGCCCAACATGGCGGAAGCAGGTGAAATTATTGCCAGCATCCCTATTAAGTTTTCTGTGAATGCTGTATACTCCAAATATAACATCAGCCCCTCCTCCATCATCAACTTTGGGGCCTTGATCTGGGGCTATCGTAAAAGTGCCACCTTCACCATAGAAAATCAAGGCGTTACTGACTTCAAATTCGCCCTTTATAGGCTGACAGGGGAGATCCCCCTTCATCAAAAGAAAGGGTAAGATATGTATTTACTTAACTCATACCATCCCCTGGATTATATTTTACAAAGAGCTTTTCCATATTTTGTATAAATTCATCCAATCATCAGATCGCCTTTTGTGGGTGAGATCATTAAGGTTTGTAAAGATGATGCAGGAAATGACCGGGACATCTCAGTTTTGAACCTGCATCTTCTGGACCCAGATGTCATACATTTTCTAACTGCTGTAAACTATATGAGACACTTTAGTTGAACAAATGTAAAGTCATCTCCTTGGGGTTGTGTATTTTGCCCTGGTACTTCTAACAAGCTACAAAATTTACTAGTAAGTCGATCATTTGTCCTCTCATTCTTAGAACATTCAGGAACTGTTACAACAGCAGGCTAAATCAAAGACTACAGAAATCAAGATGGGGGACAGCAAAGGGTACCCAGGAAACGTAGACTGGAGAAACCATGGCGAGGCCTTAGTCTATTGGGATTGTTTTTACCTCCTCCCCATGGAAAGGACCCTTTATGACAACAGCTAACTTGTTTCAACTATATAACTCTGTTCTGGCTCACCATCAGTTCACTCAGTTTACCTTTTTGAGTGCTCTTGGCTTTTATATGATCATAATACTACTTTTTGGAAAATTAGATGTAGTTTTACCAATCCCTAAGGTACCTTACCTAGAATTTCCAATAAATTAATTCATTTCTTTTTTCTTAATTTTTTTAGGATTTTTTTATTAATTTTCTTACATCATTTTTCATTTTTAAACAATATTTTCTTCCCCCCCACCCCCTCAGGTGTAGTCACCATTGTTTCCTTCACCAGTGTACCTGTGCACCATCACCTCAGTCCCCTGTGCTCCTCCATTCATTTATTTTTTCATTATAATTCCCCACAAATGTAATTTTTAAATATTGCATAGCAATGCATAAAAAGCTAAATCTTTTTTGCTTTTCTCCACCACCTTCCCTTGAGTCTGCTTTTCCCTTTTCCTACCCCCTCCCTCGTAACCGCCAAGCTCTCAGGATGTTTGCTCATCCATCCTTGCAGCTCCGGGATAAATCCCACTAGATCATAGCATATAATTCTTAGGATGTACAGGTGAATCGATTTGTTAGTACTCTTGAAGATTTTTGCATCAATATTCATCAAAAATATTGGTCTAGAATTTCTTTCACGTGCTATCTTGGTTTTGGTTTTGGTATTAGGATAATATTGATATCACAAAATGTATTAGAAAGGATTCCTTCTTGTATTTTTAAAAACAATTTGAGTATGATGGGTTTCAGTTCTTTAAAAGTTTGATAAAACTCATTTGTAAAGGCATCTGATCCAGGGCTCTTGTTTTTTTGAAAAATTTTATTATTGCTTCAATGTCCATGTGGATGATCTGTGTGTTCACTTCATCTGTTTCTTCCTGAGTTACTCTTGGTGAAAGTTACTGTCACCACCCCAGCCTGAAGGTGTGATCTTGCTTCCTCATCAGAACCTCCCATATTAAACACCCAAGGTCCCGGGAAAGCGATAGCTTCAACAAGAGTAGCACATCCAAAGCAACCAAGTTTTCTGATGCTGTTCCGAAAGATGTTAACATGTCAAATCAGGTGAGCACCTCTCTTCTTGTTCACGGAAACCTGGTAAGGCCACCTCCCTACTAGCTTTTTTTAAAGATTTATTTATTTATGCATACAAGAACTGGGGTACAGGCCAGAGGTTTGGGGGAGGAGAGGATTCACCAGAGACAGAGTGGGGAGCAGAATAGGCAGATTGACTGAAATACACTGCTGAGGGGAGCAGCGGGCAAGTCAGGAGGTGTGCTGTACCTTATGGGTAGCTCCCTGGCTGGGGATCGAACCCGTGCTGCAGTGGCTGAGGCTAGCTTCATAGGTTGCGTCTTAACCCCTTGTGCCACCAGGAAGGCCCCCTACTAGTTCTTACAATGAATGCCTTCTTAGGACAAAAGGATTTGACTCTGTTCTGGTAGGAATATTCATCATATTGAAATATCTCTTTCATTTTAAGATCAAGGTGTTGGGACATCTAATTCTGATACCTTCCTTTGTTTAGACACTTTTGTTGACTCTCCATTACTTTGAAATGAAATTTCAACTCTCCATATGCATTTTAATTCAAAATCATTTGCTTATAAGAAAGAGAAGGCCAGGGCCTCCCTGGTGGTGCAGGCGGTTGAGCGCTGCGCTGCGGTGCCATTTCGATCCCCGCCAGCCGCGGAGATGCCCACATGGAGAGGCAGACCTCTCCTGTCTTGCCTGCTGCTCCCCTCAACAGTGTATTTCGTCAGTCTGCCTGTTCTGTTCCCCACTCTGTCTCTGGTGAATCCTCTCACCCTCCTGCACCTCTGGCCTGTACTGGCCTGTACTCCGGTTCTTGTATAAATAAATCTTTTTTAAAAAAAAAAAAGAAAGAAAAAAAAGAGAAGCCCATCCAGACGAATTTAAATAAAAGGAGATCTGAAGACTTCTGCCCTAGTAAAATGAAGTTGATCTTTTCTTCCACGTACTTCCCAACTTAACAATTTTTCAGTTTTACAATGGCGTAAAAGCGATGCACATTCACAAGAAAACATACATCACACTTTGAGTCTTGGTCTCGGGACTAGGGATAATGGTTATGATGCTCTAGAGATGCTGGACAGTGGCAAGAGCCACCACTTCCAGTCACATGCCCATGGGAGTAAACAATATTCTACAGTGCCCTTTACCACCTGCTCTTGAGTCTCATCAGGAGAGAGAAGTTGATGACCCTATCGCTATAGCATCCCCATCTTTCAGCAACTTTTACGTCAATGTTTCAGATATTCTTCAGCCCCAACTTGCTTGACATTACTTACATTAACGGTGAGGACCCAGGCAACCATTCTTCTCATTGCTTTCAGTACAGTATTCAATAAGTTGCATGAGGTAGTCAACACTGCTATAAAATAGACTTTGTGTTGATTTTGACCAACTGTAGGCTAATGTTCTGAGGTAGGCTAGGAGCTATGATGTTTGATAGGTTAGTTAAATTAAATGAATTTTCAGTGTCAAACATTTATTAGAGTTTATTGGGACATAACCCCTAGTAACTCAAGGGACATCTGTACAACCAAAATCCTGGATGTTATATATAAAGCATAGAAGACTGAAAGGTGGAAATTAAAAATCATACCAGCAGATGTACCCAGTGCTTGTATAAATAAATAAATAAATAAATATTAAAAAAAATATCATACCAGCAGGGTTCCTTGGGACCCAATGTGATTTCCCTGAGTTTTCTTTTTTGCCTCATTTAGCCCAGATAGGGTGCTCAAGGAGCCAGAAACATCAACAGGCACAAGTTAAAATCCCCAACACAGGACTGCTTCCATTAGCCAAGGGACCAGGAAAAGAGCAGCCTAAAGGACAGAAAACTTTCAGATAATAACTATTCTGTTACAGCCAAGGACAATAGAAACATCTCTGGTCCATCCCACCCCTGCTAGCAAAGGCCAAAGGTGAGCCTAAGTTTCCATGGAGTTAGTGAGTTGGATATTATGTGCAAAAGAATGAAATTGGACCCTCATTTTACACCCCCACCCAAAAAAATTAACTCAAAATAGATTGAAGACTTACCCTGTAACTATAAACATGCTAGAAGAAAACATAGGGGAAAAGCTTTTTGAACTCGGTCATGGCAATGATTTTTTGGATATGACATCAAAAGAACAAGCAAAAATAAACAAGTGGTACTATATCAAAATCAAAACTTTCACACACAAAAGAAACAACCAACGGAATGAAACAACCAGCAATCCATGAAATAGAAGAAAATATTTGCCAAACATATATCAGAGGAGGGGTTAATGTGCAAAATATGTAAGGAACTCATAGAGCTGAATAGCAAAACAAAAATCTGATTTTAAAATGAGAAGAGGACCCAAATAGACATTTTTTTTCCAAAGAAGACGTACAAACACCACTAATCATCAGGGAAATGTAAATAAAAACCATGATGAGCTATCACTTCACACCTATTAGAATGGCTATTATCAAAAAGTCAAGAGATAAGTGTTAGTGATGATGTAGAGAAAAGGGAGTCCTTTATGCACCATTTGTGGGAATGTAAAGTGATACAACCGCTATGGAAAATAGTGAGGCGGCTTCTTCAAAAAATTAGAAATAGAGCTGCCATATAATTCAGCAACCCCACTAGTGAGTATTTATCCAAAGGAAATGAAATCACTATCTCAAAGATGCAAGTACCCCCATGTTTACTACAGCATTAGTCACAATAACCAAGACATGGAAATGACCTAAGTGTCCATTAATAAAGAAAATTATATATAATTATATAATACGTACTGATGGAATATTATTCATCTTTAAAAAGAAGGAAATCCTGTCATTTGCTGTGACAACATAATGGATATTGAGAGCACTGTTCTAAGTGAAATAATCAGACATTGAAAGACAAATGCTGCATGATCTCACTTATATGTGGAATCTGAAAGCGTCAAACTCATAAAACAAAGAGTAGAATAGTGGTTGCCAGGCATCTGGGGATGGAGAGGAACAAGGAGATGTTGGTGAAAAAGTGCAAACTTCCAGTTATAAAATAAATATGTTCTGGTATCTAAAATTCAGCATGGTGATTCTAGTTACCATTACTGTGCTAATATATTTTAAGTTGCTAAGAATAGATCTTAAACATCGCCATCTCACACACACACACACACACACACACACACACAAATTGTAGTTGTGTGAGGTGATGGAAGTGTTAACTAACCCTGTTGTCATCATTGTGCAATGAATACAGCAAATCTTCACATTGTACACCTCAAGCTACAGTGTTACATGTCAGGTATATGGAGGGTAGAAAAAGAGGCTCCCAAGAACCAGAGGAGTTCATGCTAACACCCCATTTTTGAGCACAAATTATGTGCCAGGTGCTATGCTAAGTGCATCACACACATTCTTTGACTTAAACCTCCAGTGCTCACTGGGTAAGGGCTTTAGCCCCATTCTGTGGATAAGCTGAGGCTCAGGGAAAGCATTTGTTCAAAGTCAAGTGGTTAATACACAGCAGGACTAGAATTCAAGCCCAAGAGTATCTGACTCAGTGTCCATCATCTTAATCACTTCTGTTCCCCTCTGCTGGGAGGCACCCATCTGGGTGAGTGTTGTCCAGAATGGAACCCTGACCCAATCGTGATTGGCTGGAGGAACATACTTAGAAAGAAGTTGGGAGGGCCTGTCGCTGCAGCCTCCACCACCGCCGCCCACCCTAGGCCCTCCCTGCTTCCAGGAGAACTGAGCCCCAGAGAGAGCCCGTGGGGAGAGGTCCCACCTATCTCAGGCCATACCTCCTCCTAGCTCGGGTGGAAGGGCTCAGACTCTGCCATCCCCTCTGCCTTCCATCCCTCCACCCTGTCCTGCAGGCTCGCTTCACCCATGGCATGTTCACCGTGTACCCTGGGTTTGGCTCCATCCCTCCTGGAGGACTCCAGGTCATCACCGTGGACTGCTTGGCTGACCCCTTGGGAAGGTGTGAGGAGTTTATAGCTATCGACATCTCTGACCGAGACCCCAGAGACCAGCCTGCTGGCATTCCTTACACCCTTTTGGCTGAAGCCTGTCTACCAGGTACTGGGCACTCAGAATGGACAGCCACCCTTCAAAGCCCTTCCTCCGTAATGTTGCTCCCAGGCGAGTGTCTAGCAGGCAGGGCTGGGCTGTTTCCTCTGGGACCCTAGAACATCTAGTGTCTTCAGCCATATTTTTCCTAAAAGACTTAGGAGGCCTGACACCTAGGAGTGTGCAGCTTTAGATCCTAGACTTCCCAAGTTTGGTCCAGGATTCTCAGATGAATATTGTTACCTGGGAGTCATGGTGAGATGGGCCATGCCTGGGGGCCCAGCAAGAGAATCCTGCCCTTGGATGGCCCCCTCCCAGGGGCAACACACTGAGAACCTTGGTCACCAATTGGGAGAACTTTTACTGCAGCCCAGCCCGAGTGCAGCCGCGGCCCAGAGATATCCCCCTTTGCAGTGACTCCAGACAGCCTCCAGCAAAGTGGACCAAATGCCTGCTTCCCTCCCAACCCTTCACCATGGGGAGAGAAAGATGGCAAGGGCCTGGGGACATGCAGGAGCAGTGCCCAAGAGGCAGAGGGGCAGAATTTGTCCCTTAGCCATCACCCCTTAGTGTGAATTCCCTCCCTCTGTCCCTGTGATTGTGCTCAGTCAGAGCCCAGACCTCCCAGTCAGGGGTGACAGAGGGCAGGAGTCGGGCTGCCAGCCTTCGCCTCAGCACCCTCCCCTCCACCCCCAGCCTTCGTGACAGACAACAATGCCTTGATCTTTGAGGAGCATCAGATATGTCACAGCTCCAACCTGCTCCACATCCTGCAGACCACGGAGACTGTGGGGCTGTTTGTGGAAGATGAGAACAAGTTCATCTTCTGCAACGTCCTGGTGGGCCACCTGGCCAAGGCTCGCTTCAAGATCTGCAACCAGGGGAAGATCTCCTGTGATGTGAGCATCGCGGTAAAGCCGGTCTCCAGCAAGGTAAGTGGCAGAGTGGGCCCCAGGCTGCCGAGGTCCCAGGGAGCACCCGCCTCTGCCACGTCTCCGAATGAGAGGGCACAACCTGACTCCAGGGCCTGCTGGAAGTTCTGTGAGGTGACTGGGTGGTTTCCCCAGGACCAAGGTTATGCACTGGCACCAAAGGGGGGTCCCTCCTGGGTACCTGGGGATACACCAAAGCAACCCACTCTTGCACAAACACCCACTGTGGGCAAGCATTGTGGAGGAGCAAGCAAGTGCCAGCCAGGCAGCTGCCTCATGGTTTGCATTTGCCTGATAAGGACATTTTGGGGGCTGTCAAAAGACAAGTGAGGTGAAGTGATGTGCATTTATTGAGCTCCAGCTGTTTGCCAGACACTGTGCTCAATAATCTGCCTTTATCGCTTCATTTCACCCTCACAAGTTTGTATCGTCAAGCTTTGTATTATTATCCCCAGCATCCAGTTAGGGGAATTGAGGCTCCAAAAAGCTAAATCCTTCCCCTGGGCCCCAGGGCCTAGGGATATGGGGCTAGACTTTCGGTAAGCTTCATCCGCTGACTATAAAATATAAGCGCCCACCACGAAACTGCCCTCCCCTCTGAGTCAGGCCCATTGAGATTTTTTTTTCACACTGAAATGGAAGTTTGGGAAACAGAGGGCTCAGTCAGGCAGCATCGCTTCCCCTCCATTTCCAATCAGATGTGCGACAAATGCTGCCTTGTCTGCCCAAAGGTGGAATCTTGGCCAGGCAATCCTTGTGTCCCAGAGAAAGCCAGCCCTGCTTGGGCTGATGGTGGAGGGCAGATCCCCGAGAGAAGGCTGAAGCGGCTGGCACGAGGAGAGAGTGTGCATTCCCCGGCACTGCCAACACAGGGTGGCGCTTTTGGGGGACCACCTGGTCCCTTTTATGGCTCCTAGTGATGTGCAGTCCTTACTCTCTGACCATCTTTGTGACCTGAAGGGGCAGTTTCCTCTCTATTCTGTGCTGAAACACAGTGAGCAAGCCTGGTTTCTAAAGCAAGATGGATTTTCAACAGTGGATTTGTAGATGCCACATCCTCCTCCCCACTAACTTGCAGGCAGTCCCTTGGAAAGACCAAAGAGCCCTGAGTGTCCTCTGCTTAAGAACAGAGGGACCAGTCAGTCTGGAATCCTGCCTACCTCCCAGGAGAATGAAAAGTCTCTCAAGACCATGACAGGGGTCCCCACAGTCCCTGGGGTCTTCCCAAAACACTGCTGCAGGCTGGGACCAGGTGAAGTGCTGTGGAGACTGTTCTAGATGAAGCTCCTGTTGCAAGGAGCAGAAACCCGCATAGGTAGCCCACACAATGCACCAGAGGCTGCAGACAGCCGGGAAGGCACCAGGTAACCAGAGCTCTGGGGCACAGGGACTGCCCGTGCTGACTGCCATCAGCTTTCAGAAGAGTCTCTGTCCCTCCTCCATTTGTCTCTCACTCATGGTACCTCTGAGGTTCCATTGTCATTATGGCATCAAGTTCAGATCCACATCAACAACTAGGTGATCTCTGGGCACCTTGATGGCAGGGGACGGAGGAGAGAAAGAGGGAGCTATCTGAGACCTAGTTCAGTACATCTGTTCATGTCAGAGGTCACAGGTGTAGCCAAATCCAGCCAGTTACTGCTCAGGGGCAGATCCAAGTTATCTAGGCCTCTCCTTCCCAGGACACAGCTATGCAGGCAACAACAAGGCATGTCTACAGAGCTTGGGGAAGGGGGAGGTCACAGCAGGAGATAAAGCTAAGCAGCAAACCCCATGTAGAAGCAGCACCCACAGCCCGCACCCCGCCTCCAGGTGTATGCCCGAATCACTGACATCTTTGACGTGGAGCCCAACAAGATATGTGTCCCCAGCCGTGCACACGCCTTCACCACGGTATCATTCACCCCGCAGACCATGCAGAACTACCAGTGCATCTTTGAGGCCACGCTGGACGGGTTGCCCAGGTACGGCTCCCCAGCAGGGCCTCCTCGGCCGGCTGCCGCCCCAATCCCGTGCGGTGTGATTCCTGTCGCCAGGGCTAACAGCCTCCATCTTCCTGTTCCCTGCAGCAACCTGGCCAAGAACCGAAACCTGGTGTTTGATATTGTGGGCGAGGGGAACCTCCCTCGAGTGACCATTGTGCGGCCAATTCTCCGTGACCAGCAGGGAAACCCCATGATCCTCTTTAAGAAGCTTCTACTGGGTCACTCAGATAAACTGCCCCTCGTGCTCAAGAACAGCGGCACCATCCCCGCCCAGGTAGCTGGAGGGCAGGACAGGGCGTGGAGGGAGAAGATTCACTCAGAGTCAGACTCTGACATTGGGGCCCTGCCGCCCCTAATGCATGAGGGCTGCTTCTTCGCTGTTTCTCATATATCAGCCTGTGTAAGACGTGGGCCATGCCGAGGGTGTCAGGCCTGGTCCCTATCCCCGAGGAGCATGAGAGTGTCAACAGACACAGGTGACTGGTAATCACCGCACAAGGCAGCGTCCCGGGTAGACTCCACACCAAGGGCTAATTTACGGGTGTCCTTATTATCTTCCTTATTCCTGCGCTATTTTCAGTAATGAATATTGCACTATTCATGAGAAAAAAAGCAATAAAATAAACCTCACTAGGAGAGATACAACTTCTGAAGGACCTTTTGTTTCAATGATTAAATTACGTTTTTAATTTTGCAAAAAAATAAAAAGTGGTAAGTTGTGCATTAATAAATAAAGGACAGTAGGATTGTTGGAAGTGATCTAAGCCTTTTTAGGAGCTCAAAGAAAAAGTCACTGTAAAATGACACTTGACTTAGGCATTGAAGGGTCGCTGGGTTTCAGTAAGTGGGCATACCAGTGAGTGCACCCCAATGGGAGAGAAAGCCGCAAAGACAAAGGATTAGAAGCCAGTAGTGTGTAAGATACAAGCACCCAGCCTCATGAGACCACAGGTATAGGGAGATGAGAGAAGAGAGGTAAAAATAGAAGGGTAGAATAAGGAGGCAACTTATAGAGCACTTTGGATTGTTTATAAATGCTATAAACCCTACACAACCCTATAACTATCATGTTGTTATTTATACAGTTAAGACTCATTATATTTCCCCACATCATTAACATTCTTATCAGTCTTCATTCTTGCATCTCCAACTTTCCACCTGAGGTCCTTTTCCTAAGTTCCAAAGAGTATTCTTTAGTATTTCCTTAATGTGGATCTGCTTGTGATGAAATCTCTCCATTTTTCTTTGAAAACTTTCATTTCGCCAACATTTTCAATGTAATTTTTACTGACTATAGAACTCTGGATTGGCAGGAGGTATTATTCCAGTGTGTTCTGGTTTCCATGGTTACTGCTGAGATATTTATTGGCTATAAGCCCACAGTGTTGTTTTTAGGAATCTTTCCTCTCCCTGTCACTTTGTATTTTGCATTTTGTTTTCTGTTGTATTTTGCATTTTGTTTCACTATGATGCCTCTAGGTGTGGATTTCTTTTAGTGTATCCTTCATGGAATTTACCGGGCGTCCTAATCCTGCAGGGGATGTCTTAAATCATCCATCCTGTCTCATCTCTCCTCTGGGAAGCCCAATACATGGAAACCTTCCCACTATATCCTCTGAGTCTCACAACCTCTGTGTTTTCCAATGATTTTTCTCTGGGCTTCTCCATAAAATTCTTTTTTTTTTTTTTTAGATTTATTTATTTATTTATACAAGCACTGGGTACAGTCAGAAGCACGGGAGGGTGAGAGAATTCACCAGAGCCAGAGCAGGAAACAGAACACGCAGACTGACGATACACTGCTGAGGGGAGCAGCAGGCGGCAGGAGAGATTTGCGCGCCATGTGGGACCCTCGCCAGCGGCCGGGGATCAAACCAGCGCTGCAGAGGCTGCGGGCAGCTTCGCAACCCAGTGTTCAACTGCTGCGCCACCGGGGAGGCCCTCCACATAATTCTTTTGACATACCTTCAATTCATTAGCTCTCCCTTTGTATCTATTCTGTTAAACCTTGCATTAAGTTATTAAGCTCTTATATCTTTCAATTCTAGAATTTCTGTTAGATCATATTTTTTTAGACATGTGTTACCAGTTTTTGTGATTTCTAGTTTCAGGCTGAAATGATCAGACTTAGCTTTTATTTCTTGAACTCAGGAATCCCAGCCATTTTGCTCTCCATGCCAGATAATTCCAAATTCTGAAGTCTCTATCCAAAATACATTTCTGATATCTGCTACTACTTCTCCATTTTGCCCCTGTTTTCCTCTCTCTCCTGGGCCTGATTGTTTTTTTAACCATGTATTGGGTATTATATTTGAAGAAATAATTAGACTAAGTATGATGATTTTCCTTCAGAAACAATCTTCATTTGCATCTGCCTGGCACTTAGGGGTCCTAGAAACTCAGATCACCTTAAACTGGCTTGGGGGCTTGAGAGTTTCTGAACTCCTTAGATGACCAGGAGCAGGATTGCTGTCCTCAGAGGGGCTGGTTTCTATGTACCTCACCTTTTGTCTTAAGGTGCCTACCTTTTGGGACATAGTTCAGAAAAAGGAAGGCACCCTACCCTTCACAGGACTGTGGCCCCTTACCACAAGGAGACCATCCCCCACCTTCCAGATTGGCAAATGCCCCAGGTCTAATACAGCCCAGAAAGTTAGGCTGGCCTTTCTGGATTTCCATCTTCCCCCAGATCTTGACTTTTCATTATCTTCTTAACTCCGTGATGCGCTTAAGAATTTTTATGTTATTAAATGTTATTAATCTAGCATTATTTTGTTCTCTTGAGTTCTGATTATATAAGCATTACTCTGCATTACTACCATTATCATGGATTTATAAAATGTTTTAGCATCAAGTTCAGTAAATTCCTACCCACGCCCCATTTTTCTAAATTTTCTTAACAATTTTCGCATGTCTAGACTCTCAGATGAAACTTAGATGTCATTTTGTAATGTTCCTCAAAAAATTCCATTGCTGAAAGAATGAAGCTTGACCACTACCTCACACCATACACAAAAATCAACTCAAAATGGATTAAAGAACTAGACATAAGACCTGAAACCATAAAATACATAGAAGGAAATATAGGCGAAACACTACGGGATTTGCACATCAAAGACATCTTTACAGACACATCACCCAAAGCAGTGATAGTGAAGAGAAAGATAAACAGCTGGGACTACATCAAATTAAAGAGCTTCTGCACAGCAAAAGAGACAATAACAAAAACAAAGAGAAACCCCACCAACTGGGAGAACATTTTTGCACCCAACACTAATGATAAAGGACTGATCACAAAAATCTGCAAAGAGCTGATGAGACTCAGCAACAACAAAGAAAATAATCCAGTCAAAAAATGGGCAGAAGAGCTAAAAAGAAACTTCTCTGAAGAGGAAATGCAAATGGCCAACAGACATATGAAAAAATGTTCAACATCACTTGTAATCAGGGAAATGCAAATCACAACTACCATGAGATACCATCTCACACCAGTGAGAATGGCACATATTAAAAAAACTAGCAACAACAAATGTTGGCGAGGTTGTGGAGAAAAAGGAACTCTTCTGCACTGTTGGTGGGAGTGCAAACTGGTCCAACCACTATGGAGAGCTGTGTGGAGATTTCTGGACCTACTAAACATAGAGCTTCCATATGATCCAGCAATTCCACTCCTAGGTATTTACCCAAAGGAAACAGAAACATCAATTCCAAAGAGCACCTGCACCCCTATGTTTATAGCAGCACTGTTTACAATAGCTAAGCTTTGGAAACAACCCAAATGCCCAAAAATAGATGACTGGATCAAGAAGATGTGGTACATATATACCATGGAATATTACTCAGCATTCAAAAAAGATAAACACATGCAGTTTGCAGCAACATGGATGGCTCTGGAAGGGATCATGCTCAGCGAAATAAGCCAAAAAGAAAAAGAAAAATACCGGATGGTCTCACTCATAGCAGGAATCTAGAAAACTTAAATAAGGGACCAGGAAAATGAATATAAGAAAGTGAAAATCAAAATCAACAAAAAACTATGAACCAGAGACACTTTTTGGGGGGTGGAGGGCGGGAGGGGAAGGATTGGGGTCAGAATGGGGCGTTTGCAATTGTATGGGGGAATATAAAAATAAAATTTATTATTAAAAAAAAAAATTCCATTGCTGGTCTCCCTGGTGGCCCAGGGATTAAGTCTCAGTGCTATCACCACAATGGCCTGAGTTGAATCCCCAGCCAGGGAGCTCACCCACTTATGGCAGAAGCAGACCTCTCTGTCTCGCCCGCTGCTCGGCTCAGAAATGTTATTTCAGTCAATCTGCCTGTTCTGCTCCCCACTCTGTATCTGGTGAATCCTCTCACCCTCCACACCTCTGGCCTATATCCTAGTTCTTCTATGCAAAAAAAAAAAAAAAAAAATTAATTCCTTTGGGAAACCTATGAATTTGGAGGAAAGATTTCTACTTTTAGAGTATTTAGTCTCCCCACAGGAGTAGCATTTAGAATTCCCACCCATTTACTTAGATCTTCTTTGATGTCATTATTTTTTCATATAGTTCCTTATGAAGGTCATTTCTAAATATATAATTTTTTAAAATCTCAGAAGCTTCTGTGTGATGTCAGTACTTCTTCCTTCTTTGTGCCTCATTTTTTATATAGTTCAGTCTTGTTCATGATAGTGCCAGTCTTCGAAAAATGTCTGCTGATTTCCCAAATTCTGAATACCCAAAATCAGATACATGGCTAGTTTTTTTTTTTAATCCATTAGATAGATGGATGGCTTCCTGTGGGTTAGAAAACATCCCCTGGAGGCCCACCTTGATTTTTTTCCTCTTAGTTGGTTGATCCTTTTATCTTGCTTGATGACATTATCAGGCAACTAATGCAATTAGTACCTTGGAGATACTGGATTTTAGGAATTCACATTCATGAAAACCTTTATAGAATAACAAGTATCCATTACCACTTTATTAATCAGTGTATATTTTACAACTCCTGTCAATGACAGAAGCCTTGGCCTCACCCCATTTTGACACTATTTAGCTGGGTGCTCTGGAAAGCAGGGCTCCCAGTTCCTCATTGGGACCACAAGGGCTGGACTCAATTTTCTTGTTTTCTTACCAGGTCTAATATTTATATCTCCCTCTTAATAAGAAATTCCAAAAGTGAGCATTAGGGGCAGTAACTTGTGGGCTACTTCCCAGCAGCACAGTATCTCTCAGGACTCAAACTCTCAGGTGACTTAATAAACCTATCACTCAACCCTGCTTTCCTCCCACCAGCTCCACGTTGACTTGCAGGACGAACTAGGAGTCTTCTCCTTGAAAGGGACGCCGACCACCTCCTACATCTACATCATAGAGGAAAACAACCCTGAGGCAAAAGGTAAGTCAGGGAGGGTGGCTTCTAGAAGGCAGTGGGTCTCAGTAGCCATGTCGTTAGGGAGTATACCCCAAGTAGGGTGCTCAGTCTCTTCACCAGTGGTCCCTGTAGGCAGGCTCATTCCCACGTGAGGGGTACTTTCCCTTGGGTCCGGGTCTTCATAGATCATGTTCTTCCCAACTGGTTCTAAATTGTGTCTTCTCTCTTCTCTTTGCAGCCAAGAAAGCTCACACAGCCTCCCTGGTGGTTTCACCTGGAGCCACAGCTGAGTTTGATGTCCTTTTCCACCCCCAGAAGGTTGGGAGAGTGATGGGCATCATCCACTTGTCTGTGATCAACAACCAGTACGAGGAGACATTCATCCACATGGTGGGAGAGGGCTATGAGGACGAGATCACCTTGGACAACATCCACGGGCTGGTGACGGCTACCAGCCAGGAGATCCCAGATGTCATTGAGGCCTCAGAGGAAGGCAACATGGAAGACCTGGTGGCAGGTGGGAGAAGAGGCAGTGAGATGTGGGCAGCCCTTGGCACTTGGGTCATGTTAACCAAAAGTGGAATTTAAATAACAGCTCAGCTAGCTTCTGGGAATTTCAGAAGGAATCTCTTCCTCATGGCTGTACGCTCCTTCCCGCCCGTCTCAGAACCACACTCACTTGAATGTTCCCCCTTGGAACATTTATTGAGGCTCAGTGTGCATGTACCAAGCCTTCCTCTGGAGTTACAAGTTCTATGACATGAGTCTCTGTCCTTGGGAGTTTACTATTTAAACTCAAATTCCGCTTTAGCTGATAAGTGAAAGTAAAAATTCAAATCCCCGTGTAGCTGACAAGTGAATGTATGTCTCTCTGTAGTTTTCCCTGTCTAGACCTTGGTGCTGGCTTGTGTTGCCGTTATCTGTTTCATCTGAGCCATGAGTCCTAGACATTCTAACAGAAATGGTGGCTGGTGACTGGGAGGTGTGCAGGTGTGTGCCAGCTCTGGAGTATCCCTTTGCCACAGCCTCCCTTCTTGATGCACTGAGAACCTGCAGCACTGGCGTCACCCGGGGGCTCCCTAGAACTGGGAGTTCCAGACCCCAGCCCAACACTTCAGACCTGCTGACTCAGAACCTGAGTGATCTGTGTGTGTATTCAACTCAAGACATGCTGCTCTGCCCCTTATCAAGCGTGGCGGCTCCTTTTGCTTAGCTGTATTCTTGGGGGCAGGAGAAAGTTCACTTCATCGTTACCAAAAAGTCTTTGTTACACACTCTGTGTGGCTCTTACTTGTGTGGAATGAGTTTTAATTTTTTGTTTGTTTGTTGTTATTGTTTTTAATTTTCTTTTTATTTATATATTTTTTACATCATTGTTCATTTTTAAACAATATTTGCTTCCCCGCACCAGGTGTAGTCCCCATAGAATTTCCTTTACCAGTGTACCCGTGCACCATCACCACGGTCCCCTGGGCTCTTCCCTCCTTCCTTCTGATCCCTCTCCCTCCTCCTCCCCTGCAGGATGTCTCTGGTTTATCATTGTCTGTTTTTGTTTTGTTATGTTGTATTTTGTATTGTTATTATTTTTCCCCTGATGTCTTATTTGGCTCCCCTATTTTCCTCCTATAAGTGAAATCATCCAATATTTTTCTTTTTCCTTCTGACTTACTGGAATGAGTTTTAAACACAGTTTCACAGTTCTTGTAGGAGCTTAATTATAGGCCTATAATGTAGCATTGGGCTCCCCTGCAACATGGGTTCAATCTGCATGCCTCAAATCTCTGGAGTTCACACTCCCCCCCACCCCTTTGCAGTGATACTTTGTAAGGGGTCAAAGCAGAAGCCAGCAATGAGCCCCAGTGCAGAAATCAGACTTCAGATTTATAATGGGATGGCCAGATTTAGAAAGTCAGAATAATAAATGATGAATAATTTTTTTATTTACGTGTGTCCCAAAATACTGCATAGGGCATCCTTATACTAAAAATTACTCATTGATTATCTGTAATTCAAGCATAATGGGGACTGCTAGATTTTATTTCACTCTTTTTTTTTTTTTTTTTTATAGAGGCATGTTTTCTTTCTTTCTTTCTTTCTTTGTTTATACAAGCACTGGGTGCAGTCAGAAGCGCGGGAGGGTGAGAGAATTCACCAGAGGCAGAGCAGGGAGCAGAGCAGGCAGAAGGACCGAAGTACACTGCTGAGGGGAGCAGCGGGTGGCAGGAGAGGTCTGCGCGCCATGCGGGACCCTCCTCCAGTGGCCGGGAAGCAGCCGGGGATCGAACCGGCGCCGCAGAGGCCGCGGGCAGCTTCGCAACCCAGCGCTCAACCGCTGCGCCACCGGGGAGGCCCGATTTTATTTCACTCTTAATAGTACTGTTTCAGTAAAGAAATGGAGTTTGCTTGGAAGTAAGGGCAAGGGAGGGAGGGAGGGAGGGAGAGAGAGAGGAAAAAGAAAAGTAGATTCCCCTAGGAGTGAAAACTGGACTGCTCTGGGACTCCAGGCTTTTCCAATAAAACCACCCAAGGAGGGAGGGGTCGCCCAAAGTTGAGATACCATATGTATCAAGTGCTGCCTCCTCGGGAAAGCAGCCCTAGGAGGAGGCCGAAAGGACTGACCACCTTCTTCTCTGTCCCCTAGCTTCCATGGTGGACCACATCAACTTTGGAGACTGTCACGTTGGAAACAGCTACAATATGAGCTTCACACTCACTAATCACAGCCAAGCAAATGTGATTCGATTTGAATGGCCCCTTTTAGCAACAGTTTTTTTCTCCCCACAGGTAAGTGAAAGCCATTCAGTGTTTTCTGGACTCCCTTAAGCCTAAAGCAACCTCAGTTTGATTGTCATTTCAGTCCCTGGCTGCATGGAATGGGATGGCTGGATCACCAGCTAAGCAGCAGCCCAGGTGTCATCTGTGCTGGAGGGCGCTATTTATGTCCCCTGGTCTAAGAACAGAAAATAAGGTCTGCCAAGGCTGTAGCTAGGCTGATTCTATGCAGCCCTGCGTGGGTGAAACAGGTCCCAGTCACCCGATCCTAGAGTGTGGACCCGTGTACCCCGAGGTATGTGTTCTTTAGAGCATTTGTCCTGCAATAGTCGTCCATTGAAAGGTAAGCGGGTGGATTCTGTGGACAACTGTGATATAGAAAATGCTGCAGCTCACATCTTTCTCTTAAAGATTCCCAGTGCCCTTCAGCCTATTAAAACCTACTTAACATTTTTTGAACCTGAATTTTCTAATCCTTTCTTTTAGCACCTCTCAATGTACATTGTATGCCTTGCTGGTCAAAACTTGACCTGATAAGAGACCCAGGCCTACATGGAGGCAGGTTCTAGCCTCTAGTTACTTTTATAGACTGTTTGCTTCTGAGTACCCAGAACCCCAGGACTCCCAGATGTGCTCACTGTCTCCAGCTCTGTTTCAGCCATTGAGTGTTCAAGCATGAAACTCTGAGGGGATAGAACAAGAGGGTTCGGGACCCGGCTTTGTCACCTGATAGCATTTTTTAGTGCTATCAGGAAGAGGTTTTGCTTCCTGGAAGGATGTAAAGTATTAGTCAAAGTAAGCAGAGATGAATAGATGACTGCCTTCTAGTCCATTTATGCGCATGTGCACGCGCATGCACGTGCACACACACACGCACACACACAATTTGAGCCTTAGGAAATACTAAACTTTCTTCACTTTCCGGAAGGGAGAGAGTTTTTATCTGTCAGAAACATCAAACATTTATCATACATGTATACTCATATATATTCTCACACGTGTATATTCACATATATGATATATTCTATTTGTCACATGTATTCTTATTACATATGACATGTGAGTATATGTCTGTTAAATCATAAATGACTTTATCCTACAGAATAGATTGGATTTCCTGTATCTCTACTGTCCCTCACAAATCTCAAATTTTGGGGTCTCAAGACTTCTTTACACATGACTGAGGATCCCAAACAGCTTTTCTTCCTGTGGATTATGTCTACCAATATTTAACATACTAGAAATGAAAACTGATATTGCTTAAAAATATGAATTAATTCATTATAAAATAGAATAATAAACCCATCACATGTAATATAAATACCATATTTTTATGGGCATGGCCCTATTTTCCAAAACACAAACTAATAGCATTACTTTATATTTTCACAAATCTCTTTAAGCACTGACTTAATAGAAGACAACTGAATTCCCATATTTGCTTCTGCATTCACTCTGATGCAATATCACATGTCCTGTAACCTTGTATATGCATTCAAAAATAAAAGTGAAAAAGACAAATAATGTTTATTATGATGAAAATAATAAATTTTTACCTTGTCGTTCTCAAAAAAGCATTAGGGACCCCCCAGAGTCACCAGATCACACTCTGAGAACTGCTAATGTATCATGTACATCCATCCTAACTTGTGCAGATCCTGTTAATTCAGAAGCACGGGTGGGGGCCAGAGGTTAAGAGGGTGGAGTCTGGAGCCACACGGTCTGGGTTTGAATCCAACTCCTCTACCATTAGTGGTCTGGCCTTGAGCAAGTTACGCTTTCCCTTGTCTACCAAATAGCTGCGATAGCTTTATGTTAGGTAGGGTTGTTGTAGGGATTCATAAAATTGTATAAAGGTTTAGAATAGTGCCCAACTGGGGCAACAGCTTGATAAATATTAGCTATTGTTTATATGTTGATCTTTCTAAAGGCCTCTTGTACATGATTAAGGCAGTGTACATATACAGGCTTGAATGAGGTGCTTTTGCCAAAACTTGGTTCTATCCCTTCTCTAAAATGTCACAATCAGGTATCAGAATCCTCATGATTTATTCCCAAAAATAAACCCAAGTTCTTCCCCAGGTGGGCCACCTCCACCCCGGCTGTTCTAAAGACACAGTCGTGACCTTGAAGTCAGATACGCCCATCAGCCTGAAGAAGATGTGGGTCAAGTGCAGACTCTCCAAGATCATGTTTCAGGTCCCCACAGACCAGGTCCCTGACTGGGATGACCGCATGCGCACTGTCAAATGGGTGGACATGCCCAAAAACACACCCGGGACCTTCACTACGAAACGAAAAGTGAGTAGGAGGCACCAAGTACAGACCCACCAGGCTTAGATGCCTCTCAAGTTCAGTGTCTCATCATCCTCTTCTTTCAAGGGAAAAAAAAGTTCTAATTCTCCTTGACTTTGCTTTCAAAAGCAACAGACTGAACTTGCAGGCACACCGCCTGCAGCACTTTCTACACGTCCTACCGCGCTTCTTAATCGGGAGAGGTGTAAGGCTTGATATCTAATTGAGCTAGTCCTCCCACCTTTTTATTCTTCAGGTATGTCACAGTGGGTCTTTTAATGGTTCCCTTTTCCCCTTGTGTCCAGAATTAGAGTCATTATAACCTTTTGTTCAAAACAGGATCTCATCTTCGTTCCATGCATCTTTTTCCCCTTGCTTGGTTTCTTTTTAATAATATACCAGAGATGAACCCACACCCCCCTGTGGCTGGCCTGTGTGGTTCTCAGCCAACTCCATTACCAGCCCCCTACTAGTGGTCATCAGTCTGCTGAATTTGTTTGCTCATTCCCTTGATCTTTGGTTTTTGTTTAGTTTTTAACCTGGGCATTCTAAAAGGCATTTTGTTTGATTTTTTTTAAGATTTTATTATTTATTTATGCATACAAGAACTGGGATACAGGCCAGAAGTGGGGTGGTCAGAGGAGTCATCAGAGACGGAGCGGGGAACAGAACAGGCAGACTGACTAAAATACTCTGCTGAGGGGAGCAGAGGGCGAGACAGGAGAGGTCTGCCGTGCCATGTGGGTGGCTCTATGATGGAAATTTGATTGAAATTGGATTGCATTTTTAAGTCAACTTAGGAAGAATTGTCTCGATTTTATAATATTAACTTGTCTTTTCCATTAAGAGGGTATACCTCTGTGTTTTAAGGTCTTCTGAGATATTTTTTTACTACTACTCAGTTTCTTTAATAGTAGTAAGACTCTCCAGATTTTTTTAATTTGTTTTTGAGTCCATTTTATTACATTATTTTTCTAATCTAGCCCTTCAACTAAGCTTTCATATGCATTTTCATGCAATTACCACAATATGTTCTTGTCTGTTTAAATACGTAGGGTGTGTGGTGATGTGGTGATGTCTCCCTTTTCTTTTTTTTTTTAAAGATTTTATTTATTTATTTATTTATGTATACAAGCACTGGGTACAGTCAGAAGCGTGGGAGGGTGAGAGATTTCAACAGAGCCAGAGCGGGAAACAGAACAAGGAAGTACACTGCTGAGGGGAACAGCGGGCGGCAGGAGAGGTCTGCGCGCCATGTGGGACCCTCGCCCGGTGGCTGGGGATCAAACGGGTGCTGTAGAGGCTACGGGCAGCTTCGCAACCCAGCGCTCAACCACTGTGCCACCGGGGAGGCCCAATGTCTCCCTTTTCATTTCTGATATTGGCTATTTGTATTCTCTCTCTTTCTCTTTTTGATCAGTCTCATCACAATTTTTAAAAATTTTTTCAAACAAACTGTTTTTGCTTTGCTGGTCCTCTCTGTTTTAGATTTACCTTTGACTTCATTAATATCCATCCCTATCTTTGGTGTTTCCTTTTTTTTTTTTTCTACCTTCTTTGAAGACTATCTGACCATGAAACATGTCCAAGTATCTTTTCCATTATTTTGTCCCTTGCTTCTAATATTTTTGCTTTTTGTTTATGAGAGCTGGGAAGCCAGGAAACGAGTCTGTTAGAATTGTTTGTTAAATGAGATAACAAATCAAAGCTCATGCCCATGCAGTCTTAATGCTCTCAGTAATTCTCACTAGTGCCTTTCTTCCTTATGAGTGCCTTTCTCCACTTATGAGTCCTTTTAGATTTGCCTTGATCATTTATTCTAGAACTTGAGTTTGTGGATTGGTGCCCATGTACACACATGCAAGAAAGCCCTGTGTTGTCCCTCCAATATTTCTGTGAGCCAGCTGGCTCTGCATCACTGAGTGTTCAGCTGCCTCTGCCTCTATTACAGGTGATAGAGACGGATCCTGAGCCAGCCCATTCAGTACTGGAAGAAAACTACCAAGACCTGCAGCTTCAGATCAGTGCCAATGTGAATTTTGCTTCATACCAGTGCCAAACAAGAGATGTGCACTTTAAAGAAACCATGGTCTACCAGACCCGAGTGTTTGAGTGAGTCCCAACTCTCATCAGAAAAGCTGTCGTGTCATCACTCACTCACTCCTTCATCAGTCACTCAGTGTTATCTACAGCATGTACCTGGCACGCACCACAGTGTCTTTGTGACACCCATGAAACATCAGACCCATAAAGTTATTGGAGTTCACACTTGAAGTCAAGATTAGACCAGGAAACACAGTCTTCCAGGAGGGTGGCATCAGTCCATCTGCTTCAATGGACAGACTTTGATGCAGTCCACAGCACCACGCAGGAACTGTTCCCATAACCCCCACCCACCTCACTGGTGATGGCTCACACAATGGCCACACCTACAAGGATGGAGTCCATCTTAGCTTAGAAGTCCATGGCCAACAAAAACCAATATTTCTCATAACCACACCATAGGTGTAAGCACAGGTATAGCTTCCTGCAGGGAGCTTGTCCAGGCACAAGAGTCACTCCACTCTGAAAACCCCAAAGCTGTAGCTTCCCACCAGGTTATCATCATTCCTCCCAGACCAAATGCAATTTGCTAATCAAGGGTCATTTTTACTATAAACAATGTTATCTAATGATACAGCTGACATTTTTTCCAGATTTCCAGGGAAACAGAATCTGAACATTCATTCAAAGTCAAAATTGTCCCTGGAGAAGGGGAAAGGGTTACAGTATCCCTTCAACCACCCTTCGGTGCAGGGACCTGGCCATGTCACAGGTTCTTCTCTCTGGGAGCTTGTGGTCTGGAGGTGGGCGATTGGGAAATGGATAAAATGGGTGAATAAACAGTGGCAGCCTGGTATCCTGTGTGTACAGGGAGACAAAGTAGTGCCCCAGTTGAATTTTGGATTATAAATAACCAGTAGCCAGATGAAAAAGTAAGGGGACAAGGGTCTTTGAGTAGAGAGAGAGCAACATAGGCAAAGATAGACCAAGAGGAGACAAAAATGCAAACACAAAAATGTAGACCACTGACATTTCTACTTTATAAAAATTCGTAATTAACTTTCTCAATTCATTTTGCATTTGTTGCACTTTAAGTGTTCTCTCAATCTTATAGAACCAAAGCTGTAAGGCAGGATTTGGGACCACCTGGAGCAGGGGTCAGCAAATGATAGCCCATGGACCAAATCCAGCCAATTTCCTGTTTTTGCAAATAAAACATTGTCGGCCCACAGCCATGCCCATTCCTTTTTATGTTTCTGGCTGCCTCTCACTACGTCAGTGGTGCGAGTCATCGCCACAGAGACCACATGTCATGCAAAACCAGAGAAACTTATACGCTGGCTCTTTACGAACAATGTTTTCAACCCTGGCCCAAACCAAAAAGCCTTAGTTTGAAAGGTATTCTGTGCCACCAGTGTTTCACCACCTTATAAAAACTTTCTTTAGGGTAAAGACCGGTGCTCAGAAATTCATAGTCTGTATCTCAGCATCTTAGTCAGGGGTCAGATGACCTCTGACCACAAAATATTTTTTTCTGGTGGGAAATGATTTAGGCTGGAAGGGGCTGTGGAATTTATGCCCCATGAAGGTGAAATCATAGGAACTTTTCGGGGCTACATTGATGCATTCTGAGAGCCCTTTGCCTCGGGTGCTGGTGGTGTGCAAGATGGTGTTAAGTACTAATCATTTGGGTAGTTTCACTATCAACATATGTATGTATATTCCATGTATTTTAAAGGAAATTTTAACCAGTATGTAAAGGCATGGTTTCAGATAAAATTGTTTAAAATGTGTCTTTGGTAGATGTCCTTAAGACACAAAGTTACTTGAATTAAAGAAAAAAGGTAAAGTAGCCATATAGATGACGAACAGAGAAGGACAAAAATATCTCTGTTGCCTTTCTCCCACCTGTCTGCTCTTTGATCTATCACAGGCTTGACTTGGTTAATTCAGGAAGTGTGCAGCTGGAATTCAACTGTGTCTCAGAAGAGACCACCAAGGCTGTCAGCTTTGCAATGCCAGAATCCCAAGGTGAATGTGATGACATAAAACCTGGACTTGAACCACATCCCCAGTTTGTAGACTAAGAACCTTGTTCATGGTGAGCGGATACTCCTCCAAGGCCTCCTGAATGGTTAAGGAGAAGCAGACAGAGGTCTTGTGGCATTGAGAACTTGATGGAATGAATAGAAATATTTCTCACGAGTCTCCTGTGAGTAATGCAGGAATTCTTTACCTCAAGGCCCCCAAGTTAAATCTGCCTGCTTACATATATCTAAGGGTCCTCAGTGACCTGTGGACTCAGGGAGTGGATTGCCCTCTCCCTGCCCTTCCACTGCAAATGCAGAGTCTCTCACTGGTTCTCTGTCTGCCCCCAGGCTCCAGTCAAAAACTTCAGCTTAGCCAGGGCACACTGCACACGGGCAGCACCCTGGACAGCACCACGGAGGCCTGGACTGAGATGCCCACACCACTGTTCTCTGTGGAGCCCTCCTCCGGCATCGTGCCCGCGGGCAAGACTCAGAAACTTAAAGTGAAATTCTCCCCATTGGAGGCTGGTGAATTCGAGTGCAATCTGTTCTGCCAGTAAGGAGACAGACTCCCTACATCAAAGTTTTGCACCCCACCCTGTCACCTCTTGCGCCCCACCCGTTCTTTCAACCCTAGGACCCTCCACAGCCCCAGATGGCCACATTTCCCTCAGGCCCTTGTTTGGAGAACAAGAAGAATATGGTCCTCAGACTGTTCTTCAGTCCTCTCTCAGACTCTTCCTCCTGCCCACCTCCCCCACACAGCCACATACCAGATTCCATGTGCAAAAGAATGGTTGACAGTCAGGTGCCTTCCAGTCCTTGGGCAGGCATGAACTTGGGGAACTTTTTCATATCTCTTCTGAGACTCAGTTTCCTTATCTGTAAAATGCAAATTAGTAGTACCCACCATGAAGATTAAATGAGCTAATCCAAGTGAAGTGCTTCCAACAGCATCTGGAGCACGATAGACACTGGGTGTTGGTGGGAAGGGTAGGCCTGGTTTATAGTATACCAGGAAATTGAAATGAGCCAATCCTATAACATCTGGCAATAAAGTCCCTGATGTAGTGCCCACTCCCAGGAAGTCTCCAAGAACACCAACCTTTCAGAAGGATTCTGAGAACTGTAGCAAATAAAACCTAGGAACCTTTTGGGGTCCCTGTAATCACACTGTAAGGACCCCTCGCACATCTGTGTCAGCCTGCTCTCATCCAGTTCACCTTCACCAAGGAGCTCCAGATACTCATTTAGGGTTTCTGGATCTTTTCATATCCCACTCGAAGCCTATGCGAGGGTCCAGAGGGTGTAACTGTGTTCATACTATGGCAGGGAGATTTTTGTACCACTGATGGAGGAAGTAACTCGAGACCATAATGGAAGGAGCCAGAGTTCAGGCTGCCCATTCATGTTTTCATCCACTCATTACCAAATACCTACTATGCATACATCATGTACTGCTCAAGGCACTCAGGTTATGTCGCTGATTGTTGACCAAGACAGACCCAGCCTCTACTCTCATGGAGCTCACGTTCTGGTGGATATAATACAATATTCATGCCAAACCAATTAAGAAAGCCACAACTAATTTAAATATATATATATATATATATATATATATATACGAATGAATGAATGAAAATAATCTTATCTTTTCAGGATTCCCAACCTGCCACCTGGAGAGCAAGGCCCAATCCTGTCAACCAAAGGGCGAAGCATCTTGCCCTTCTGCCATTTTGACCTGAAGGATTCAGACTACATCAGTGCTTATCGCTGCAGCTCAGACCTCCGGTGGCCCGGGGGTGGGCCTGTGGACCCTAATACCCGGGTGATTGAGTTCACCAGCTTGGGTGTCGGGGGGAAGGATCTTCGGTGAGTTGTATAGGTTTGGATTGGTTTGGTTCCTATCAGTCAGTCCTTCTAAAGAATTCAGAGGAAGAATTTGGTAAAACAAGCTAGACCGATTTGACCTGAGCTTTAGAGGTCTGATTTGAGAGAACTGCTACATTAAGAAGATAAATCTATCGCCTTAGGCTTGACACTGGGGGAAATTCAAAAGACTTGAAAACAATGTCTTCCTGCCACCTTGACCACAGAGGATCACTGGCACAGAAGGACCATTGGCTCCCTCATTACTACAACATCCAGAACTCTGGCCAGACTTCAGACCCCAGATGAGATGTAGCTTTTGTTTCCACACTAATTTGGTGCCTAGAGCCCTTCAAATTTCCAGACAGGGGACTGCACTAGGGCAGGTGACCCAAGAGTTTCTCATAATCCTCAACCGCTCTCTCACTCTCTACTCTCAATTCTTCCCCCTTGGCCAGGACTTTCACAATCCTGAACCCAACCAGTAGCACCTACTCCTTCTGCTGGCTCTCTGAAGAAATTGATACTCTCCAGCACCCTCCAGCCTTCACATGCCTGACCGAGAGGGGGCTCATCTACCCTGAAAAGAAAGCTGAGGTATGTGTGAATAAGGACCACTGGGCCCCAGGCCTTACTCATTCTGTCCCTCTCTGCATAGCAAGTGTGCCATAGACCACAGGTGGAAGAGTGAGGGAGAACCACCTAAAGGTGCATCAGTCAGCAAGTATTTCCTTCATGGGTGCTACATACATGAGGCAGCCCTCAGAACCAGACAGACCTGAGCAATCTCCTGTGACCAGGGAGAAATTTTAAACTCTAGAATTTGCAATTTAAAAGGCTGAGGTGATTAAGGAAGGAAAGGGGAGCCAGGATACCAATGCCTGGAGACTCCAGGATTCATACAGTAACGTGAAGAGTTATTTTTGACCAAGGGACAGACAACAATGAAAGGACACAGGTATGTTTTTACCTATTCAGGCCAAAGTGAAAAGCAAAAAGGTGGAGCTTGTTCCATGACTGAGTCCTAACATGTATGGGGAAAGGTAGAGTCCTGTATTTATGGGTCCTGTATCCTGTAAGTTCTGCAGAGACTCTTGGAGGCAGAGTTTTATCCATGAAACAAAAGTCTCAAATTCAGATGCCTGCAGGCAGGTCACACAAATGAACGAAGCAGGCCTCTGGGTCAATCACAAGGAATGCAGGGCCCTGCGGCTGGATGGCCACTTCTGTGGGTGACTACCATGCAGATGAGAGGGTCTATGGTGGCCAGTTCTCCCAAGTTTCACAGGAAGAAAAACACATTTTCAGATTTTGATCTGAAAATCTCCAATCTTACATGCCATCTAATGACATGGTAATAAATATGGCAGCCTAGCCAGCAGAGGCTCTGACTGGGTAGGCCCAGTGAGAGGAAAACCAGGCATGAATACTAATCCAACTTACGTGATCTCATGGATGAGTAGACAGGTAGCAATGGCCTGTGATGTCGGCCATCAAAACCCCAGTGCTGACAAGCCGCTAGGGGCACATGCGTAAGCAGACGCAAGTGCCTCTGACCACCCTACTCTGAACTGTCTTCTTAGATTATCTTCCAGTTCACACCTTCCCATCTGGACATCACGGAAGCATTCTGGACTTTCACAGTCCCTGAACACAACATCACAGTCCCTTTCCTACTGGTAGGCAAAGCCACCAACCCTCTCATCAGTCTGGACAAGTCACACATCAACTTCAGTTCTCTCCTCATTGGTAAGACTGCCTTTGGTTTATATTTGGATTTGGTGGGACCGGTGGAGCGGGGAGAGGACTGACCCCGAGGTGAGCCCCAGGAGCAGGCTCGATTGGTGGTACACAAGCATGTCAGAGGCCTCTGTTGCTTTCACAGAGCCATGATATATTTACCTCTCCATTTAATCTCCATCAAGCATCCCCTAAGCCCACCCACTAGTAACCTGCAGAAATGTAGAGCCCCTGCTCCAAATCCTCCTGTTTAGATTCCTGTAGGGCCTGGGTGATACGCATTTCCCAAGTCTCCTGTCAGCTCCCTCTGACTTGCATATGCCCCCACACTATGGGCTGTGTTTGTTTGCTTCCTGGTCTGTGCTGTGGCAGTCAGATTTCCCTGCCATTCTTCCTTGCATTTATTCAACAAACATTATTGAACCTCTCCTCTGACACTCTTCTGTGAGGTGGGAGGGCAGTGGGAAAAACGCAAGTCCCACCCTCATGATGGTTCCATCCGAGCAATTGGAAGCACCATCCAAAAAATAAACAAAATATGTCAGCTGTTGATGAGTGTGCTAGAGAAGAACAAGCCGGGTAAGGGGGAATGGAGCTAAGTCGACAGTGGGAAGGAGAACTCTGGGTAGAGATCTGAAGGCATTAAAGACGTGATTACCAGGTTCTGATAACCCTGTGAATCTATCACTTGGATGTGGGGTGTGTGTGTATTTGTGTAAAATACAACTAAATACAGAGTTTTTTTTTTTACTAACTCACTACATTTTTTTTAAGTAATATTCTTCATAAGTCCATCTATCTGGTTTTACATAAGGAAAAATATACTCGCGCTTCCCACCCATGCTATCTCATCCTTCCCTTTTCATCCAAGGAAACTAAGGTTAAGAGTTTAATGTGTGCTATTTTGCGTACATTTCTTATACTGATACACATAAGTAGGTGGGAAGAGATTATATTGTTTTGTAAGGGTTTGAACAAATAAATCAATGAGTAATGTAGCATAAGAATAATAACAAAAACAAACTGAATTTAATCTAGGAATGCAAGGTGGTGCATTTCAATGTAATCATTACATCAACAGATTAAGGAAGAATAACCATGTGATCCTAATAATATATACTAAAAAGTCTTTGCTAAAATTCAGCAGACAAAAAAAAATAAAATAAAATTCAGCAGACACTCTCAACAATAAAATAAAATAATGAAATAAAATTAAAAGGGGGAATAATAATAAAATAAAAAGGGGAAAACATAAAGATTAATCACACTCAAGAGGCAAATATCTTGTAATAAACCACTAAAGCCAATTCAGTTAAAATCAGACAAGGATGCTTATTACCACTATTACTATTGAACACATTCCTAGTAATTTCAGAAAATATAATGAAACAGGAAAATTAAATAATTGGCATAAACATTGAGGAAAGAGAGACAAAGCTATCTCATTTTGCTGTTGCTGATGACTTCATATTTGAAAACCTCAAGAAGCTCAAGGGAAAAGTGGAACTATTAGAATCAACAAGATAATTTAGTAAGTGATTGACTGCAAGATAAGTATGCAACAAATCAGTAGTTTCTCCTTCTTATAATGGTAAGTACTTAGAAACAGAAACAAAAAAATTATTCAATATTGACAAAACCTAATAATATTTAAGAATAAATGTTAGAAGAAAAGTGCAGGACCTAGATGAAGAGAACAGTAACATCTAATTAAAATGTTCCCAACCATGATCTGAACATTTATCAATTCTCCAAAAATTAAATGTAAATTTAATCAAGTTCCAATTAGACTCCAACTAGGGTTTCTAGATAAAATACAGGATACACAGTTACATTTGAATTTCAGGTAACAGCGAATAATTGTAATGTATATCAATATAATTATGTCTCACGCAATATTGGGGTCATACTTACATTAAAAGATTGCTAAATCTGGCAACCTTAATCTCTAAAAGATTGGAGGGGTGGAGAATTAGATAAAATGATTCTCAAGTTTGTACAGAAAAACAAATGTTCTACAACGACCCCAAAAGTAAGAAAAAGCAAAATAGCAATAGGAGATGTATTTGTTAAAAAACTCATGACATAGTGAAGGTCTAATTCAAAAGAGCTCACTGCAGGGGACATGGGGCCTGCCAGGGAGGATAAAGTCCCAGTAAGGAAACCAGGAAGGTTTTAGGTCTAAAGGTACAAGGAGAGAAAAGGGTGTCATCAGCACCCAGGGGAAAGTGTCACCAATACAGGAACCATCAAGCAGGAGCAGGCAATTGATGGGGTAATGTCTAGAAGGAAGAGGTAGAATCCCCCCCAGAGGAGGAAGGTCACTTGTAGAACAACAGGAAGAGAGGTAGTGAGAGGCCTCTGAGAGGAAAGAAGCTGGAGAAGGCTCCTCTCACCTGTGGAGCAGGATCTGCTGAGATGCTTGGGGAGCAGGCTTGAACCCCCCACTGAGGGCCCATGTTTCTCCCTCAGGCAGAGAAGCCAGGGAGACAGTGACGATCATCAACAAGGAGGAGCAGGCCTTCCATTTTGCCTTCCAGGACAACTCCCGGTTTTCTGAGGGTTTCAGCAACTGCCTGATTGTATGCCCCATGGAAGGTTTGATCCCACCACAGTCCAGGTAAAAGAAAAGGAGGTGCCCAGCACTGCACCCTCTCAATATGACAGGGACTCCAGGCCAGGAAAATCCATTTCCCTGAGAGCATTCCAACTCTAACATTTAGACGTTAGCTGTTCACCTCTGGCCAGCTTACTCCCTCGTGTTCACTTTCCTGACCAATTATGGAGCACTGAGATTTTTACATCCTCGTTCTTGATATTTTCTCTTACCTTAGTAATCTTTTTCTTGCCATCTTTATTTATAGATCCACAGGTGATGCTCAGTCTATCCTGGTAAATCTTAAAATTTCATCATCATTGCAGTTGCAATGCCTTTTTCTCCCAGTGCTTCTGCTCATCAGTTTTTAAAGCAGGTCTTAACAAGTTGCGCTAGTGAGCTAATCTGCTGCCTTCTTCCCCAATCAGATTCCCAGTTGACATCTTCTTCACACCAAAGCAAAACGGAGGTGTGAACTTTAATTTGATCTGTGATGTGAAAAGGAAAGCCAGTCCCTTGACCTTAAATGTTAAGGCTGAGGGCTACAGTATGAGTGCAGAAGTCAAGTGCAAGGACAGGACTGGTTCCATCACTGTCTTAACTCCCAACCAAACCAACATTGTCAACTTCTGTGAGGTAAAGACATGAGAGAGCCCTGTGTGTTCTCTCTCTCTTTCTCTCTCTCTCTCTTCATACTGACTAGGAAAGTGAATATTATCTGACTCTGTCCATTTCAAATGCCAGGGAAATCAGAACAGAAACATACCAAGAGCGTGTCCATCCCCAGAGTGTATATATAGTTTTGACATGAAAATTGTTCCCATTTTATTTTTCTGGGTTAGGGGTGGTGGTGGTGGTGGAGAAATGGTAAGGAAGGAAAAGTGGGGAAAGAATTCTTAAAGAATATTAAATATAGAGGAAGGCTATTTGGCTATCAAGGGAGATGTAATAATTAACTCACCATCTCACTCTTCAGATACAGGAGGCCCCCAACTCTTAGTAGCTCTTGCTGGAATGTGTGACCACATTAGGCTAATGATCCTCAACCACTAACACCATCTGCCATCCCTATTTCCCAGAGTATCTTGTGCTCCAACATGTTCCATAACCTGATCCCAGAGAAGGAGCCATGGTTTGCATTTACACTAGTTACTACTTTGTTCTTGGTCTCTCAGGTGGTCTTGAATGAACCTGTCCAGTGTGAATTCCGTTTTGTCAATACTGGAAAGTTCAGCTTTAGCTTCCAGGCAGAGCTACTTGGCACTAAAGCTCTACTGCAGTACTTTGAATTTTCACCCATGGATGGCAGCGTGGATGTGGGACAGAGTGTCCAGGCCTCACTGTCTTTCCAGCCACTGAAGAAGTGTGTCTTGAAGGGCTTGGAACTCAGAATCAAGGTGAGATCATTCATTGCCCGACACTGCATGCACTCATAGCATTCTGTCTTGAGAGATTAATTCTCCTTTGTGCTCCTTGTCTTCTGTATCTTGTCAGAAGTTCCTGGAGAGTGGTTGTGTTGGAGGTAGTTCCACAACCTCCAGTATAAAGGTTTCATCTGTAGTTGAGTGTCTGGTGTATAAGTGCCAACATGAAAAGTTTCTGAGGCTGTGTGTACCTCAGGGCTGTGCATTTGCTCAGGAAAGACCTGAGAGAATCTAAAGTGAAAAGCATCCCTGAAGTGGATTGTCTTGCAGCGATTTAAATAAGTAAGGGAAATGGGTGGGAGTTGGGGGCGGAGAGAGAATATGAATGAGAATGAGAATGAATATATAACATTTTCCAAGATAAATTTTCATTGAATGAAAAACCAAGGAATTGTGGGGCCTCCCTGGTGGCACAAGGGGTTAAGCACCACACTATGAAGCTGTCCGCAGCCTCCGCAGCACAAGTTCCGTTCCCAGTAGGCCAGTGAGCTACCCACATGGCGCGGCAGACCTCTCCTGTCACGCCCGCTGCTCCCCTCAGCAGTGTATTTCAGTCAGTCTGCCTGTTCTGTTCCCCACTCTGTCTGTGGTGAATCCTCTCACCCCTTCCTCCCTCCCACCCCGCACCTCTGGCCTGTACCTCAGTTCTTATATGCATAAATAAGTAAATCTTAAAAAAGAAGAAAAAACAAGGAATTGTGACATCAGCAGGAATGATAGAGGGCCTTCCGTAGTGGATGAGAACACTGCCAAAAAGTGCCAAAATCAACTTTTTCAGAACTCTAAAAATTAACCAAAGGCTTTCAACAATTATGGTGTATTTGTTTAAGAAAAATAACTGAATATTCCTAAGAACAGTGAGTTTTGTGGTATTTTAATTTGCATTTTTCCCACCATGTTCTCCAAAGACCTGCAGCAGCCTTGATAAACCAGTAATTCTATGATCAAAGTAAAAACCATCAGCCTAGCAGCCAGAAAACCCATTCTAAAAGAATTGTCATTATTTTCCATGTCTAAAAGTTGCCTGGGAACCCTCACTAACAGAGTTTGCCTTTTTTGACTTGACTCAGAGCTCCCTCGATGTAAATACCCTCTTCCTGTGGGGTATTTGTCAAAAACAATAAATGGCCCTTGTTTAACATTGCAGCGGCCTTGTGTGGCTATGATAGTTGGGACAAAGAAGAAGTTAACCAGAAAACTTACAAGTGAAAGAATGAGCTATTCATAGGGACTTTGAAAAGCTCTAATATGTTCCTGAAAATCTATACAGGCATTCACATGTATGGTTGTGTGTACCTCAGGGCTGTGCACTTGCTCAGAAGGATCTAAGCAGACCCCAAGCGCTCCCCACTGACTAACCTTAAGCTCTGTATAGGAAAAAAATGAGAGATGAAGCAGAGTTGGCAATTACCTGGCTGAGAGTTTAAGGAATGCCCTAAAACAAATGCAGAGCCCTTCAGCAAAAGTTGTTGGCTCCAGCAATTTAAGAAAATTTCTGTCTGTTCATCTGCTGATAACTAAGCTAACTTAACAGAGACTTTGGTAGCAACACATAAAAAGAATATAAGGTCTACAGAAAAAGTTACTAAACAAACATAGAGTAACACTACCACCAAACTTTAGCCATATTATATTATTTAAAATCTCCAGTTTTCAACATACAGTTATGAGGCGTAGAAAGAAACAAAAAAGTTGACTCACACTCAAGGGAGGTAAACAGTTAATATAGAGATGGTCCCCAAGAAAGCCCATATGTCATACATATTAGACAAAGACGAGCTCAAGTATTTAAAATAGATATTCAGAGAACTTTAAGAAAACTTGTAGCTAAACGAGGTAGGAAAGAGTGAAGAAACATGAACAGCACCTTGGAGTTTGTGGGATACCATAGAACATACCATTATACCATGATGTGATTCCCCCTTGACAAGAAGAGGAAGGAACAGAAAGAATATTTGAAGGAATGATAGTCAACATTTTCCCAAAGTTGGTGAAAAACTATTAAAATTTCTTTAAAACTCAATGAACTCCAAGAGACCCACATCTAAACACAATATAAACTCTTGCAAAATACAGAGCGTCTTGAAAGCAGCAGGATTAACAGCTGACTTCTAAGAAACCTCAGAGTGTGACATTTAAGGTGCGGAAAGAAAAGGGCCATCAACAAAGAATTTTATATTCAGCAAAACTGCCCTTCAAAAGTGAAGAAAAGCCGGAACATTCCCAGATGAATGAAAACAAAATTCATCACTAGCAAATTGCCCTATAAGAAACAATGGAGTTCCTCAGACTGAAGAAATGAGGAGACCAGTAACTGCGTAGGTTTCGTAAAAGACAGCACGAGTTATTTTTGTTTGTAACTTTTTTCTGTCTGATATAAAAGACAACTGCATAAAACAATAACTATGAATGGGTGTTGATGGACATTAAAGATGAAATTTGCATAACTATAATATAAAGGAAGTAGAAATGAATAGCACTACACAGAAGCAAAGTTTTATTATATATTATTGAAATGATTCACCAAACTACATTATTATAAATTAAGATAGTAATTGTAATCCTCAGGCAGTCACTAAAAAAGAAGTCAAAAAGGAGCCCATCCCCTTCGAGAATTGTCTTTTTCAGAAATTTTCATTACAAAAAGAAAAAGAAGCAAAAGGAAACATCAACTTTAGGTTGATAAATCCTTTTCAGGAAGTCAGCTACAAAGTGCAAAGACTTTCACAACCTTAAATAAGAAAATGTTTTTAAATTTATAGTTACTTATGAAAGCTTGTAACTGTTTTAATGTGCATTCTAAGAATAAATATTGGATATTTTGTTTTAAAGGAATTAATCAACTTACAAAGTTCCCTGTTTGGTTTTTGTTTTTTTTTTTTTTTACGATTTATTTATTTATTTATTTATTTATTTATTTATTTATTTATTTATACAAGCACTGGGTACAGTCAGAAGCACGGGAGGATGAGAGAATTCACCAGAGCCAGAGTGGGGAGCAAAACAGGCAGACTGACGAAATACACTGCTGAGGGGAGCAGGGGGCACGGCAGGAGAGGTCTGTGTGCCCTCGCTGGCGGCTGGGGATTGAACCAGCACTCCAGAGGCTGCAGGCAGCTTCACAGCCCAGTGCTCAACTGCTGCGCCACCGGGGAGGCCCACAAATTTCCCTGTTTTAAAAAGTTTTTGTAGAGTAACTTAAGATCATGTTCCAATGAGTATCTGTACCATGTTGTGGTTGAGTCCAGGTCTTGACCCACATTCTTTTCTTTCCACTCTTTCTTCCTTGCCACATTAGCCTTTGTTCTAATTTTTGTCATCTGGTCACAAGATGTTCATCCCACCTGCAACTCTGTGTGCATTCCAGAGTGGAAATTAGCGGGAAGAACCTGAAGGCAAAACCTTTCCCAGCAAGACCTTGCCTCTTTATTTGAGATAGGGCATGCTCTTGTGTCTGTTTACATCCTAATGATCAAAACCATGTCTGAGGTCACCCTTACCTGCAAAGAAGGATGGGAAATCAAGTGTTTCACCTAAGCATGTTGGCAACCAATCAGATTGGTTTTTTCCTACTGATAAGGAAGCTTGGGAAGAGGATGCTGGGTAGAGGTAACAGTCTCTGCTACCGCCCTCCTCCTTCAAGCCACATCATTGCTGCAGGAGCAAAGCAAGGTCACAGTAGGGTCTGATTCCTGAGTAGCCCATTGTGCTTTTCTCAAATAGACAAACATCTAACCTGTGAACCAGAATCTCAGTAGATGGATGCCTGGGATCTATAATTTTTTTAAGCATGTGGCTGCATCCCTCCCTCATCTGAGAGCTTCGTGGCCCTTTCCTCTGATTTCTAATCATGCTCCACCTGCCATTCCCTCCCCCCAGATCAGCAGCGGTCCAGTCTTCACATGCAGCATCACAGGCTGTGCCGTGAGCCCTGCCATCCATTTCTCCTTTACCAGCTACAACTTTGGGCCCTGCTTCATCTACCAGGCCGGGATGCCTCCATACAAACAAACCCTGGTCATCACCAACAAGGAAGAAACATCCATGAGGTAAGCAGTCTTCCCAGAGCCTCCAGCTGATTTTGTAGCACCTTGGGGTTCTGCAGCCTCCACATAGGTAAAGTCTTGCCAAGACAGAAAAAGGATTATGGGAAGTAGTCAGACAGAGGTGGGTATGAACTCTGAGTCACTCTTCTTCACCACTAATGCTGAACTGGGATAGCCATGAACTACTCGGCTTAAAGTGCGAAGACCAAGGCCAGATGACATAAGATGTTTGGTGGCTTATTTCTCCCCACGTGATGGGGGAACTCGATGTGAAAACTAGAGTTTGGAGACTTAAAAAGTGAAGTTCTCAGGGCAAGGCCTTGCAATAAATGGTAGGTCCAGGCTGAGCCTACACCTTCTGATTCAAATCCAGCCTCTTCAGATCATCACTGTATAGAATGTTCTAGTCCAGGATTCTGGGCTGTATTCCTAAAGAAACAGGAACTGAACCTCCAAGGACTGTCCCAGGGACCTGTGTCCACTCAAAGATCTCAAGGTCAGTACTACGCAATAGGCCTGGTGATGGAAATGTTATATATCTGGACTGTCCAGTATGAGGGTGTAGACAGCTTACGTGTTGCTTTTGCAGCTGAGGCACTGGGTTCTTTATTTTGTTTTATTTCATAGCTGTTTGTCCAGTGGCTACCATGTTAGCATTAGCACAGATGTAGGTTTGAATCCCAGCTTTTTTCTCACTAAGTGACCTTGGGCAATTTTTTTAAACTCTCTGTTCCTCAGTCTCCCTGTCTCCAATAAGGGATAGAAATAGTAACTCTCCTATAGGGCTATTAGGTGGGTGAAATTAGTTCATCTAGAGAGAGGACCAAGAACAGTTACTGGAACTTAGTAACAGTAATCGGCGTGATTACTGTTACTGCTAATACTGCTGCTGACACTGCTGTTGTCATGGTGATGATGATTCTGGTCGTGGTGGTGGTGGTGATGGTGTTCTTGATTGTTAAATGACAAGAATATCATGTAATTAAATACTGCTTTAAGATCTTACCTGCTTACATTCTTTCTTGCATGATTTAATTTAATCTGAATCTTACTTTGTTTGAAGCATTGACTCCATTTATTGGCTTGACTGGACCCTTCTAATTAATGACCTGTGCGGCAGACAAGGAGAGGTTGTTCTGGAGAGTTCTAGGTGCCTTCTTGTCACAGGATCCTTTTTCTAGTTGAGCAATGAAGGGGGGTGTGGAGAAGAAAAAAGAAAAGGGAGAAGAAAAGGAAAAGGAGCTCCCTTTATGGAATGTTTCCTCTGTGACCTACTTTGCAGCTGCTATAGTCATCATGTCATTTAATCCTTACAACAGCCTGACGAGGTAGCTGTCACTACTGCTGTTTTACAGATAGGGAAACAGAGACACATGGCTGCGTAGTAATACAGCCTGGATCCAAACTCCTCTCTGGCTCCAGCACACACATGCCTCTCCCCAGTGCTTTGCCACCCAGCTACTTCAGGAAGCCCTTCTCTCACTGGCAACCACCAAACCTGCGTGGCACTACCAAGTGAGAAGGGATAATTAGAGTGGGAAGTGCTGGGCAAAGGTTCACAGGTTCACTGTGAACCTGTGCTTTGGCTGCCTGGCTCTGCCAGCACTGCAGGGAGTGCCCTGGAGAGTGTGGGACAGCTCGTCCCTGAAGTCCCATCCAGGCCTTAAATTCTGTGACCCGAGGACAGCAGGGCAGGAAATCTAAGGAGACAGAGTTCATTTCTCTGGGTCGGCCTGCTCAGTGCTGACACACCTTCCTCCCGGTTCTTTCCAGCATAGAGTGTTTGTACTCCAGTACACCCTACCTCGAGTTGAACTTCCGTGTTGATGTGATAAAGCCAGGAAAGACTCTGGAGATTCCAATCACCTTTTATCCTCGAGAAAGCATCAATTACCAAGAACTCATCCCCTTTGAAATCAATGGGCTCTCACAGCAAATAGTTGAAATCAAAGGAAGAGGCACTGAAATGAAGGTGAGAGACAGTTGGGAGATTCTTGGGTTTGGTACCCTCTTCTTGCACTTCCCACCCTTTTTCCCTGCCTGGGCCCTCGCCTTCCCTCCTACCTCATATCCTCTGCCTCCAAGCTGTCCTCTCAGAGGTCAGCCAGTTTATGGAGGGGCTAATTGTCAAACTCCAGGGGCTCATAGACCCTACCCAGTACCAAACATCTCTGTGCCGGTGGATGCTAGTAATCAGGATACGAAGCCCTGGAGATACATTCTTTGTCTTGATGCTTAAGACTATCAAATGAACATCCCAAGCATGTCGTTTTTCTCCCACATTAGGGCATGGGTTTCTTTTAAACATGTTTTTTTTTTTCTTTTTAATTATTTTTTTATTATTCTTAATTTTTTTACATCATTGTTCATTTTTAAACAATATTTGCTTACCCCCACCCCCTCAGTTGTAGTCCCCATAAAGTTTCCTTCACCAATGCACCCGTGCACCATCACCTCAGTCCCCTGGGCTCCTCCCTCCCTCCCTCTGATCCCTCGTCCTCCTCCTCCCCTGCAGGATGTCTCTGGTTTACAATTGTTTTTGCTATGTTGTGTCTTGTACAGTTATTATTTTTTTACATTGATGTCTTATTTGGTTCCCCTATATTCCTGCTATAAGTGAGACCATCCGATATTTTTCTTTTTCCTTCTGACTTATTTCTCTGAGCATAATTCCTTCTAGCTCCATCTACATTGCTGCGAATGGCATGAGTTTATCTTTTTGGTCCTGCATCTATTTTTGGGCATTTGGGTTGTTTCCAGGTTTTACCTATTGTAAATAGTGCTGCAATAAACATAAGGGAAGGTGGTCTTTTGAATCAATGTGTTTGTGTTTTTTGGGTAGATCTCTAGGAGTGGAATTGCCAAGTCATATGGTAGCCTCCATTTTTGTAGACTGAGGAACCTCCAGACAGCTTTCCATAGTGGTTGGACCAGTTTGCCCTCCCTCCAGTAATGTAGGAGAGTTCCTTTTTCACCACATCCTCACCAACATTTGTTGTTGCTTGTTTTTCTGATATGTACTATCCTTACTGGTGTAAGGTGGTATCTCAATGTGGTTTTGATTTGCATTTCACTGATTATAAGGGATCTTGAACATTTTTTCATATGCCTGTTGGCCATTTGCATTTCCTCTTGGGAGAAATGTCTTTTAAGTTCTTCTGACCATTTCTTGACTGGGTTGTTTATTTTGTTTTTGTTGAGTCCTGTGAGTTCTTTGTATGTCTTTGTGATCAGTCCCTTATCAGTTGAATGGAGTGCAAAGATTTTTTTCCCAATCAGTGGGGTGTCCCTCTGTTTCAGTTAATGTCTCTTTTGCTGTACAGAAGCTTTTCGGTTTGATATAAGCCCAGGAGTTTATCTTTTCCTTGACTATCTTTGCTTTGAGTGATGAGTCTTTAAAGATGTTATTGTGATGTATGTCTTGTATTATTTTACTTATATTTTCTTCTATTTATTTTATGATTTCAGGTCTTATGCCCATTTCTCATCCATTTTGAGTTGATTTTTGAGAGGTAGTGGTCTAGTTTCATTTTTTTGCACGTGATGGACCAGTTTTCCCAACACCATTTATTTAACAAACTGTTCATGTTCCATTGTATGTTCTTTGCTCCTTTGTCAAAGATCAGTTGTCCATATAAGTGTGGTTTTATTTCTGGGCTCTCTATTTGGTTCTACTGGTCTGTGTGATTTTTTGTTCCAATACCAAACTGTTTTAATTATTATGGCTTTGTAGTATAGCTTGAGGTTTGGAAGTGTGATACCTCCTTTCTCCTTTGTTTTCATCAGTAGGGCTTTGGCTATTCATGTTTTTTTGTGGTTCCATATGAATTTCATCAATATTTGTTCTATTTCTTTGAAGAATGTCATTGAGATTTTTATTGGAACAGCATTGAATCTGTGTATTGCTTTTGGGAGGATGGACATTTTAATAATGTTAATTCTTCCAATCCATGAGCAGTAGATGTCTTTCCATGTCTTTGTGTCTTCTTCTATTTCTTTCAACAGTGTTTTATAATTTTCTTTGTATAGGTCTCTCACCTCTTTTGTTAGGTTTATTCCCAAGTATTTGATTTGATTTTTTTGTTTTAATTATAAAATGGATGGTTTTCTTGATTTCTTCTTCTTCAGATTGATTGCTTGTGATAGGAAGGCTACTGATATTTGTGTGCTGATTTTGTATCCTGCTACTTTACTGAACTGGTTGATTATTTCGAGTAGTTTTTCTGTGGAGTTTTTAGGGTTCTCTATGTATATTATCTTATTGTCTGCGAAAAGTGATAGTTTTACTTCTCCTTTCCCTATTTGGATTCCTTGTATGTCTTTCTCTTGTCTTATTGCCCTGGCTATGACCTCCAATATTATATTAAAGAGCAGTGGTGAGAAAGGACATCCTTGTCTTGTTTCTGATCTTAAAGGAAAGGGCTTCAGCTTTTCGCCATTGAAAATAATATTGGCGGTGAGTTTGTCGTATATGGCTTTTATCATGTTAAGGTATGTTCCTTTGATCCCGAGAATTTCAAGGGCCTTCATCATAAATGGATGTTGGACTTTGTCGAATGCTTTCTCAGCATCTATTGATATGATCATATGGTTTTTATTTTTCTTTGTGTTGATGTGTTGGATTACACTGATCTAAACATGTTTGTTTTTTAATAAAATTTGTTTTAAGCAATGTATGCAGGTATCCTTTACAGTTAGGGGACATCTTTCCTTAACAGCACCTTGATTAAGAGCCTGTCACAGGCCCCAGTAATGTGTTTGATTTAGGGGACCCCTTCCAGCCAGGTGCTCCTCATGAAAGGAAATGGCCCAGTCCTGTGTTAGTGCCTGTCCCAGCACCTAATAAATGTACACTGCTGAGAGCATTTGCATTTTAATAGGAAGGTCAAGACCTTTCAAAAGTCTCGGGAATGCATGGGATGTGGCAGCATCCCACTGGACATGGGAAGGGCGGGTGCCTGGCAGCCTTCTTCAAGCTAGATGAGCAACAAGACATTGCCATCTTGTGTGTCTGCACCCAAGCCAGAGCCAGGGGCTCTGATTCCTTCATTGCTCGTTCTTGTATTCCCTCATTCAGCACCCAATGTGTGTTGGGTAATTTGGAAAAATCCAGAGGTGACTTAAATGTCTTCTCTGAACTCCAGGAATGTACAGGCTAGTGCCAGAGACTCTCTTTTAGAAAACTTGGAAACAACTGAGCTGGGAGTAAAGATAGTTGGGGGATTCGTAGTTTGGTGACTAATCAAATGACAGGGACCAGTGGGTGCTGCTCTTTGTGGGTCATTGTTTAACTCAGCCCCTTCCAGTGTATCCTCAAGGTGCCCTGAGCTTTCCCTTCACATCTCCCAATCTAGTTGTAATTATGTAGCTGTGTGATGAGTTATTCATTGGGCATTTTGTGTGAATAAGGTTTTTATTGAGTAAGTGAATGCCTGTCCGATGTGAAGAAAGCAGGACACACTTGCACACCCTGGACAGACACAGCATTCACTGAGGGACCCTCCCTCACTCCCCTCTCCCCGTTCTCTTTTTTTATCCCACAGCTTACCATCACAGACCCAGCCAACAGGATTGTGAAGTTAGGAGCTCTCCTGCCAGGACAGGTTGTGAAAAAAACAGTTTGCATCGTGAACAACAGCCAGGCCCCGCTCACATTTATCCAGTCAGTCATGTTCTCGACTCCAGAACTCCAAGAACCCAAGGTTGGTACTGGGGTTCCAATGGCTCTTCCTGCTTCCCGGTGTCACAGGTGTCCAAGTTAGCCACACTGACAGCACACAGTTCTCAGGCACCAGCAATGTGCCAGCTCAATCAGAGCTTCCATGTGCCACCCAACAGCGTAGGGTTAGTGCGTTTATTCTTCTCATTCTACGTATAAGGAAATCAAGGCTTAGTGAGGCCACATTCCTCCAAAGAACAGCAGCATGAAATAGAAAACTAGATTTGAGGGGATTCAGAAGATCTGGATTTCAAAGAATATAGCTAGAAAACCGTAAAGGAAAACATTTTGTCCATAAGCTCATACCTAGAAATAATCATTTAATATTTTGGTGCCTTTTTTTTTCAGTGTTTCTCCCATGCATTTTTCTATAAAAATAAAATTATAATGTTCATATTGCTTTCAGTCCTCCGTTACCGGCTAGTAATATATCCTAAACATTTTCCATGTCATTTGTTTATTTATGCCTCCCTGACATAGTTGGGCCAGTCCTCTATTTCTACTCCTTTCAGGTATTTCTAACTTTTTGATTATAAACAACAATGTAATATCCATGTAACCAAACTTTTAAATACATCCATGATTTTCTAATTAAGACAAATTCCCAGAAGTGGACTTGTTGAGCCAAAAGAAAAAGTTTTTTTCCATGCACATCGCCAGTCTGCCTCTGAGAGACTTTCCCCTGGTACACTTGTGTCAGCGGTGTAGGGGTAGATGCTGGTTGCTGAACCCACATCCTGAGTTCCCTGAATAGAGAAGCTACCTGTCCCGACTGCCTGCTCCCCAGCTTACAGTCACCAGTGTTCAGACTGACCTTTGGGAGGACCAGAGGCAGTTCATTCTGAGGGCCATCCCGTTATTCAGTTGGCTCTTAAATTTACTCAGGGAATATGTTGTAGGTACTGGAAGTATTAGGGTATGTCTTAGTCGTTTGGGCTGACTTCAGCAACACATACTGACTTTCTGACATTCTGAAAGCAGAGGGTTCATAAGCAGAGAGCAACATGGTCAGTTTCCAGTTTCTGATTTCCAGTTTCTGGTGTGAACACTCCTAGTGGCTTGCAGACAGCAGCCTTCCCGCTGCATCCCCACATAACGGAGAGAGGAGATTGAGTTCTCGCAAGTATATTCTTATAGGGACACTAACTCCATGATGAGGGAACTGCTCTCGTGACCTAGTTACTTACCATGAACCTAAATGCTTTCCAAAGCCCCCATCTCCAAATCACACACACACATGACTTTGGGGAAAACACAATTCAGCCCACAGCCAGGTCAATATGACCTAGACTTTGATCTGCTGGGAGTTCACAGGACACATGGACCGCACAGAAACCAGCAGGGACAGGGTGTGGATTGGGGCTGCTCCCAGAGACGGGGCCTCAGAAGGGCTCACGGTGGAGAGAGGTCTGTACTGAAATTGAAGAGATGAAGAGGCAGCTTCCGGGAGCCTGAGGGAGTGGGGTGTTTCTGGTGGGCTGAGGTTTAGGAGCTTGAAAGGGGCTGTGCTTTTAGAAACCTAGATGTGATTCAGTGTTACAGGAGTGCTGCAGGCCATCTGGGGATTTCAGGATTCAGAAAGCCTGGCTGTGAGAGGTCGGCCAAAGCAAAAGACCCAGTGCGCATTCTGCCCCAAGGACCGCCCCCCCCTCCCCCCCCGTGCCAGCCACACTCAGGCACCCACAGTGACCTGTGGGTTGACTTCCAATGTCAGTATGTTGACATATCTCTATGATCACTTTCCTGTTGCTGCTTCCCAGCCCATTGTCTCACTCCCTGCTGCCACGGGTCACTTGCTGGTGGCTGCTCAGAACTCTGTACCAAAAGGAACTTACAGATGGAAAGGGCTCAGGCTTCTGTAAAGCTGCTTTTGACTTGATTGTTACCATGACACAGGGAAGAGAAGACCCATATGAATCCAAACTGTAGAAGACATGGGTCACTCGGGGCCCAGTCAGTGGGCCTAGGGCAGGGCAGAGGACAAGACCCAGGAATCTGATTTTAATCTGCACACTGAGAAGTGTGACTCAGGAAGTTCTGGGAGCACTGAAGTTGTTTGCAAGGAGTTGCAAAAAGAATTAACATTTACTGAACACCTACTGTGTGCCACACATTTTATATAGGCAGTCTAAATCTCCTCCACAGAGTACATCTCAGAAAGTTTAAATAACTTACCAACCATGACCCAACAGGTAAGAGAGAGAAGAAGTGAGGTTTGCCCCCTAGAATATAACAGCCCGCTCCCCCTTCCCCGCAGCAGCCAGACCTCCAGGAATGGTGGCCTCAGAGGCTCCCACTGCCCTGTGCTCAGCTGCTGAGTCTCACTGTCATCTCGTCCAGGTTATCACCTTGTTACCCTTCCACAACATCACGCTGAAGCCCAAACAAGTCCATAAGCTGGAAGTCATCTTTGCCCCGAAGAAGCGTGTCCCTCCCTTCACCGAGGAGGTGTTCATGGAGTGCATGGGACTCTTGCGCCCCCTGTACCTTCTCAGTGGCTGCTGCCAGGCCCTGGAGATCTCCCTGGACCAGGAGCACATTCCCTTTGGACCAGTCGTGTACCAGACACAAGCCACACGCCGCATCGTCATGTTGAACACAGGAGACCTGGGTGCAAGGTAGGGGGACAGTGCCCCCACCCCAAGGCTGGAGCAGACCAGAGTTCTGTCCCTGCACTGACCCTGGATTTGGACTAGTCACTTGTTTCACAAGGGTGGCCGCTTCTTTATTTCTTTTCCATCCTCTGCCCTCTAGATGGAGCAGCGTTGGCCTCATGGGGCTGATCGCTGCTGCCTTTAGTAAAATTAGTATGATAGAGGACATTTTCTCAGTGCCTGTTACACAGGCATGCCTCATTGCCCTTAACCCCAGCAACAGTTCTATGAGACCAGTGTTTGGCGCACCCATTTTACAGATGAGAAAACTAAGATATAAAGAGATTAAATAACTTTTCCAAATGCACGCAGGTGCAATGACAAGCATTCTTATATATAATATCCCACTAAATTATCCCATGACCCTCTTAGGTAGGTACTGTGTTGTCCTCATTTCACAGAGGAAGCTGGGGCTCAGAGTAGTTGGGTGACTTGCCCAAGGTCACACAGCCAGGAAGTGAGAAAGATAGGTTTGGGAGCCAGGTATACCTATGGCAGCTCTCTTTTCAAGACTCTCCCACTTGCTAGCAGGTACCCAGCCCACAGGCACTGGGTGTGTGCCACCATAACGATGCAGGCTGCATGCCTGCAGGGGGCACCCATCACACAGAACCCAGTGTGAACAGGACCCTAAGGTGCAACGTGCCACCTGGCATTGGAAGAACTGGTCTGTACCATCTACCCTCTGTCTCCTACCTGGATCTAGTGCCAGACAAGAGGAATGACCACACAGGGCCATCAGACGCCAGTGCCACCAAGAGCAGCTACGGCTCTCACATGAAGTGATACTCTCCACCCTCCTGGGTCTGAACCTCCTGGGTCAGTGCAGAGCATGGCTAAGGCCATGGTCTCGGGAGAGTGCCGGTCCTAGCACGGCCACCCCCTAACCCTGCAACCTTGGGCACACCTGTGTAAGAACATTTGTACGTATCGTTCCCTGATGCGGCATCTCTTCTGGGCAATAAGATGCATCCACTTCCCTCCCTGCTCAGCTTGTAGAGAGAGCTGAGTCAATCTACCCAGGAGTGACCTTGGCCCTTGCCCCACCCTGTCTCTGCTTTGCCCCCTGAATTTTCTTCCTTCCCAGTCCCATGAGTATACAAGGGACTGAGGCTCCCAACTGAAACCCCAGGCAGTCTTTTGTTCTCAGTAGCAGTGAGGACACAGACACACCTGGATGTTAATAAACTCTCTTCTTTTGTCTTGGCAAAGGTTTAAATGGGATGTCAGAAAATTTCAGCCTCATTTCTCCATCAGCCCAGAAGAAGGCTATATCACCTCAGGCATGGAGGTTTCTTTCGAAGTGACCTACCATCCCACCAAGGTGGGCAAGGAGAGTTTTTATAAAAACTTGCTGTGCTTCATCCAGGGAGGCAATCCTCTAAGCTTAACCCTGTCTGGAGTCTGCGTGGGACCCCCTGCAGTGAAAGAGGTCAGTAGGTGCTGCCCAGGGATGGGCCAGTGGGCCCAGCAACCCCCAAGTGAACTTAACCAAGCCTTCTGGTTAGAAACAAGTGACTGGTCAAGCAGTCCTCAGTGCCCACATCAAACTTTCAAACCTACCCTTCCTGCCACAGGGCCTTTGCACGTGCTATAGCCACTGCTGGAATACTCATTTCCCTCTGTTGGTTCAGTTATTTCCTATCCATTCTTCAGCTCTCAGCTCAGGCATTACATTCTCAAGGAAGCTTGCATTCACATCTTTGGCTAGATCAAATTCTGTTATAAGCTTTGTGAGTAAAGTTAAACAAAAAATACTTGGGTTAATCCTCTGCTAGTCCTGTTCCTAGAAGCGCAAAGTGGACTTTCCTGGCAACATTGCTTATGGTAAAAATAACACCTGATCTCTGTCCATGTCTTCGAGTTAGTAATAGGTAGAATGTTACATAAATGAATCATATAATATTCTATAACAAGTATGTTCAAGTCCTGGCAAGAACATACATTTTCATTTTCTTGAGAAATGCCTAGGAGTGGAATGGCTGGGTGATAGGATATACGTATGTTCCCCTCTTTACAAACCTACCAAACTGTTTTCCATAGTGGTTGTGTCATTTTACAGTCCCACCAGGGATGTTTGACATTTACACTTGTCCCACATCCATGTCGGCACTAATTTGGTCAGTTCTTCATTTTAGCCATTCTAATAGTTTTTTTTTTAATTTTTATTTCCCTATTGACTAATGATGTTGAGCATCTTTTCAGACACTTATTGGCCATCCATAGATCTTATTTGTTGAAGTGTCTATTTAAATCTTCTATTAACTGGGTTATTTTCTTATTATTGAGGTTTGAGAACTCTGTATACTCATGACAAAAGTTTTACATATAGCTCTTCCATATTTTTAGAGTTATTTTTCTATGTACAAAATATCAACCAAAATTCTTTTTTTTTTTTTTTTGCATATAGATATCCAATTGTTATAGCACCACTTGTTAAAAAGATATCTTTTCTCCTCTGTACTGCCAAAACCAGTCAATAGATATGTATGGGTATATTGCTGAACTCTGTTCTCATTCATTAATCTATTTAACTCTCTTTATGCTGATAGTACTACACTGTTTTAGTTGCTAAATTCAATGGCCAGTTCTCACCCCTCAACTTTCTTGACTTCCCAATAGCATTTGACACCTTGAACTAGTCTCTTTTCCTTCAAATATATCCTTTACATGGCTTCCAGAATACCAGTCTCTCCTGGTTTTCCTCTTACCATGTTTTCTCCTTCTCCTCAGCACATCTCCTGATTCTTAGCATTAGTGCATTCCAGCCAGGAATTAGTCCTTAAATGCCTTCTTTTGGGTAAATATTCTTAGTGATCTAATCCAATTTCTTGGCTTTAAAAAGACATTTCTCTACTGATAACTGCATAACATATATCTCTAGCCTCAACCTTTTACTTGAACTCCAGATTTGTGAGTTCTACTGTCTGATTGAGTTGTCATTTTCTTCCAGGTGGTAAATTTCAATTGTCAGGTGCGCTCCAAGCACACACAGACCATCATGCTTTCAAACCGTACCAACCAAACCTGGAATCTGCACCCCATTTTTGAGGGGGAGCACTGGGAGGGGCCGGAGTTTATCACCCTGGAGCCCCACCAGCAAAACAAGCCTTATGAGATAACCTATAAACCCCGCACCATGAACGTGGAGAACCGCAAGCATCAGGTAGGCCGAGGCTTCCTCTGCCCCCGTGGCTTACCTGCTTGGTTGGAGGAAGGATTTGAACAAGAAAAGCTAAGAGTCAGTTTGGGAGCCCAGAGGATTGACAAGAGGGGACCCCACAACTCATGCTGGAATAGTGGGGAACTGTAAAGATTACTAAGTCCAGAACTTCCCTTTGGTCCATATGTTTTCATGGGTGGGGGATACTCCTGGAACCAGGGGCTCAGTCTTGAACTAAGCAGCAAGCAATTAACATTTGGCTTAATTCGAAAATAACATCTTAGTGACTGAATAGAAATTTTAAAATAATAGACCACAATATTCCACCCTACAAATGCTATCTTTACTACCAATCCTTGTTCAGAAACAACCACAGCTGCCATCATAGCATACCCAATTTTGCATTTTATTTTCACTTTGCATTATATTTGAGCATTTTTCTATTTAACTCTGTAGTCTTTGTGATACTTATTTTTAATGATTGCCTAATAGTTTGTTGCATGAGAATTTAACATTCCCCAGTTGTTGAATATTTAAGTTACCTCCAGATTTCATTCATATAATAAATACTTGCTATATATACAATATATGTATGTATACACACATATACACACAGACACACACATATGCATGCATGTCTGTCTGTATATAACTTTTTCCTCTAGAACAATTTGGGGTGGGATTCCTGGTTCAAATACGTACGATGATTTTTATGACTCTTGAAACATTTCCAAGCTGCTTTCCAAAAGTGTTATGATTATTTGCACAGACTCCATAGTCCTGTGTCACCTCCTTGCCTGAGAGGTATCTAACAAAGGACCCCTTCTGTTGCTCTGACCACATTTCTTCCTCCCCACAGGGCACCCTCTTCTTCCCCCTCCCAGATGGCACCGGCTGGCTGTATATGCTGCATGGCACTGCTGAGTCCCCCAAAGCTGTAGGCAATATCTACCGTGAAGTGCCATGCAAGACGCCCTACACCGAGCTCCTACCAATCAGTAACTGGCTGAACAAGCCCCAGAGGTGAGGAAGTGCAGCAGGGCATAGGGGTGAGGTGGAAGGAACACTGCCACTGTCTAGCCTGGCCATTTCCTTTGCCAGTGCCTCTGCAGGAAAAAGAGAGACGACCTTGACGGCCAGACCTTGACGGACGTCTCAGGCGTCAAAGAGCTCCTCCTGTTCAGCACTATCTATAAATGGCAGGGTTCTTATAAATCTCATAGAACAGTGCCTGGCACATAATAAGTGCTCAGTAATTGTTAGTTGTTACAACAGTTTTCTCTCATCCACTTGGGGTACATTCTTACACCCCAAATGGATGCCTGATGCTGGGGGTAGTAGCCAACCCTATACATTGTGTATTTTCCTATATGTATGTATACATGATCAAGTTTAATGTATAAATAAGGCAAGTAAGAGATTAAAGCAATCAGCAATAACACAATAGGACAATTATAACAATACACTGTAATAAAAGGTACAAGACTATGCTCTCTGCCTCTCCCTGTCTGTTTCAAAAGATCTCATTGTACATACTATCCTTGGACCAAATTTGGTCCTAATGCTTTCAGTGAAACCTTTGGAAAGTAAAACTGCAGATTGGGGGGACCTCTGTATTACAGTTATCATAGTGATAGTGACAGTTGTTCTTATTAAGTGTGTGTCTTATCTAAGCCCCTGGGTGGAGAGGGTGTCCATTGGGTCTTGTAGTTGCAGTGGGAGCAGAATAGAAGGCAAGGACTAGACAATCTTGAGGCCAGCCAGCCCACTCCTTTCTTTTTCTTTTTTAAAGATTTATTTATTTATACAAGAACCAGGGTACAGGCCAGATGTGTGGGAGAGTGAGAGGACTCACCAGAGACAGAGTGGGGAACAGAACAGGCAGACCGACAAAATACACTGCTGAGGGGAGCAGCGGGAGAGACAGGAGAGGTCTGCTGCACCATATGGGATTCTTGCCGGCCGGCCAGGATCGAACCCACGCTGCAGAGGCTGCGGACAGCTTCACGGTGCAGCGCTCAACCGCCTGCGCCACCAGGGGAGGTCCATCCTGCTCCTTTCTTGATGGAGGGTCAGAGGCTGGGAAGAGAGGCATGGCTCACTGAAGAGCCACCTATTTAACGCGTATGGATAAAAAGGTCCAGACCTAAGTCTGAATCCTAGTTCTGTCAACATCTAGTCATATATAATGTATTTATTTTCTTGCATCCCCTCAGGTGTAGTCCCCATAGTTCTCCCACCACCATGGCCCTCATGCTCTTCTCTCCTCTGCCTCTCCCTCCCCTCCCTTGCTGTTTGCTTCAAGTTTGTCTATGGTCACCTTGCAAGTTTTATCTTTTTCCTAACACTTTGTTTTGGTTTTTCTATGCTCTCCCTATAAGTGAAACCATTTAATGTTTTGCTTTTTCCTTCTGACTTATTTTGCTTAGCATAATCCCTGCCAGCTCCACCCATGTTGCTTCAAATGGCATGAGTTTATCTTTTTTGATCACTGAGTAGTGTTCCATTGTAATACCTAGTCATGTTACAGGCGTATGTTATCTTCCTTCTCTTGGTCTCTATCTCCTCATTAGTGAATGGTGGTCACTGTATTATTAGTGTCAGGCAAAGATTGATCTGCTTTCTCTAAAATCAAGAGCAGAGATAGCACGTTCCCTCTTTCCTTTGAGCAGACAGCCTCATTCCCTCTCCCCCCTTTTCATATGCTTCTGTGCTCCCCCAGATTCCGGGTCATTGTGGAAATGGTGAAACCAGAGAGGACAGACCTCAGTGTAACCATGAAGGGCCTTGACTACATAGATGTGCTGTCTGGCTCCAAGAAAGACTACAAGCTCAATTTCTTCTCGTACAAGGAGGGAATATACACTGCAAAGGTATCCACATGTCAAGGCTCTGCCCAGGGCCCCTTGAGGTTTGACCCTGAGGTTGACCCTCCTGGTATTAAGGAGTGAAGATGTTCTCCCCAGACAGCTTATCTTTATCCTGTCAGGCTGACACTCAGAGTCATCAAGCAAGGGCATTCAGGGGGTGCAGCCTCTTTCAGATGAGACCATATTTCAGGGCCAGCCAACCATCATGTAGGACCATGCCCAACCTTTGAGGCAACAGAGTCTGGAAAATCCTTAAGCAGTAGGCAACATCAGATCAGCAAACACTGATTAAAGAAGGCCCCATGTTCTGAGGGCTTATGGTATCCAGCAATGTGCTGAGCATGCAACACACACAGCTGATAATGGCAATGCTGGGGTTCAGTTCTGAGCCATCTGCTCCCAGACACCTCAAGGTCTTGCACATTTGAACTGTTCCTTCTAATTCTCATTTCTTCAGCAAGAGTCTGTTGAGCATAGATGACATGTACTAAGTGCTAGTAACACAGCAGTGTCTAAAAATATGCTCTGATCTCAAGGAATACACAGTCCTGTGACAGGAAGTGGTCATTCATCAGATAATCACACCATGAATGTATGACAACGATTTGAGATAAGTGCTTTGGAGAAGTGGAGCATCTGTGGATCTGCAGTTCATGGGGTGAGGTCAGGGATGAAGGTGGCGTTTTGAAAGGTATCCACTTATAAATGATATTCAAAGATATGATGGAGATGGAATAATCTAGGGGAAGATTTAAAGTGAAAAAACATATATCTAGAAATACCCCTCCAGAAAAACACACTGGCAAAAGCTACCCAGGGGCATATAGTGCCCTCTCCTGCAGTCCTGAAGGCTGCTTTTCTCAGATTGCATTCATAGACATGCCAACAGTGAATCTTCAAAGAATCAAAAAACATCCAAAGGGGGGGGGGTGGAGAAAAATGGCCACCATAAAATAGAAATACCAGCTCAATGAATAAGAAACCCCCCCCAAGAGAAAAGAGTTATTAAAGCAAACAGAAGATAATTATTGATTATCATGAATACCCTCAAAGGAATAAAGGAAGATAATCAAACCATGAAATAGGAACAATAAGCTATAGTGGAAAAAAACAATAAGCTATGGTGGAAATGAAAATAGAATACTAAAGGGGCCTCCCTGGTGGCGCAAGAGGTTAAGATACAACCTATGAAGCCATCCATAGCCACTGCAGCACGAGTTTGATCCCCGGCCAGGGAGCTACCCACATGGCTCAGGAGACCTCACTTGCCCACGGCTCCCCTCAGCACTGTATTTTAGTCAGTCTGCCTGTTCTGTTCCCCATTCTGTCTCTGGTGAATCCTCTCACCACTCCCCCCATACCGCTGGCCTGTACCCCAGTTCTTGTATGCATAAATAAATAAATCTTTAAAAAAAAAAAAAGAAAAGTAGAATACTAGGAATAGAAAGCTGTAGGGAAAGGCTGAATAGTGTAATGGACCCTGAGGGAGAGACGACAGGGGCCTGCTCTGAGAAAATCTTCATTGGGTGATTTTGTCCTAGTGTGAGGTCATCCAGTCTACCTGCACAAACCTAGATGGTTCAGTTTGAAGGGTCCAGCTGTAAGGTAAGAAATGTTAAAATTTTGACTCAAATTATGACAAGTTAAAAATTTTAATTGTCAGCTCTAGAGCAAACCACTAAGAATCTGTCGCTTTAAAACATAGCTAAGCAGTCAGTAGAAAAGATAGAACATATTCCAAGAGGTTACTTGTTGATCCAAAAGAAGGCAGGAAAGTAGCAACCAAAGAAGAAGGAAAATATGAAGGGGACAAATGGACAACAAGCGAGAGGGCAGACTTTAACCCAAACACGTAACTAAAATGTAAAAGACTAAACATTCCAGTGAAAAGACAGAGGGTGTCACCCCCACGTTCACCACAGCACTTTTCTCAGTAACCCAGATTTGGAAGCAACCTAAGGGTCCACTGACAGATGACTGGCCAAAGAAGATGCGGGATGTATACCCAACAGAAAACTGTGCAGCTATTTAAAAAGGGAACCTTGCCATTTTCAACAACACGGATGGACCTAGATGAAGAAAGAGAAATACCAGATGAAGAAAGAGAAACACCATCTGATTTCACACATATGTAGAAGATAAAGAAACAAAGCAAATGAACAAGCAAAACAAAACAAAAACAAGCTCTTGGACTATAAGAACAAAATGGTCCTTACCAGAAGGGGAGGAGAAAGACAGTGGGTGAATGAGGGGAAAGGAATCAGTTGCATGGTGGAGGATGGAAACTAGAGATTTGGGGGTGAACATAATGTAGTCCATATAGATGTTGCTTTATAGTGAGGTGTGCTGAAACCTGTCTAATGTTATATACCAATGCTACTCCAAGCAAAAAAAGGTTTATTTAAAAAAGACAAAGAAGGTATCAGCAGCATTCTAAATTTAAAGACAGGAAGAGGTTGAAAGTAGAAAGACATATGTAAAGAACTATTACCTAATAGTAAGATTAACAACAAGGTGTTGAAAAGGAGAAAAGACTTGAATAGCCTCTCAGGAGTCGCTGGGAATGAGCAGTGGGCAGCCGGTGTCCAGCAGCATCAGCCACCCCGGGAACACTGAGCAGCTAATGGAGACTGAGATGCAGGGCAGGGAGCAACAGCTGCAGGTGTGATCTCCAGAGTCAGTCCAGTCTGGATTCAAATCCTGGTTCTGCTAAACCTCAGTTTCCTCATCTTAAAAAAAAATGGTGAGGGGAATAATAGGACTCTCTATACAATGCGAATTCAATAAGTACGTCTAGCATGACGTGACCATTCATTAAGGGTGAGATGCCATCCTCGCCCTCACCATCGTCATCACCACTACTACTGCTAACGCTGCTAGCAGCAACAAGATCAGGAGTGAAGTCACTGCAACATGAACTTGTCACAGTTTTGCTTGTTCTCCAGGGCCAGCCAGCTGCCCCACAGGTGACACCTTTACCTTCAGCACTATGTAGTGCTCCTCCAGCCGAGCCAGAGCAGAGGAGGAAAAGGCTGGCAGGGGCGAGGGTGGGTGGAGAGGTGTGTCAGCCTGCTGCCCACGCTTCACGTCCCCAGGCAGAGAGGAAGAGCTCTAGGAGACGCAGAAGACCCCCTGCTAACCCCTCTCCTCTGCCCTGCTTCCTCCCACCCCCGTGAACCCAGGTGATCTTCCGAAATGAGGTAACCAACGAGTTCTTACACTACATGGTGAGTTTCAGGGTTATCCCTTCAGGCATCATAAAAAGCATCGATATGGTGAGTCTGGTCCGGCAGAGCACGTCCGCCTCCATCAAGCTGGAGAACCCCCTGCCCTACTCGGTGACCTTCTCCGTGGAATGCAGGATACCTGACATCAGTCTGCCCTCCCTATTTGCAGTGCCTGGCAACTCTGAGGTACAGCCCTGGCCCTCAGGGGCTCCCTGACACCTATAATAGAGGCTTCTGCCCTTAGGGCCTCCAGATGCACCTGTCTGCAGCTGGTGGGACCAGACCTGGCGGTGGGCGGGAGACCAAGACCATGGATCAATCACACTCTCCCCTTTCTCCTATAGCCCAGTCCCCACAGGAAGTGAACAAAGACTCATAGGTGGGGGCGTCACTGTCGTCAGCTCTTGTCTCTATTATGTTTGCCTTATTCTAATCTAAAGGGGAAAACTTTCAGTTTCCCCATTTATTGTGATGTTAGTTTTAGGTTTCTTATAGACACTCCCCCCTTATCAGATTAAGGATGTCCCCTCCTATTCCTAGTCTAACTAAAGCTTTTTCAAAACACCATGAATGGATATTTTTTATCAAATGTTTTGACTGCGGGATTGATTAAGATGTTCATATGATCTTTGAATTTGTCAGTGTATCAACTAGCTGATTTTCCTAAAGTGACACCAATTTTTCATTCACGGGATAAAACCCATTTAGTCATGTAACATTCTCTTTATTGCTGGATATTGCTGGATTCAGCTGGAAGACACTATTAGGTGTTTTGCATCTATGTTCAGAAGGCGGACTAACAGCCAATTTTCCCTTCTCATGTTGCCCTTACTGAATTTTGCCAGCAAGATTAAGCTAATGCGAGGTCTCCCTCTCATTCCTTTCCCGGGAAGAGTTTATGGCATACGAGATTATCTGGTAGAACTTAAAAGTAAAGCTTTGGTCCTGGAATTTCGCCAAGGGAAACTTTTTGAGTATTCACTAGATTACTTTAATGGTTATAGGACTATGTGGGTTTTACTTATTTTCAGTCTTTATATAACCTATATTTGTTTATACTTCTGTTTATTTTCATCTAAGTATTTTAAATTGTAGAAGGTCATCTAAATGTTTATACTGTATTCTTTTCTATTAAACATCTACAACAAATTTAATCATACTCCCTTCTTAGACTGTTTTTCAGTAAGAATAGTTACTTTTTAAAGAAGCAGTCACTGCTTATGATAAAAACTAAATTTTAGCTCTACAAAAATATATGAAACAAAATCAGAGTCCTCACGATCCCATTTCACCCAACCTAAAATAGCTACTGGTAACAATTTGATATATATTTAGCCTTGCTATCTCTTGTCTATACACACATAGACATATTCTCCTCCACGAAAATGAGCTCACAGTTATATACATTTCTAGAACCTCCTTTTTTCCATTTACACTGTCATCACCAATGCTTATCACTCTGCCCCTTCCTTTTTAACAGCTACGTAATATCCCACTGAAGTGGGTAAACTGTAATTTATGTGTTGGGCGTCTTAGTGCCAACCGTTTGAATGTCTCCCTTATTTTGCTGTGATAAGCAATATTCTTTGGTCTCTGTTTTGTTCCCTACCATAACAACTGAAGGAGAAAGCCTCTCCCCAATACAGGTAGAAACCAGGAAGCTGTTCTGGATTGGCTGTGAGCAATGAAGGGCCTGAGCCCCCCATTCCTGTGACCACACTCTGCACCCCTGCACTTCTGTGAGAGAGATGATCCAGTACCTATTTTCAGATTCAAAAAGATTCCAGATATAGAAATACCTGAACTAGGGAGGCCAGAAGGGGGACAAGGAAGGGAAAAGGCCTGGTTGGGACACAGGCTCAGGATGGGTATGAGCATTTCCTTGCAAAGCCCCGTCTCCACCACCAACCGCTCTCGGTGTCTGGGTGGCGCGGGCAGGCTGGGGCTTTCAGGCTCACGGGAGACCCTGTCTTCTCTTCCAGGGCACGTTCTCATTTGAGTTCCAGCCCCTGAAAGTTGGAGAGACATTTGGGAGACTAACTCTGCATAACACTGACTTGGGGTACTACCAGTATGAGCTCAATTTGAAGGCCCTGCCCGCACTGCCTGAAAAGCCCATCCACTTCCAGGCCACTCTCGGCAGCAGCCAGAGCCTCTTCGCCAAGTTCATCAACTACACCCGGCAGAAGACAGATTACTACTGCAGGGTGAGCCACCCCGCCCCACCCCCTGCCCTTCCCTCACCAGAAGTCTGGGCTGAAAAATAACGGAAAAAGGGCACACAAGGGTGCAGAACTGAGAAACTTAGGGAGCAGGGACTCCCTCCAACCCAAAATACTTAATACTTAATGTCATTTATTAAGAAATAAACAGTACCAGGCAGATCTTGTAGGCCTTCCTTACAGACTTGCTGCCTTGCAGTGTGGGGTGTGTTGGGGAGTTTTGCTTCTCCCAGCCTGCTCAATAGTCATGGACACGGCTGTGGAATCCCGCACCCAGATTTGACTCCTGGCTTCACTGTCTGCTCTGTGTGTGAATAACTTACTAAGGCTCTCTAAGCATAACTATAGATGGCCACAGGACCCCAACCTCACAAGATTGATGTGAAGATTTTTAAATATTTATATAAAACCTGGACTTAGGGCCTGGCCCACAGCAACTGCACCATCTATGTCCTTCTATCATTTGGAATGCAGGTTTAACTGATAACACAGAAAGCCCAAACAACAGCAAAATGGAAGTGTATTTCTTTCTCAAGCAGCAGTGTGAGCCTATGTGGTTTGGGCTGGAATAGAGGCTCCATGAATTAAGGCACCCACATCCCGTGTCCTGAGGCCCTTCCCTCTGGAGAGTTGCCTGGGTGCACGTGGAACGAGATGACTTCTGTAACTTCTATGCTCCAGCCAGTGACAAGGAGGAGGAATGGGGGAGCTGCCTGTGTCACTTCCCCCCACCTTCCAACTTCCCAGGACACACCTTGCAACAAGGAGAGCTAGACGGGGTGGTCTTTACACCAGAGGCCATGTGCCCAGCTAACATCTGGGGTCCCATGACTATAGTCAAGGGGCATAGACTCTCATTTTTATCAGTCAGGAGAAGCTAGATCGTGCTGTAGTAACAAACAAACCCCCCATCAGTGATTTGGCCCCAAAAGGGTTTATCTCTCGTTCATGCTGTCTATCCAGAGCAGGTCAGCAGGGCTCTCCACTTACCACAGTCACTCAGGGATCCAGGCTGAAGAGCAAACACCATCTCAAATGTTCGCCATCATAGTCCAGAAAGTTCTGTGTACATGGAGGAAAAGAAGAGCCAGATGGGGATTTGGGGTGGGACGTGAGGGAAGGGCCAAGGGAGCAGTACCAAGGCCAGCCCCCAGCACAGTCCAGCTGGGTGTCTTTGGGCAAGTTATCTAAGGTCTCTGAGACACGGTTTCTTTGTCATAAAATGGGCATATGCATTTGTGACCGCTCCTCTCTGAAGGCATAGAGGGCACAGCTTCTGTATAAGCTGCCTGCCTCACTCTATGCCGGGTGCTTGATCCAGAGCGCCGGGCTTGGGGCCAGGCCTGAGCTGAGCTGCGGGCATGCTCGCTAGCATCTTGTCTGAGCTGAGTGCATCTGTTCCCTTTCAGACCGACTGTCCGGACTTCCACACCGAGAAGGTCATTACTGCAGCCCCTGGGGTGCAGGGGGGCACCGAGGTCAGTGTGGAAGTCTACTTCGAGCCCAGCCGCCTGGGGGAGACCAAGGGCCTCCTGATCCTGTCGTCATACATAGGTGGGGAATATATCATCCCCCTCTTTGGGATGGCGCTGCCCCCCAAGCCCCAAGGTCCCTTCCTGATCCGAGCCGGGTATAGCATCATCATCCCCTTCAAGAATGTTTTCTATCAGACGGTCAACTTCTCCATCTTTGTGGAGAGCCCAGCCTTCACCATTCGTGCCACCGACTCTGTGCGGGCCAAGAAGATCAACAATATCACCGTGTACTTTGAGGGAAACCCCTCAGGCAGCAAAGTACCCATCACCACCAAGTTGATCGTGGCTTGTCCTCCCATGGAAAACTGTGAAACGGGGGTCCAGTGGGTCTATTATCTGAAGGGCATCACCCCTTAGTGGTCCCGGGGTCAGTGGCCTCAACGAAGAGCCGTCCCCTCGGTCTGGACAGCTATGCATTTATCTAGCCCGGTCATGTACAGAGAAAATTCTCAGAATTCTAAAGCTACCATTTTATTCCAAATATATACATGACGTGTGCTCTGTATTAAACCTGGTAACTACATAAAGCTGAACTATATTTTCCTTTGCAAAGGCAAGCCTCTGGATGTAGTTTCAGAACATGTCCACAAAGCTCGGGTTCTAGGTAATCTCAGTTTGCCTGGACACAGGTGACCCATCCTTGGCCTGCTGTCATCCAGCGTGTGACCTGGGGCACCACCGCTGAGTCATTTTGTCTTTTGCTCCATCCTGGCTTAAGGCCCTTAGACTTGACTCTTTTCTCATGTGCTGTTGTATTCTGCTGTCACATAAAAGCCAAATGAGTCCTGTTTTCTAAGTGACAGATAACACAAGTTTCATCATTGCAGCAACAGGGGGCAGGAAGTCTCAGCCGAACTCCCCCAGGCCCCCGAAGTATGGACTTGACTGTGGGCACCACCCATTGAAATAAAGTTTGTTAATGACCGGCCCTGAAGTAGACTTGTTTCTGCCTACAAAGCCCCTCTATGCTGGAGGGACCCCTGCAACATCTCCTCCCGGCTCTTCATCCCTGGCAGCTTCTCTGCAGCCATGGGTCAGCCATGCCTCCCCCATGCATGAAACAACCACTTGGGAATGAACACTCCAGAGAAGTAGCTCTCAAAAATGGTCCTGGACCAGCAGCACCAGCAGTTCCTGGGCATTTCTTAAACATGCAAATTCTGGGGCCTACCCTGGACCTATTGAGTCAGAAATTCCAGGGGTTCAGCCCATCCATGTGTGTATTAACAAGGCCTGGCAGCTATTAGAGGTTTTTCTAACAGATTCTCTGGGGACTTTGGTTCCTTCACACTATACTCATCCCATTGCTATTAACAAGTTAACCTTTTTCTAGATCTAACAACTTGTTTTCGTAATGGCTAAGGACTCTGCTAATAGAGAAAGACAGAGATAACAGATTGTCCCCATGGTTAGATGAGCAAAGAATGCTCACCCAGGAGGAGGCAGTGACCCCCAAGTCAGTATGTGGCTAGCACAGAGTCTGTGTAAACCAATGTTCTCAACCTTAGTGTCCATGGCCTGCCAGGATGCACCCTCAGAGGGTCTGATCTTGTTTGGGTGAGTTCAAGAATTCCCATTTCTACCCAGTTCCTGGGGGTGCGAGAGCTGCCCCGGAGGATCCCACAGCCTGAGACTTGTCGAGACCCTGTTAGGAATGCAGGATCTCAGGCCACACTGACCCTCCAAATCAGAATCTGCATTTTTGTGTTCCCCACCCAAGGAATGCACGTCTCTGCTGAGAGCGCTGCTTTAGGTCACCAGCATAACCTGGACTTTTGCCGAATCCACAGCCCTCACACGCTGCCTGAGAGCCATAGAGGGCAGTGTCGTGCGTCCTGCTTGTGGCCTGGCTCACCACAAAAAAAAGTCCCTCCTATGACCTCCCCTAAGGGGCCCCCCATTGTATTCTTCACAAGGGGCATCTTTTCAAGGATTGAAACCTCAAACGATAAGTGGTTGTTATGACTCAAGATGGAGGACATGGTGTGAGCGTGGATGAGACACCTGCAATCTGAACATAGGGAGACTTGCGAGCCCTCGAACCTTGTTTGTTGTGTCCCATAGATCCTGATGTATGCATTGAGGATAATATTCCATTTTCAAGATGGTTATAAGCTTATTCACCCATTTAGCTACCACCACTTGTTTTGTTCACATTTAATATCCATTGGGCCCCACTGTGGTATATCTTTCGTCCTAAAGTCCTTGTCCACCGTGGAAGCTTACAATAAGGAGCTCTGATGCAACTCTCTGTGACTGCTTCTCTAGCCACACTGCGGACTTTTTTTTAAAAAAAAAAAGATTTTATTTATACATACAAGAACTGGGGTACAGGCCAGAGTGGTGGAGGGGGTGAGAGGGTTCACCAGAGACAGAATGGGGAACAGAACAGGCAGATTGACTGAAATATACTGCTGAGGGGAGCAGCAGGCAAGACAGGAGAGGTCTGCAGTGCCATGTGGGTAGCTCCCTGGCCATGGATCGAACTAGTGCTGCAATGGCTGTGGCGAATGTCATAGGTTGTGTCTTAACCCCTTGCGCCACCAGGGAGGCCCCCTATGGACTTTTATAAAGATTTTTACCACGGAGCTTCAACTTGTCCCGCCACACAGTGTGACTCTAAAAGCACTTGGGGGATCTGCTTTACCGTGGGTTTGTAACTGTGCTATCCATAGCAAGGGTTAGAGCTGAGCAGAGGGGAGAAGCTGAAGAAGAGGAAAAAGAAGGGGAGAAAGGGAGAAATAAAGACAGGAGGAGGCACATGGAGCAGAGAGACATGCGAAAATACATACTTCTGGCTCTGTCCCCCTCCACCACCTCTGTCCTCACAGGCTCTGCATGTTTCTCACATCCTGGGGTTCCATCAGTCCAGATCACTATACTTATCCCTGTTCCACCCAAGGGAGGATGGAGCTGCATGGGAACCTGGAACCTCCCTTTTTATACAGGGTCCGGGGAGACCTGCGCTCAGCGGGTTTGGGGCTCCTGCTGTTACAGAGCAACCCCGATATAAAATGGGTTGCCTGGCTGTGGGTCCTCACCCGCACGCTTAAAAGATACTTATTAATACTCCACTACAGGCACACACGAAAGGTTAATAAAAGGGAATTTACAAGGGAAAAGGAAATAAGGAAAATGTACAACTCAGGGAGAAAATAGGGAAATAAAGTCTTTCATGCGTCCTATGCGATCCGCTGACCTGGAAACCCAAAGGCACTCTCAGAGCTGGCCAGACTCTGCGAGCTGGCAGAGAGCCAAAATGGGGGATCCCCCTCCAAAGCCCACGTGTCTGGCTTTATACCAAACCTGGCTGCTTAACCCCACCCTCAGGTCCCAGCCACCTTCCCTTGGGTGGTGATGGGATTTGGAGTTCCCAGTGTCTTTGGCTTTGGCCTGGGGTGGGGGTGGGGTCCACAAAGCCTGTATGGGATTAGCTTTAGGACATCCTGTTCCCCCTAACACTGCTGTCAGTAGCCCAGTCCTCCTGGGCTGTCTGGGCGTGGCGGACACATCCTGAGTCCCAAATGTGGGGTGAGAGTCACTGGAGATTTTCGGTGGTAGACAGGTAAGGCTGTTTCTGATTGAGAATGTATTTTAATGTGTCTTTTAAAAATACATAAGTATTCAAATCTATGATTCGGGGGCATAAACAAGGCTAAAGTAGGAATTTAAGATTTTTTTTCCAAGTGAGCTGATCTGAGGAAAACAGAAATCATAGTACAAGCGGTTACGACAGGACCAGCGAAAATCGTGATGGTGTTACTCCAACTTGAGAAACACCGGCCTATGCAGACTCGGTGACTGAGTAGTGAATGAGCCAGCGCTGTCAGCATTGAATAAATTACGGAGCGTCTGGGCCCAGAAGCCATGCGCTCTCGCCGGCGGCTGCAGCAGCACGCGGGCGCCGGGGCTCCCGGCGGGCGGCCGGTCCAGGTCACGTGAGCCGGGCAGCGGGCTCGGGTCGCCGCGCTCGAGGGGCCGCGCGAAAGGAGGAAACGGAGCTGGGCGGGGGCCGGGCTCGCCCTCCCGCGGCGTGCGTGCGGGGGCGTGGCCGGGGGCGGGCCCCGCGGCGGAAGGCGGAAGCGGCTGCGGTGTCACGTGATCCGGGCATCATGGCCGCTGCCCCGTGAGCGCCGCAGGTGCCTGGCGGGAATGAGTCGCGTGAGCCGTTAGGCAGCACCTGGCAGGTGTGCGGGGACCGGATCCGGGTCCGGGTTCTGAGGCGGCGCTCCACGGTCGAGAGAAGCAGGTAGGCCTGGGACTGCGTGGTCCATGAGCCGGCGCCGGAGGCAGCGCGGAGCCGCACACTCCCCTGGCCCCGGCGCGACCCGGGCAGCCGCGGGCTGAGGAGTCGCGGGGCGCCGGGAGCGCCCCCAGCCGCCACCATGAACCCGGAGAAGGACTTCGCTCCACTCACGCCCAACATCGTGCGGGCTCTCAATGACAAGCTCTACGAGAAGCGGAAGGTGGCAGCGCTGGAAATCGAGAAGTAAGCCCTGGGGAGCGGAGCCGGGACACCGCCCTGACTGAGCGGGGTCCCGTTCCCAGGGGTCGGAGGGCTGGTCCTCACGTCTGTCCTGCCAGTGTTGCTTTCCCAGGTTTCAGGCCCGCTAGCGCAGTGCTGAAGAGCAGGAGGGCTGGAATCACGTCTGGGAGTTCCACCCCGCTTTGCTCTCCACTGACTGTGAGACTTGGGCCAAGTCCTTTTACCTCCTGGTACCCCACCATGCTTTGGTCTCCACTGACTGTGAGACTTGGGCCAAGTCCTTTTACCTCCTGGTGCCCCAAAGGGCTGCCCTGAGAATGAAGCGACGTACCTTATGGGTAGTGCTTAGCACAGCGCCTGGCAACGGTGCGCCCTCCGTGTGGTCGCCTTCAAAACCCAACAATTCACACAGAGTGACTTGTGATGAGAGAAAGGTAGATGTGAGAGGTGCTGGTGCGGCTGAACTGCCTCCTTTCTCACCTGCTTCTTAGAAATAAAAGGGGCTGGTAGGTGGCTGAGTGGAGAAATCAGGTCCCAAACCTCAAGATCTCAAGGCTCAGAGGGTTGTTTTATCTCTGTCATATCACCATTCCCTCCACGTTGAAGTAGGAATAGTTTGACCTTTCTTGCTTCTTGCTAGACTGTATTGTAAATATGTGTAACCATGATCTGACATTTTGCTTTATTTCCCATTGTCCTCAATACGGCATTTAAAGTGTTTATTAGAATTTTTTTGCTATTATTTACATTTACACCTTTTTTCCAGGCAAATCTTAATGATAGAATCAGGTGTGTGGGTGATTTCAGAAGAGTGGAAAGAAGCAGGCTTTGAAACTAAAAGTTAGGAAATATGCCCTGTCCAAGAGGGCATCCCCTGGCCAGTTGTGGCTATTTCAATTACTAAGATTAAATTTAAAAATTAAATTCCAGTTGCACTACTAATATTTCAAGTGTTTAATAGCTACATGTGGCAGTTGGCTATCCAATTGGGCGGTATAGATTATAAAACATATCCATCACTGCACAGTGCTCTGTTGGACAGCTCTAATCTCGTCCACCATGTGACTCTCATTCTTTGACCTTGAACAAATTCCTTAACTCACAACTTCTTAACCTGAGCACTGTTGACATTTGGGGACAGATAATTCTTGTTTGTGGTGGGCTGACCTGTGCATTGTAAGGTTTTTAGCAGCCTCCCTGGTCTCTACCCATTAGATGCCAGTAGCACCCCATCAGCTATAACAACCAAAAGTGTCCCCAGACATTGCCAGATGTCCCCTTGAGCTACAAAATCACCCCTGTTGAGAATGGCTGTGTTAACTGTATTGAAAGATATGCGCTTTGCTAACAGGACCCTCCCTTTCAGCTCTAACACTCAGTCTATTCAAAACCACTACTTTCTTGACTTCTTTTTGTGTGCTGCTTCTTGTTTATCCCGATTCTTGCTAGTGCTACTATGCTTTATCACCATCTACTTGACCCAAGATGATATACAGACCTTGCTCCATATCTATGGGTTTTATTGGCTTTGAAGCTACTCTGACATCCAGTTTTATCCATCACCTACTCTGCTTCTCAGAAATATCTCATTGCTTCATAACTTGAGTCACCTACTGGATCCTGAGTAGAGATACTCATCTCAGCATTATTGTTGCTTCTGGCACAACCTGTGTAAGTGTTCTCACTGCTGGCTTTTCCGTTGGGGCTTTTTCTTTACTGGGGCTCGTTTTGTCTTCATCAATGTCCTAGATTTCTAGAATTCAGAGACATCCACTAGGGCTTTCACTGCACTGCAGAGACCCTATTTTATTTATCCCTAGCACTTAGCATAGCGTCTGGCAGCATTTGGCAGTTGGTGCCAGAAGGAATGAAGGACCATACATTTCTGGTGGGCAAACAACAGCAAATTCTAAGGACTTGGCTACTCAGAATTGGTGTGTAGACCAGCAGCCTCAGGATCACTTGGGAGCTTGTTAGAATGAGACTCTCGGGCACCCCCAGACCTGTGGGTCGGAATCTGCATTCCCATTCACTTTGTGGGTGATTCTTGTGCAGTTTACAATTTGAGAAGCACTGACATAGAAGACCTTATAGTTTCTAGCCTTCTTTAGCCATATTGCAAATGAGGAGTGCCCAGTTTGGTATGATCCTCAGAATATATATTTCACAAATCGTGGAGGGACAGAGTTATCTATGTTTCACCAGTGAAGTTTCTGGTGTCTCTTTTTATAAGGACATGGTCTACAGGATCCAAGGCCAGTATAGCCCCATTTAACCTTAGGTTACTAAACTAACCCTACCTCCAGATACAGCCACAGTTGCAATTAGGACTTCAACTGGGAATTTGGGGTAAGGCTAAAGGGACACAATTCAGTCCATAACAGTAGTTATTATAAAAACAAAGTGGCCACGTGTAAAGCACTGTCTGCCTGATTCTGGGGGAGGAGGGTAGAGCAGCTTCCCTTTGTTGGCCGCTGTGCACCCCTCATCTCAGTCCTTTTGCTTGACTGTCCTATCAGCCAGGTGGCAGTGCCCCATTTCACAGATGAAGAACAGGCTCCTTGAGGTTAAGTAATCCCCCAAGTTTCCCAGCAAGAATCTGGGTACAAAAGCCATTGTCACCCATCTCAAAGGGCTTCCCCAATGAATGGTTTCTCTACCAGAAAGGGGACATATATTTAGTAAAAGAAATTTCACACTTGAACATCCTCATGGGTTTTGTTGTTTGTTTTTTTTTTTTTAAGATTTATTTATTTATTTATACAAGCACAGGTACAGTCAGAAGCGCGGGAGGGTGGGAGAATTCACCAGAGACAGCGAGGAACAGAGCAGGCAGACTGACGAAGCACACTGCTGACGGGAGCAGCGGGCACGGCAGGAGAGGTCTGTCGTGCCACGTGGGATCCTCGCTGGCGTCTGGGGATCGAACCAGCACTGCAGAGGCTGCAGGCAGCTTCGTAGCCCAGTACTCAACCGCTATGCCACCAGGGGAGGTCCCTTCATGGTTGTTTTCACTGCCATGTTGGTTTTCCAGAGTCGTCTGCTCTGGTGACTACCTGTGGTGTTCCAGTGAGGAGTTCAAACCTCTAATAAATTTGGGGAAATGCCTCACCTTGAGGCCAGCCTCTCAGACACTGCCTTGCAGAGGTGGATGCTGGACTCAACTGAGGGGCCCCAGGACTCTCGAGGCTCAGGGCCTGTGGAGTGAGGTGGCCGGAGCCTGATGGCTGGTACATATCGCCTACACACGCTCATGGGGCACTTTCACCCCACAGCCAGGGCAGTGTGTCTGCAGTTTTCTAAAGGACGAGGTACTTTTTCAGCTGAGGTTTTAGAATCTTTCAGGTTTTGTGGACTCTCTGTTCAGGGGTGGAGTCGTGGATCCATCCTGATGTAACATACAAGGCTCTCCTCTCTGGGAGAGTCTGATGGGGTAGCTGGAGGCAGTGTGCCAGCAGACATGCTCATCCATGGTGTCTCTTTTTATAAGGACACCATGCTGGGGTGGCAGGACCCTGCCTTGGGGTGGGGGAGGGTTCGCTGTCTCTGCAAGCTGGGAGAGAAGCTGTACTTCATGGTAACCAGGGGTGAGCTCGTGCCAAGTCTCCAGCATCTCAGAACTTGCAGTTCCAAAGTTAGCAAATGGTGGTGCCCGGGCCATGTGCCCCGAGAACATTGAAACCCAAGGGATCAACTGAATTCCTGAATCATTTGCCCTTGCCTGCTGAGGTGGGAGATAGGGGTGGGGGGTGCCCCCAGAGCTCTGTGATAGGAGAAGATTGGAACTGTTGCATCTGACCTGGCTCTTCGGAGCCTACACCTCTGTGGAGAGACTCCGTCTATGACCAAGCGGCATGATGCAGTTTTTGGAGGAAGGGTCCGCATTCTGGACAGCTCTGCTTTTTATTAGCGGTGGGACCCTCAGCAATGACTGGATCCGCAGGTCACAGGCGGGCCATCAGGCCTGTGTCCTGCCGGCAGACCTGTTTGGTTTGGCCTGGATCACAGGTGTTTTAAATTGAGACTTGTCACAGTGAAACTCAGTTTCCAGATTCTCTGAGGGAATTGGAAGATGTGGCTCGGGCAGCAGATCAGGGGACCAAGGGCCACCTCTCCCACTTCCAGGCCAGGACATAGCTCCCCAGTTTGCTATCTGTGTCAGCAAGTTCCCCCAGCCTCTCTTACTACTCTGGCCTTGTCATTTGTATTTCCTGCTCGACCCCTGTAAGCACATAAGTTTGCGACCTCTGGGCTAACTCTCTGTGTCTCAGTTTCCTCATCTTAAAAAATAATGCCCCTTGAAAGCATTACGCTAGGTAGAAACTGGTCACAAGAGGCCGTGTGTGGTCTGCTTCTGTCTCTGAAGTGTCTGGAATGGGCAGATGTACAGGGCCAAAGAATGGCCTGGAGCTTGGGGAGGGGCTAGGGCAAAGTAGGGCGCGGCTGCTAATAGGTGCAGGGCTGCTTTGAGGGCTGGCAGAGTGTTCTGAACTTGATCATGGTGCTCGTTACACAACTTCATGAACATACTAACAACCCTGAAATGTGCACGTTATAAGCAAGCTTATGGCATGTGAATTTTATCTCAATTTAAAAATAATAAGAATGCCTGTCAAGCTGTGTGACAGTGTGAGGGAGGCACCTGCTGGCTGGAACATTGGGATGAGACCAAAGAAGATAATAAATGTGTCATGCTGACTCCCAGTGGGCTGCAACAGGGTGCAGGTGTGATGTGTGAAGAGGGGATAATGTCACACGTCAGGGTTTCAGAAAAATCCACATTTGGCTTCTGTGTCTGCAATAATCTAAGTTGTGTGACCTTGTGTGGGTTTAAAACAAAGTCTCTGAGCTTCAGTTTCCCCCATCTGTAAAGTGGGTATGATAGCACCTGCTCTGTCCCTTATTAGAAGGATTAAAGTAGGAAACGCGTGTCAGTCAGCCAGTGTGTGGCCTGGGCATCTGGCATGTGCTCAGCTATAGTTGCCTCCTCCTGCCTTCAGAGC